AAAAAAAAAAAAAAAAAGACTCACATGCGTATTCGTTACTTAACCCCCAATGGTTATCCTCCCCTTGACTCGAATCTTTTGAAGGCACAGCCTACGTCGCACACCAGTAGAACTTTTGCGATGTTTGAAAATAGGACTTTTCAGCTTCTATTCTTGGCAGACATCCCAACCAACCAGAGTAACGCAACACGCAGTTTTGCAACCCCAAGGCTGACATTGCATGCTGATCTCATGCGCATGACGTCTGTTGAAGATCAGGCTCTGAGGAAGCCGAGTTCAAATAACAGCTTGCGAACGCCCTCTCAAAATTGCTCTTCATTCCTCACTGCGATCGCTAAGATGGCAACTCTCAAATTCCGATTCCTCGAACAATTTTCGTTTAAGGATTATCGTTTCGAACGATTCCTCATTCTGTCAGATTGGCGGGCATGGGAAACAGCCTGGCTCTTTCGCTTACCCGCCCTTCTGGCCAACCCCGACGTCCCGATCGTACTTTTTAAAAGCGGATGCAATGTTAGCAATGAGATTAATTGTAGCAAGGCTTGTAAACTCAGCGAACATATGTTCAACTCTTCCGAAACGCTGTGGAACTGTCTCACCATTGCAACGGTCGCCAAAATGATTGAATCCAAAAATCCACTATACAGACTCAACGGAACCGAGAGAGACCGTCTCACAGAAACGTTCAAACCTGGACCCTTGAGCAATTTCTCTGAAATGGCGGTATTTGCACGGTATAGCCACTGCGCGCTGCAGTCCTGCTCTGATTCAAAGTACAAGGGATGTCCAACAGAGTTATGGGAAGGAAGGTTTCAGAACATACCCTTCAATCTGACGAGCGTGAAGGACCTCGGGAAAATGATGGGAGAAGAGTATTGTGCAAAGGCTGATCCTGGTATTGACTATGATATTGCTGGACCTGGTGTAAGTATCACTTATCAAAGGTGACTTATGGCTAACGGCCTTGGCAGATAATCGTTGCATATCTGATGCAGTTTGCCATTGTGCTTTTCTTTGCGGCCATCTTCAAAATCACCAGGAGCTGGATCCGCAATGTTTCGCTTTCATTCTTGATACCCTTTGAGGGACCTGCCAAGGCCATCAAAACTGCTTTACGATGGCAGGAGTGGGTAAAGAAAAGCAGACTTGGATTGGCAGCAGGGTCTACTCTTGTCGATCTCCAAGAAGCACAAGCAGTCTTCCTAGCCCTCTATTCTGCAGCAACCATCGTCACCTTCTTCGGCTCTCCATCTGCCGGCCTTGGTAACATTACCTCGCTCCTCTCGTGGATTACGAACAATCTTGTCTTACGTGGCATGGCGACGGCGGGTATGTATCCGCTGATGTTCGTCCAGCTGATTCTACAAAAGACGCGTGATCGGCATTGGTACACGCTTTTCCTGGTGGTTCTGAATTGGATCTTGATAGTGGTCGTCACCCAGCCGCAGGTTGTCGACACCGCATCACTGTACGGGCATATCAAGACGTCCAACGATTTTCTTCGCTGTGGAGGTAATGCTGGACCGAAGGCCTTTTGCCAGACGTTTAATACTGGTAATGCAAAGATTACAGGGGATTTTTCCGACAACGAGCTTTTCCCACAAGGTAATCAAGGTCTCTCGCCTTTTGACTCTAAGGGCACGAATACGGATCCTCGTCCTGGAAGCGACAATCCTTCGTATCTTGACCGTGATGCCAAGAGTTTCTTCCGGATCAGTGCCAATACCCAAGCGCCCATTCATGTGATTATGGCATTTTTAATACTTGATTGGATAATAGCCATAATCAAATTCCAGTATCGCAAGCCGGACACCTGGTTATCCCGCAGACTGGAAGTCTTACGGCATGGCTTACCGTCATCGCTTGAAAAGTTCTTCAGCAAGAGATATTTCTGGCCACTAACAGAAACACTCTGGATATCCATGGAAGTCCTCGCGGTAGCAATGGGCATTATTGGTGTCCAGGAGTTCTGTACATTTCTAGGTGTCCTCCGCTCAGGAACAGAAGGCAAAGACAGCAGCGTACATATCTCAAACTGGAGCTTTGGGCAACTAATCGCAGCATGCGTTTGGTTCCCGGTAATCCTCAAGTTTCTCAGCTTGATCATCGGTAAGTTGAGCCCATTATTTGTCGACGATTCGTTGACTGATTAGTTGCCAAGATGGTGTTTTACCAGGTTTACAAAAACGCGCCGGAGAATTGATTGAGGTTACATACCGTAAAGATGATGACAAGCGTGATAGCGATGTCGCGTTGGACAGACTTATTCCTGGACGGTCTGTTGAGAGGAGTCGGACTGATGGGATGGAGGGGAATACTCTGACGGAGAGGCGATCGTGGGGGAGACAGGATAGCTAGAACAGGTCAACCACGTTTGCGAAGAACATCGTTGAGTACAGCGAGAACAAGAAGTTGATTGGATCGAACGTATTCATTGCATGTGATGTTCTACAAGGGCTTCAATTGTGCGATACAATAACCCAAAGCAGATGGTACGACGTCCCGCTTGTACCCGACAGACCCGGCATCCGAGGCAAGTCCCCAGTTCAATCAAGCCATTATTACTCAACAACAGCAGATCGCGAAAGCACCAATGATGCTATCTTCAGCATTTACTGGGCCGACATAATATACATAATTCGCCGAGAAGGCTACGACTTGGCGTGACATTTTGGGAAAGTGAAGAGACTGGTTGACAGAAAGACACATCACTTTCAGTGCGAATTATGGGGGTATTATTCTTGTGGCTTGTTCCGAGGACAAGGATGTCGGGGATTTCCCCATACGCCGAGTCTTCCTTCCCCATGGGAATTGTCGCTTGGGCCTGGGGATTGTCCGCTAGAAGAGTGAGCTAACAGAGTGCCTCCGAGAGGGAACCGAGGTCGGCCGAGTGACTGTAGAAGAGGCAGGTGGTGATGTCAGCCCGCAAGTATTGGAGAGTAAAGGTGATGGCGCACTAACATCATCTCCCATCATCCATAAGCCACAAGCCCTGCGATTGGAGATTGACCCTGTTAGAGTAGGATCACTAGCGAAAAAGGGTACATCACACGATCGTCAGCCACACTCAAAACCCCAGGTCATCAACCCATCCCAACGATCATTACCAAAAGCATCCCATCCCCGCACCCCATTCATTCGTCAATGGCTTTTCTTCTCATGACCTTTCATCAAATCATGCATAACGTTCGGTCCGACATTGGACCAATCCTGCATCAACAGCCCGAATAATTTTACCAGCAGAGTTTTCCCTAGACTGATACTTAATCCGGGGGGAATAACAAGCTTACTTCCCCGCAATTAGAGGAGTCTCCGATGCATCATCGACACAACCCTTGTACAGCATCACCTAAAACTTGGTTCCTCCCGGCTCTTTTCTCGGCCTTAAATATGAAATCCTCTGTCTAGAATTGTTCTCGTTTAATAAATCTGCTGGGACCGTTGAGTAACGAACCGTTGTAGCGGGCTCACCTTCCCTGTCTGTTGATCACCAGAGGCGGAGTCTCCGCACCGGGGTAGCTGCACAGTGACGAGCTTACCTTACCCGACCTTCAAGCTAGCTCTGAGCTCACGATCGCCAAGACTCTTCGTGATATATAATAAACTTCATCTGTCCTTCAATTGAAGTTCTCTAGACAGCAACAACTTCATCATGTTTCTCAAGAAGCTGCTCCCGGTCTTCGCCCTCACAGGCACAGCTCTCTCCCAGAGCAAAGAAGGCGTCGAAGCTCTTGACCCACCCCGCAGAGACCTCTTCGAAAAGGACCTCTCCGACTGTCCCGGCTACAAAGCCACTTCCCATCGCTCCACCAAGTCAGGCTTCTACGCTGACCTTTCACTCGCTGGTCAAGCTTGCGATGTCTTTGGTGTTGATCTTCCTGAGCTGAAGCTCGAGGTCGAGTACCAGACCAATGATCGTCTGCACGTCAAGATCTTGGATACGAACAATACCGTGTATCAAGTTCCCGACGATGTTTTCCCACGTCCTGGTCTTGGACAATGGGCCTCGCCAGAGAACTCCAAGTTGAAGTTCGATTTTGTGGCGGATCCCTTCTCGTTTACTGTTTCAAGACGGGATAGTGGAGAGGTGCTGTTTGATACCTCTGGCAGCGATCTTGTTTTTGAGAGTCAGTACGTTTATCTCAAGACAAAGCTCCCCAAGAATCCTCACCTCTACGGTTTGGGTGAGCACAGCGATCCGTTCATGCTGAACTCGACAAACTACACTCGCACTATCTACACCCGTGATTCATACGGTACACCCAAGGGTCAGAACCTGTACGGCGCTCACCCCATCTACTTCGACCATCGCGAGAACGGTACTCATGGTGTCTTTCTTCTCAACTCCAACGGCATGGATGTCTTTATCGACAAGGAGGACGATCAGCAGTTTATGGAGTACAACATCATCGGTGGTGTTCTCGACTTCTACTTCGTCGCTGGTCCTGGACCCAGAGAGGTCGCTAAGCAGTATGCTGAGATCACGAAGCTACCTCTCATGGCGCCGTACTGGGGTCTTGGTTTCCATCAGTGCAGATATGGATACCGTGATGTTTACGAGGTTGCTGCTGTTGTGGCGAACTACTCTACTGCTGGAATTCCGCTGGAGGTTATGTGGACGGATATTGACTACATGGACCGTCGACGAGTTTTCACTATTGACCCTGACCGTTTCCCTGCGGACAAGTACAAGGACCTCGTTGACACGATCCATTCGCGTAATCAGAAGTATATCGTCATGGTTGATCCCGCTGTCTACGACATGGAGTCCAACCCTGCTCTTGACTCAGGTCGCGAGTACGACACTTTCATGAAGGAGCCCAATGGTACAGACTACCGCGGTGTTGTCTGGGCTGGACCTAGTGTCTTCCCTGACTGGTTCAATCCCGACTCTCAACAATACTGGAACGAGCTCTTCATCAACTTCTTCGACGGCGAGCACGGTCCTGATATCGATGGTCTGTGGATCGACATGAACGAGCCAGCAAACTTCTTCAATCGCCCTTATCCCGGAAACAACACTACTCCCGAGAACTTTGCTGAGGTCGACGGTGATCCACCCAAGCCTCCTCCCGTCCGCGACGGTCCTCCTGCCCCTATCCCTGGCTTCCCCGACAGCCTTCAGCCTCCTTCTTCCCGTTCTGAAAGACGTGAGGTTACCCCTCTCGCGCAAACCCCCATCATCAAGCGCTCTGCCTCTCGCAACCGTGGTGTTGGAAACTGGGCTATCAAGAAGACCTGGGGCCAGAACAAGTACGGTCGTCCTGGATCTAGCTGGCAGAACGGCAAGAGCACTGGTTCTGGCTGTGGTCCTAAGGAGTGCAAGGGTCTTCCTGGCCGAAAGCTCATTCAACCACCCTACATGATCCAGAACGGCGCTGGTCCTACGCTTGCTGATGGAACTACTGATACCGATCTTGTGCAGAGTGGCGACTACATCCAGTATGATACGCACAACCTTTACGGTGCTATGATGTCTACCCACTCTCACAACGCCATGCGCGCTCGTCGTCCTGACAAGCGTGCGCTTGTCATCACCCGAAGCACCTTTGCTGGATCCGGCAAGGATGTGTCTCACTGGCTCGGCGACAACCTTTCCATTTGGGATCAATACCGCTTCAGCATTGGTCAAATTCTCCAATTCGCTTCTATCTACCAGGTCCCCGTCGTCGGACCCGATGTCTGCGGCTTTGGTGGTAACGTTACCGAGACCCTCTGCGCTCGATGGGCTACTCTGGGAAGTTTCTACACCTTCTTCCGCAACCACAACGAAATCACTGCCGCATCGCAGGAGTTCTACCGCTGGCCCAAGGTCGCTGAGGCTGCTCGTAACGGTATCAACATCCGCTACCAGCTCCTTGATTACATCTACACTGCCATCTACAAGCAGAACCAGACTGGTACTCCTACTCTTAACCCTCTGTTCTTCAACTACCCCAACGACAAGAACACATACTCCATTGATCATCAGTTCTTCTACGGTGATGGAATTCTTGTCAGCCCTGTTACCAAGGAGAATAGCACTGAGTTGGAGTACTATCTGCCTGATGATATTTTCTACGAGTGGTCCACCGGCAAGCCCGTCCGCGGCGAAGCCGCTTACAAGTCTGCTGAAGTCGAACTCACCGACATTATGGTTCACTACAAGGGTGGCATCATCTACCCCCAACGCGTCGAAAGCGCCAACACAACCACCGCTCTCCGCAAGAAGGGCTTCAACCTCGTCATCGCGCCTGGTCTTGACGGCGAAGCTTCTGGTTCTCTGTACCTCGACGACGGCGAGTCAGTTGTTCAAGATGCTGTCTCCGAAATTGACTTCACCTACACGACTGGCAAGCTGAGCATGACTGGTAGCTTTGAGTATGACGCTGGAGTCAAGATCGAGACGATTACCGTTCTTGGCGTCGAGAAGCAGCCTGAGGGTACAGATCACGCTGAGTATGATGAGGAGAACAAGAAGTTGACTTTTGTGGCGGATGTACCTCTGAAGAAGAAGTGTTACGTTGATCTTTTCTGAGGATTGAGATGAGATATGATATGATTGGATTTGATGATGGGTTGATGTATTTAGCTTTCTAGTATATAGTTTAATCTGCTTAGAAGTATCGAGTTGTCGATTGAAAAATTGGTCTTAATGTTGTGAATGTGAGTGGGCAACGATAACAATTGTAGTATCGGTTATTCTGAGCTATGATAAAGAGTAACTGGTCATCCGATCTAGGCGAGGAATTGAGACCTATCACAAAGGCTTGTCATGTTGATCATGATAGCGCCCGGAGTCGCTCCCTAATCCAGCCACCAACTCCTTTATCGGTAAGACTTGAAAAGCTTCTCATACTTCTTCTTGGTCTTCTTATTACCAACCCAAACACTTTTCTCGTTACCAACAACCTCGATATGCTCGCCAATGTACGTAGCGACCTGTCCATTGCCATGAGCAGACTTGTCAATAAAGACATGCTCATCCGGCTCGACGACCTCAATATAGTAAGGGTGTGCCAGCATCGCGAGCAGATCATCGGCTGATTCGTATAGAAATAAGGCTACACCGTCGAAGTCGACGAGTTGGTTGGAGACGGGCGCTTCGGCACCTGCGTCGGTGGGGACGATCTTCCCGGCCACACGAACCTACAGGGGTGAGCATTTGTCAAAGATTCATTTCGGTAGAGGAGATGTACCTGTTGGTATCGTGTAATACCAAAAGCTGTCGCAAGAGGCGCAACCTTGGGTGCGTGTTGGGTATCCCAGTATTCGTAGAACTCATCACGGGTCATATTGGGATGACGCTTGACATAAGTCAACATCTGCAACAAGCCCGTCTTCGAAGATGAAGCCAGAGCCGTGCCGACAAGTCCGACGGTAAGGAGGAGTGACGTGATCTGAACCATGTTGTTTGCAAAGCTTGTTGTTTGGACAATGAAGATTGGGAGATTGGTGGCTTCAAACTTCCCGGGGATGGTGTCGGGTATTTGAACAAAGGGAAGGGAGGGTAGATTGCCGGGAATAGAGACATTGCAGGCCATGGTGAAATTCCTGCAACCAACAGCCATGCATCAAATTGAGGTCAGACCAGAACGCCATGGCAAGAGAACAATAGGTTCGCTAGAATGTGCAACTGAGACATGCTGGTTGATGGAGTCGAGTCCAGCTGACCTGCTCGAGACCCTGCTCCAAATTCCAAGGGTTCTTGTCCAGGGTCTAGGTTGGATGGATCTGGCTAGCTTAGCGATATCTACAGCAAACAAATCCTTGCCTTGTATGATTGTTATCCAGGGTCTACAATACGAAAAAGGCCTCGACATGCGGTCAGCAAAAGGTATAGCAGTTCCGCCCCTGGAGATCTGGACTGATCCGGTTATCAGTCAGCCATGACCATACTCTACGCCTGTAATAAGCATAGAGTAATCCTCTTTCGATCGAATATAAGAGCTTGAGCACTGATCTCTCATCAACGGGTAACATTTCGGCCCCCGACGGCCCGCTCTACTCTGTTTGCTACACACTCACCCAGCCGCTTGGCATCAAGCCACATCCAACCAACACACCAATCTCAGCCAAAGTTCAGAGCCCCACAAAAAAGAACAATGGGAAGAAGATTCCACTAGTTCGTGATGGACATGCATTGTTTCACTTAAAAGACTCATCACCAACAGAACAATCCTTTTACCCAAGACATCCTTCGTATGATTCTCCAAAATCTTGGAAGCAAGGGATCATGAGCAAAAGCAGCCGAGTAATTGCAGAAACTTTTTTGTTTGGCAGCCAACTCCGATGAACCATCCGGGATGATCGCGTTACAGAAAGACCACCAACTGGGTTTCTTCATCCATTGTTTCGTTGGGTTTGCTCATTATCATGGCTTAGTATTGTAGCACTTTCAATTTACACAAAGACAAACTTCCGGATTCATCTCATCTTGTGCAAAATGATTCATCGATATGTTAAGATGGTGAAGTTATAATTGAGGTCGTTTCCTCATCTTGGCATTGGCTCCAATCGATCAACTTTCAGCGAGGATAACAGTACTCGGAAATGTCCTACCCAGTGACAAACGGAAGAACGACCTTTTTACCACCGCCTGATGGATATGAGGTCGACTTCAATAACCCGCAGAAACAAGATGCCATCGAACATTATCTGGTTTTCGGCATCCTTGGACCGTTTGCTTTTCTATGTCTTTTGCAAAGACTATATACGAAATACTTCATATTGGGAAGTTTGAAGATTGACGATGGTACGTTAAGTGCGTGTTCCTAGTTTTGGATCATTGGCTGACTTGCTTCAAGCTCTGATCATCATTGCATGGGTAAGACCTCTTCATGCAAGGGAACGGGTCGAGAGTGATAGCTGATAGCTTGCGAAGATCTGCTCGCTCATCATGCAGTCGGTCCAAATGTGTGAGTGTACTCAGCCCCCTCGATCTTGATCTTGCTAACCCCTGTAGGGTCCATCTCGATCGGCGGTCTATGCCACCACGCTTGGGAGATGCCAATTCAGGTCTTCGAGAAGCACATGCTCGTACGTTGCCTTCGCTCAAGCCATCACTTCTACCCGCTCTACCCACCATATTTGCCACTAACACATCTCAGAGCTCCTACATCGCCGCACCAGTTTTCATCATCTGCAATGGCTGCAGCAAAACCTCCCTCCTAGCATTCTATCTCCAAATCTCACCTCAGCTCTGGTTCCGTCGTCTCGTTTTCGGAACAATCACTTTTGTCGCTCTCTACACCATTATCATCTCGACCCTGCTGTTGTTTGGGTGTAACCCTATCGCGGCAGCATGGGATCCACTTCAGTTTGCGAGTAGGAAGTGTATTGATCATGCTGTGGTTTACATCATTATCGCTGTTGTGAATATTATCTCAGATGTTATTCTTTTTGTCTTGCCGATTCCTATGATTATGCAATTGAAGATGCCGCTGGGGCAGAAGATTGGTGCTGGTATCATGTTCGGTATTGCCACGATGTAAGTCTTCTGCCATGAAAGAAAGGTTTTCTCAACTAACATGCTGCTCTTAGAACTGTCGCCACGTCCATCATCAGAATGGTCTATCTCCCAGCCCTTCTCGGCGCCCTCGACATCCCATGGGTCGCAGCTCCCGCCAACGTCTGGTCCATAACCGAAGCCAACCTCTTCATCGTCTGCGGCTCGATGCCCACGCTCCGCAAATTCCTCAAGCGCCACGCCCCGGAATGGATGGGTTTCTCATCCAATCCCAGCGACTCACCCATCGTGAAGTCTGTATCAGACTTATCGTCGCGATTTGGCCTCGACAAGAAGAAAAAGAAGAAGCATACTGGGTATTCTCAGTTCGATACTCTCGAGTTGAGTAATTATCCCGATACCATTAGCCAGGAAACACAGGTTATTGCTGGGAAGGAGGGATCAGGCAATGAGAGTCAGGACGAGATTTTGCAGCAGAGTAAAATTGCTTACACCAAGTCTTTTGAAGTCTCTCGTACTCCATAGAGAGATGCGGGTTAGTTATAGAGTTGAGGTCCGTTTTCACATCCCATTGTCTCGCATGTTGTAAATCGTCATCAATGTAACTTGTCATGCTGCACAATAGCTCTCAGATTGGCTATCACCTATCAACGAAGTTGTTTTTCATTCAGGTCATTGGAGCCAATACAGGATAATCTCGGCTGTTCGAAAGCTCTGTTCCTTTGTCTTCGATCTGTAAGAATCTGGCGCCAAATTTCTTCGCCCATTCCGAAACAGCTAACTTAGCGCTATCTCTCTTACAAAGCCAAACAGAAAGCCAAAACTCCTCCCATCAGACTTGCTGCCAAAGGAACAGTTGGACCCACAGCAGCGCTATCACTATCCCCAGTTTCCTTAGCCTCTCCCGAACTACCACTCGTACTTTCACCAGTCGATTTAGCCGTAGTATCAGCAGTAGACGATGGCTTGGCTTTCCCGTTAGAATCAAGATACTTCGAACTCGCACTCTCCACAAGAGACGAGTAATCAGTTGCTGAAACTGGAATGTTGGTTGCGCATGACACCGGTGTCCTGGACGCAGTGGCGGCGCAGAGAGGCCATCCGTCGCATGTGCTAGGATTGCCGCCGATGCAGCAGACGCCATTGTCTTGGCTGTCGCCGCTGGGCACAGATAGAATGCCGGGGCACTTTATGGCGGCAGTATTGATAATGTCGGTGCCGGAGTTGGTAATGCCACTAATGACCCCCTGGGCTGCTACGTGGTTTTGGAGGACCGTCAAGGCCGTGATTTGAGTGAGTGATCGTAGAGAAACCATATTGCTGATGTCGCTGGCAATGTGCGCAATGTAAAGAGGTTTCTAGGTATTTGTAGACTGAGTAGTTGTAAGATGGATTGACAGTTTATGATAGCTTTCTCTTGGCAGAACTATCTCATTTATACCCCTTCAGTTTGCCTCTCTTGGCCTTACCAGGCATCCGACTAAAAGCTAATTCTTGATATCGAAATTGAGGAACTGGCATACGGTTGGCTCGCCCTGGTAGTCTTCGAAAGGCTAGAGCGGTATGACTACCGATCGACGCCGCTAAAGATCAATAGTCTCCAGTATTCTCAGCCCAAGGAGCCGGGCTAGGCTGAATAGCGACAAATGCTTACTGGACCCTCCGACTGCCGTGCGCAAATCCTCTTTTGGGCAGTCCGTAAAGCTGAAGAGCGCGGCACAGACTTCACATTGGGACAGAGCTGTAATGATCGCCAGCCTCGCCGGGCTGACTAGAAGATCCTGGGCGGAAGTTCGGAATCTCGATGACGTCGATTGCAGAGCAGTGATTTCTAACTGGATTAGGCCTTCCAGAACTGTGCCCCTGTTGTGAAGACGGATACAAGATGATATGGATTAATGCTGTGGGCTAGAAAAGACCTACCAGGCGATTGTCTGCATATCAGTTGTTTGTTCAACCGACGTTCCCCAATGTCAATTGTGTTGATTTGAACTGTACGACTTGATGACTGACCTTCAAAAACCTTAAATAGATACCTTCTTTTTCGTGTACCCAATGGTGGTCTCCCTGGATATCGATCGAGGTGACAAAGCCAAGGAACACTAATACTTACGACCTTGGAGCTCTGATCCTACCATGCTTTTAAGAATAGTATCCGGTATCGATTATCTTTTTTTTTATAATCGTCACATTGGCTGGCGGCTGGCAAACACTAGAGAGACATAAACGTGGGATCTTCGCTTTTACTGTAGCTGGCTGGATACAATCATAAGAAGATCAGTATCACATGACGTCAACGTCGACGTCAAACGAAGGGCGCATTTGAGACTATATCAACGTCTTGGCCCGTCGACGTCAACAATCTAATGCCAAGAGGGCAACAGAAATTTTGAACAGCAAAAATTCCAATAATGTCTTCCTCGGCACGAACATCCGACGCGACCATGCGAATACCTGTTCCTCCTCCTAGCGATAGTGAGGGCCAACAAAATGATCACCAATCCTCAGAGCCATGTCTTCCGCCGACCGACCGTGGAAAGGACGCTTATCTTACTCTGATGTGCTGCACAATGGCCCAGGTATCTCTTCATCTTCCTTGCTTCCTCGCACCAAGCTAACATTATCAAAGCTACCAATTTGGGGCTATTCGGTATCATTCGGCATTTTCCAAGAATACTACTCCCGTCCTCCAAGCCCAATCTCGAGCGCATCATCCGGCACAATCGCAACCATCGGCGCCCTCCAACAAGGCGTGATGTATCTCATGATGCCATTCACTTTCCTCATCCTCACGAAATATCCTCGTCTTCGCCAATACTGCGGCCCGGTCGGCCTTCTCATCACAACGTCCAGTCTCACTGCGTCAGCTTTTGTAGATAGTGTTGCCGGATTAATCGCAACACAGGGTGCGCTTTATTCGATTGGCTGTGGGCTGTTGTTCTGTCCGATTTCGCATTACATGAATGAATGGTTTGTCGAGAGGAAGGGAATGGCGCTTGGGGTTATGTGGGCTGGTAAATCAGCGACAGGTACAGATGTCCTGCTACAGGTTTGTCCATCGCGCTGACATCAATTCAGGTATCGCGATGCCATTCATTTTTGACGCGTTACTTCGTCGAATCAGTCTACGCGCAACTATTCTCGCTTGGGCCGGTGCATCGACAGCAATGAGTTTACCAACCCTATTCTTCATCAAACCCAGGATACCTCATCATAACCAAGCTCAAGTCCAACCTCTTTCATTCAACTTCTTTCGGCATACGTCTTTCTGGATGATGCAAGCTGGCGTGATCATACAATCACTGGGTTATCTCATGCCAAGTACATACCTGGCCAGCTACGCGTCAACAATCGGATTACCCAGCATCACAGGTCCTATCCTGCTCGCGTTATTCTCAGTAGCTTCAGTCCCTGGTGGAATCGTGCACGGTATGGTTGGCGACAAGACATCAGCGACAAAAGCCGTCACAATCGCGTCTCTGGGCAGCGCATTGCCCATCTTCTTACTCTGGGGTCTGAGTCTCAATCTCGCAAATTTAGTCGTCTTCGTCGTTCTCTACGGCTTTTTCGCGGGCGGATTTAGCTCAACATGGTCCAACATGTCATCTGATATTCAAAAAGACGACGCGTCCGCTGACTCAGCGCTCATTTTTGGTATGCTCATGGGTGGTCGGGGGATAGGGTATGTTTCAGCCGGACCACTGAGTGGTGTTTTGCTGCAGGCAAAAGCGTCTCTGTCTGATGAGGCTTTGGGTTATGCGACAAAGTATGGGCCTATGATTATTTGCACCGGTGTTACGGCCCTGTTTGGAGCTTGGGCGCCAATCTGGAATGGGTTGAGAGTTGCTCTGGGTACGACTGGTGGTCGCGGTCGCAACCATTGAAACGTTTTGTTGTGTATTATCCGTTGATCGAGATGTTTTGTTGCGCCGTGTTTAATAATCGTCATCAATGGAATTTCTGGAAGAAAGACTCCGAACGGAAATATTTGTAACAATCCGTTCCAATCAGGCTCATTGCAAAGTCAATCGCCATTCTGATACTCAAAGCTACCGGGTAATTCGTGCGGCAATCATCAAGGTTCGACGTGTCCCATCGGACTTAAGATCGGCTTTAATAATCCCTGACCCTTGATGTCATAAGCGAAAAACAGCAACGAGGTAACACAGCATGCATTTCACTGTAAGCACTTTAAAATGCGACTTCAGGCTTCCGTCTCATTACCACCGCTTGTGATCTAAACCGCAAGCTGCTTCTTGTGCAGGCATCTCTTCGTCGTAGGCGTCATGGAAGCTGTGTACGTACACTTTGAGGAGTGGAGCTATCTTGAATTAATAATGTTATCCCTCCAATGGTAGTGGATCGCAGACCATGAGGCTAGAGATAGTTGCAAGGTTTGAAGGTTGTGATTGGCTTTGTTAAAGACAGTAACTACGCTAAACTGTCGTCAGTATTTGCCGTGGAGCCATTGTATCAACATTGAGACGCGCCATGAGACAATACCCCTCACTTGCACTCGCTTGGACCATCCTCAATGACATCAATTTCTTGTTTATAAAACAAAGAGCTCCCCTCATCTCTATTGCCATTGAACATTTTCATCATCTTTATACATATTAAAACTTAGTCAAAATGCCTGTTGAATCTGCCTACGACCCCAAGGACATGCTGTTCCGCCACCTGGGACCTACTGGTCTCAAGGTTAGTGTCTTCAGTCTTGGTGGCTGGTTGACATACGGTAAGAACCACGATGTCTCCAAGAGTTGAGAGCCACGACTAATTGACAACAGGCGGCACACAAAAGGGTGATATTGTTAAGCAGATCCTACAAAAAGCTTGGGATCACGGTGTCAACACTTTCGACACCGCCGAGGTCTACGCCAATGGTGAATCTGAGATCGAGATGGGCCGAGCCCTCAAGGAGCTCAACTGGCCCCGAGACGAGTAAGTCCCCAAACACCACATCCTCAATCAATTGAACTAACAAATCAGGTACGTCCTCACAACAAAGGTCTTCTTCGGCACAGGCCGCAAGGAGCCCAACACCCGAGGTCTTTCCCGCAAGCACGTCGTCGAGGGTCTCAAGAGCTCTCTCAAGCGCATGGAGCAGCCCTACGTCGATGTCGTCTTTGCCCACCGCCCCGACTACGCTACTCCCATGAGGGAGATCGTTGAGGGATTTACTCAGGTCATTCGCAACCTGAACCTTGCCTACTACTGGGGTACCTCAGAGTGGAGCGCTGCTCAGATTACCGAGGCTACTCAGATTGCTGAGCGCTACAACCTTATTGCTCCTGGTACGAATCCACCTTCTATTATTGACTAGTCTAAGGCTAACATTGGCATAGTCGTTGAGCAGCCTCAGTACAACGCCCTTCACCGTGAGCGCTTCGAGGTCGAGTACGCTCCCCTCTACGACCAATTCCAGTACGGAACCACCATCTGGTCTCCCCTCGCCAGCGGTCTCCTTACCGGCAAGTACAACAACGGCATTCCCGAGGACTCCCGTTTCGCCACCAACAAGGCCTTCTTCGAGGGAACCGTCAGCGAGCTTCAGACTGAAGCCGGCAAGGCCAAGATCGAGAAGGTCCGCAAGATGTCCGAGATCGCCGAGCGTCTCGGCGGCAACGTCGCCCAGCTTTCTCTCGCCTGGGCCCTCAAGAACCCCAATGTCAGCACTGTTATCCTCGGCGCCACAAAGGTCGAGCAGCTTGAGGATAACTTCAAGGCTCTTGAGATTTACAAGAAGATGGACGATAAGGTTATGGAGGAGATTGAGAAGATCCTTGATAACAAGCCCAAGGGTCCTGCTACATACAACCGTGAGAGGACTCTGGACTGGAAGCCTTAGATGGTCTAGATATGAAGAGTAGATCATCTAATAATGAAAAGCGTTAATGCTCTCAAATTATACTGGTCACTTACTGGCAAGTGACTACGCAGTCCACGCCTCCCTTCTTGTTTACTATCTTTCAGAGGAACAAAAGACACCACAAAACTTTTGTTTCTCTTACAAGTGACCCGGTGGGGTGTGTCATGTCTCTAATGTCAACACAAGTCACGGCAGGGTTTGGAATTGTTCCTGAGAAGCCGCAAAGGATGGTAGTAGTAAAAACAAGATTACTATGTTCAAGAACTATATACATGTTCATATATACAATATCAACCCCAACTCATCAACATCCAAAATCGTTACAACATCATCCATCATATCTAACATCCAGAAGGCAGAGTGAAGCTCTCAGTTCGGCTAGAGGAGCTGTACTTAGCAGCCGTACCAAGACCTCTCTTGGCAAAGCCCTTCCACAGCTCACACTTGTTCTTACCACCAGTAAGAGCAGTATCAGCATCAATGATAGCATCACGAGCCTGGACCATGTTGGGGTTGCAAGGCTGCAGAGCCATGCCGTCCATGACAAGCTTCATGGAAAGGAACTTTCCATCAGTAGGGATCTGGCCGTTGTACTTGGGCATATCATCGTCGCTCTTGCCGTGCTTGTCAATCAGGTTCCACATGACCTCGTAGAGGGCTGTCGCCCAGATCGTGCCGATGGCGTGGACGCTGCCCAGGCCGTTGGCGCTCTTGTAAGTCAAGGGGTTGGTGGTCAAGCTGGTGGCGTAGGGGTAGGCGCGGATGCCCTTGGGCTCGTTGGAGATCCAGTCGCCCATGGGCTTAACAGCGGAGCGAGTGTCCTTGGGTTGCAGTTGAACGGCGATAGCCATGAAATCACTCCATCCTTCACCCATACCTCCAGATTCACCACCCTGGGAACGTCAGTCTTTATCTGATAGAAGATCTAGGGAAACTTACGGGAAGACAGCCAGAGTTGGCGGGACCGCCAGTCAGACGGTTGCTAAGACCGTGAGTGTACTCGTGGATAACAACACCAGCATCGAAAGAAGAGTCTCTCATAGGAGTACTCGTGTCCCAGAGGTACATCCTCATGCGACCAGGCAGACCATCAGGAGGAGTCGAGAACTGCGCATTGTTCAGGCGCGATCCATCCTGCGTCATAAGAATAACTGCATCATCGGCGACACCTCCAGCGTTGTTGTTGTTAGCCTGGAAGTTACCAGCCTTCTCATCGAAACCAAGAGCGTGGAGAACGTCGTGGTACTTGTTGGCGGTGTAGAAAAGCTGAGTGGTAGAGGCATCGCGGTACTTGGTGGGGTCTGTCTCGGTAAGAGAGTACTTGTACTCGAAGGTGTAAGACTTGGAGTCGGGGCGGTAGTTGTTCAGGTAGGCGCTTCCACCAGAGGGGTTGGTCTGGGCAATACCGTTGTTGCCGCGGGTGGTGGTGTAGTTGCTGCTGCCGTCGCTGTGCCATCCAAATGGCGAGAAGGCAAGGTTCTGGGGGTCCTTGACAACAGAGCGAGATCCTGCAGCGGGATCGTTAACACCCCAGGGGCTGATACTAGGTTAGCCTCTATTCATAATACCCTCGAAGTCAAACTTACTAAACCTCGTAAGTAGCCTCAGCGTTGTAATCAACAACACCAACAACCTCATCAGTCTTGGCAGCATTGACATAGGTCAACAGCCAGTTGTCGAGAGTATCAGTCTCAACTCTCCAAGTAAGCTTCAGCTTTCCGTCGTCGACGAGATAAGTGAGCTTAGCCTGAGGCTTGCTGACGGTACCAGATGTGCCGGTGAACTCGTAGTGCTTGTCACTTTTCTTGACAGCCTTGGCGTTGTCAGCCTCGACGGGAAGAGAGAGAACCGAAACGGTGTCCTTGAGAGCTTCGACGGGGTCCTTCTCGTCACGCTTGGTTAGAGGACCGGGCATCTTGCCCTCGTAGAAGCTGTTTCCGTAGGAGAAGACTTCTCCATCAGCACCAATCTGCCACATATTAGTAAACATTCCGACTCAACAGGTACGGAGTCACTCACGTTGACGTTGAAGTCAGCATTGTCAACATCAACACCGTTGACGGTCTGCTTAAAGTTGACGTGCGCAATACCATTGCTTCCAACGTAGTGATCCTTGGCCATGCGGAACTCAGCCTTGGGGAAAGTGGCCTTGACGAGGTCCTTGGCAGTCTCGGTGTAGTCAGCTCGCTTGGTAACGACCTTGGCGCTGGCATCCTCAGGAAGTTCCTCCTGAGTGACATACTCTGCCATAGGGGCCAACTTGAAGGCCTCCAGGTCGATAGCACGCTTGCTTAGGGGAGAAGCATTGGGGCTTCTTCGTTGAGGGTGGGCTCCGGCTAGGCCGGTGAGTCCTATGAGGATGAGGCTGTCTGAGAAGCGCATGTTGATAAAGAGTGAGGATGAAAGAGTGTTGATGATGCAGCTCAGCTACTCCCAATGGCGATCCTTCGGCTTTTATATAGTCGATAGCTAGAAACAGAGTATCTATGTTCCTATCCAACTTCCCAATCCATCCGGGACTTTTGCACATCTTGGCCGCTTAGACGCCCAACACTAGCCATTGCCCTATTTTGGGATCTATACGGGGTCTTTTGTCTGGGGTAACTGATTGTCCACGGCAGTTCGAGCACGCGATCATGAGTGATAGCGAATTTATGGAGCCTGATTACTGTTGTCCTGACTAGTGTCTTGGCCAGCATACTGTGGTACTGTACTGCGGTTATGCTGGCTGCAGCAGGATAGGAAGGTCTGTCGGATAAACAAGAGCCGTGAATGAAACGGCTCGGGACGAACCATCAGGGATTAGACGGTGGATATGGGGTCGGAGTTGACTCCCAATGAGAGATAGACTCTCTTACGAACGGTTAGCTAACCCGCGTATTCTACGGTAGGAGTTAAGCTTATCAAGAATAAAGCCAGTCGATCATCATGTTACTAACTTTACCTCAACTTTAGTGTCAGTAGATAGTGTCACGTTACAGCGCTTACTACAGAACACGAGGAATCGATATTATTCCCCTTGGCACCAAGACCCCCAAGAAAGCATCTCAAAGTAATACGCGCTGATCATCAAGATAAAGACCCTAAATGCATGCAAGCGCCTTCGACGGCCCCTGCGTCGGACGAGCTTCTTTTTTAGCGAGTCATGCGCCATGGACAACCCCTGCATGATCTAGGGACCTTCCGCGTTGGGACATGTGCGCCGGTAATATAACCTCCGTTATATCCAATTGTTATCAATTTGACCAGTCAGGTTGGGCTGCGGACGATGTTATATGCCGTTGCGAGATTTATTAAGAGGGCGATGACCCTTTGAGCTTTGACTTGCCTTTTCGAATGTCTTGGTTCCACTGGCCATGTGGTCTTGGTCGACGTTGAGGATATGATCGTCTAGGAAGGTAGCATTACGCTTTGATTAGGTGCAGAACGAATACATACGACCTTCTTGGCAAATCGCGTGCGTGTTATCATTGTGCAGTAACAGCGACTCCCAATTCCTACCCTGAACTTCAACGATCAAACCACAAGTAGACACCTCAAGTTCTACGCACTAACAAGACTCTCAAAAAGAATGCAGTAGAGAATAGATTATTGAAAGTATGAATTAACAATGAGACCTGCAGCGACATCCAACACACAGGGTTAGGAAAAAATGTATGGTGGTGCTACAAACCGGTGGTGCTTCAAAATGACAATGGTTCGGAAGCGGCTGGAAGAGGAGGCGATCAACAATACCTAAAATGTGCAACAAATTCAACTTCAGGTAAATAGAGTCAATTGAAGAGTAGTTGAATAACAGAAACTTTCGCCTTTCTTCGTATTTCTTGTAGAACCATGTCTGTTCGGCCAGATTGGTTCTTGCGGCGGCCAAATTGGCCGGCGGTATGGGGATAAAGTGGAGACGACCGGCGAAGTTGGTCGGTTAGAGCCTCAACACCAGAGCAAATGTCGACGATAGCTTATGAAAGCATGGCTAAATTGGCCGTCAACGTTCGAGTTGCGTTGGGTGAATTGACTTCTATTAGTAATGGTAGAAGCTATATAAAACCATGAAGCTCTGTCTGTGTCAACCAACTCATCAACAGCTCATCAACCCATCAATCGATTTACCATCTTCTAAACCACCAGACAATCAATAAACATGACCGTAAACTACCCTCTCGCACTGGTCACCGGCTCGACCCAAGGCATTGGCCTCGCGGTAGCTCAAGCCCTCGCCACAAAGCACAACTACCATGTCCTCCTCGGCGTCCGCAACACCCAAGCCGGCGAGGAGATTGCTTCTGATCTTCGCAACAAAGGCCACAAGGTGGATGTTGTCGAACTCGACCTCACTTCTCCCGAGTCTATCACCAAAGCTGTGAAGCACATCGAGCAGAAGTACGGCTACCTTGACGTTCTTATCAACAATGCTGGAGTTTTGCTTGATATGAACAAGGACCTGACAACTTGGGACCTCTACCAGAAGACTTTCGCAACCAACGTCATCGGGACCGGTACTCTTACCCAAACTATCCTTCCTCTTCTTCGACTGGCCAAGACAGGTCCACCAAGAATTGTTTTTGTCACCAGCGTCATGGGCAGTCTCACCTGCACTACCGACAAAACAACCATTTACTACAACATCGATTACAAGGTCTACGACGCTAGCAAAGCAGCTGTCAATATGCTCATGTTCAATTTCGCGCGTGAGCTGGATGATGTCGGTGGAAAGGTCAATTCTGTTTGTCCGGGTTTGGTCAAGACGGCTTTGAGTGGATTTCATGAATATGGCACGAGCACAGAGCTTGGGGCTCAGAGGATTGTGGAGGTGGCTACTAATATGGATAAGGATGGGCCGACCAGGACTATTAGTAATCGAGATGGGGAGATTCCTGTATAGATAGACATTATTGGTTAGCTTGTATATTGCCAACCCTTGTCACCGCACTTTAGCCTAAACTCCGAACCCTCATTTGCTTACCGACTGCCATTTTCCGTCTCATCTTGTGATATCAACCGTAGCATTCAATGGAAATCTCGACAGAATTAGCCTTCTTCCAGACATGTCAGCTCTGCGACAAAGTCTTTACCCAGGGTATGCAGTTTGATCCGTGAGGCAATTGTGGCTGCTGACGCGACGTGACAGAGCATCCATTCAAGCGCCACGTCAATTACTGTCGTCGCGCCCAGAGTCAACGAAAAGGACGGCCAAAGTCGTGCACTGGCTGTAGAACAGCTAAAGCGAAATGTACTTTTGGTCAACCGTGTTCGCGGTGTCAGAAAAAGGGTGTTCGATGTGTATACCCATGTTCTGGTGTGTCGTCAATTGGACAGGCGCACCAAGTTGACGACGACCTACAAGCGCTTGAATGCTTCACGACACCAGAATCTGATCAAGTGTCCTTTGATTTCAACGATTTATTAGTGGATACCATCTCGACAGTGACAACGGACCCGACAAGTATTGATATGGACATGTCATGGTTCAACATCTCCAACGACATGCAAATCAACATACCCATGCAATCCCTCAGCGCCAAGGGTGATTTAACGCGAGTATCAACTCGGCTTTCGAGCTTACAGTATGCATCGCGGGTCATAATGCAAATGCTCTACGCGTTCCCCCAGATGATGCTTCGTCGTCAAACCTTTCCGCCTTTCATTCATCCCCATTGGCACCAGAAACACCTCCCAGAGACCCTCGCCAATTGTATGAGCATCGCACGATTATTTGCTGCGAGGACACCTGAGACAGAGTCATTTTTGTGGAAGATGATCAGTGCGGAAGAGGAGCGCTTTCGCGACAAGGTACGTTGATGAGTGGAGATGAAAAGACGAGGCTGATACGGGTAGTTATATTCTTCCTCACCTTACCAAGTTCATCTCTGTCTCCAAGCCATGATCATCTACATGATCATGGCAATGAGCGATAACAGAGACTGTATATCCAAATTATTCGAGACAACAGAGGTATCTATTCTCATTCACCCCACAACAAAGTCAATCATTTACTCATCATGACAGCTCATCGGTTCCCGCTTCCTCGATCTAGAAGGAAGTTATTCAACATCAGAGTCTTCCATAGAATGGAATGACTGGATCTTTGCCGAATCTCGCCGCCGCATGTCCTGCCTCTGGCTGATAATCAGCTGTGTCATAACCATCGAAAACGGTCATGCAGGCAGTGGTTGCCATGCCCTACATGACCTGCCTCTGCCATCAAGTAAAATGTTATGGGAAGCAAAGACACTAGAAGAATGGCAGACTGAAAAGGCGTTTTTTGATGTGAGTCGTCCACTGAAGACAGTAGGGGAGCTTGTTGGCGCGAAGGGGAATGTGGGGGACATTGTGGAGAGGCAGAAGTTGTTAGCTTGGGAGCTGGGGAGTGATAAGATGGCTGCTATGTTGGATATTGCTGTTGAGTTTGTATGGGGTCGGACTTTGTGATCGTCTTTTTAGAGTCTTGATAAGTGTCAATTATCATCAAACTCGGATTTCGGCATTTCTGATAGCCATCTACGTCATAAAAAGCAAAACCACGAAGATGATTACGAGACGCGTGTTAGCAGTCAGGTGGTGGTTTCATCTCCACGCCCCTAAATCTAAGGCGCGTCGTAGTCGTAACCTACTCAACGCGTTCCTCTGTCGACGCGATTGAGATGCTCCATCGCAATTTTAGGGTCTTCAGTGGGTCGAACTATCCAATTCGCTTCCAAAGTTTTGACTCAGCTCGTTCAATATCGCCGTCATCATCCGCATTCAACTCTGCAGCCATGGCTTTTGCAGCTTATCGACCGGATCCGTCCTACCGGGCGGGTTTATACTCTCTCAAGAGGAAGAACTTTGAACCCACTCCTCCTCCTTCACCCAAGCACCAGGAACGCGAACAATCCTACATCAGCATCTCATCTGACGAAGATGAAGATGTACCAGCCATTCAGTTCGGTTCAGGACCGAGGCTCTGCCCGGAGCAGCAAAACCTCGTCAATCTCATCATGAGCGGTCGTAACGTTTTCTTCACCGGATCAGCAGGTTGCGGAAAATCAACAGCCCTCAAAACTGCCATCCGTCTACTCGAAAAACAACAACTAAATGTGTTTGTCACCGCACCAACCGGCATTGCAGCTTTGAACGTCGGCGGCATTACACTGCATAGCTATATGGGTTGGAATACTACCGACGCGGCCCAAAGTCTGAGGGCTGTCATTGTCAAGGCAACACAAAAGAGAAGAACCTCAGGTGGCAACAAGGCACCGAACCCGACTGCCAAACGTCTACGACAAACAGATGTTCTCATCATCGACGAGATCAGTATGATTGAAAACAACTTCATCACACGAGTGGAAGCTTGTTTACGCGATATCCGTGGTGGCTCTTGGGGAGGCCTGCAAATCATCGTCACAGGAGACTTTTGTCAGCTACCCCCCGTGAAACCATTTGAGCACTGCGTAGAGTGCGGAGCTCATCGGATCAAGTGGCGCGAGAACGATCAAGGGAAAATGTGGTGTCCCAATGGTCACGGCCCCTGGATGGAAGAGGATAAATGGGCTTTCAGGAGTCCTGCCTGGAAAGCTGCAAACTTTGCCTGCGTCAATCTCCACGAAATTCACAGACAAAACGACGAAGTATTCATCAAAATTCTGCAGAAATGTCGCCTTGGTATCCCCTTTACGGAAGACGATTATCAAATTCTGTTCAACCACGAGACGGAGCCAAACATGGAGGAAACCGCTACACAACTGTACTGTCTGAAACGGGACGCTGCAGTCAAGAATGCGCAGAAGTTCAAGCAGATTGTCGATCACGAAACGTATGAATACAAGGCTCTTGACAACATCATATTTCCCGAAGGCTGGCAGGGGAAGAAGGAGTGGTACAACAAACGTAAAACATCTGACAATACTTTGGCGAAGCTCGACGACCATCGTTTCAATCCAAAAGTGGAGACGAAGGAGTCACAACTCGTCGTTCTCCAAGTCAACCTCAACCAGGAAAAAGGTCTCGTGAACGGCAGCCAAGGTTTTATCGTCGGCTATGACCCCATCAAACTAGATGAATTACCTAACATCGAGGGTCCTGACGCGGAACTGAGAATGGCGGAAGCCCGCAAATTCACACACCAATACATGAAAGCGAATCCCGATCAAGAGATGCAATGCTGGCCCATCGTGCAGTTCAAAAATGGTCTGCGAAGAACCATCTATCCAGTCTGCGTTGTCGGTCTACAAGGCGTCACGGGTATCAAAACCATGCGAACACAAATCCCGCTCCTACCAGGCTGGGCTCTCACGATCCATAAGAGTCAGGGTATGACGCTTGACAGGGTGATTATCAACTTGAAGAAATCCTTTGAGCCGGGGCAAGCGTATGTTGCTTTGTCTCGAGCGACGACTTTGAGAGGACTGAAGATTGGGGGTGGTGATAGGAGTGATCTCTCGATCGGTGTGGGTGGGAACCAGGAGGTGCATGAGTATCTGAGGAAGACTTTCGGGGATGGTTTGTATGCCGATCACCAGGGCCGCACTCTTGGATCGCGATAGGAGAATGTATTATGTTGAAGCCGTGTTGGTGATACCGTCGCTGGGGCGTTTTGTGTATTGATATCGATTGTATTGGGCTTTTGGTTACGGAGTAGTAGGAGTCTTCGGATGGGCGGGTTGAGATTAGGAATACCACATGTAACTGCGCATAACAGCTGCGCATAGGAATCGTACAGAACTGGCTAAGAATTGTATTGATTTGGTTTATCAATCCACAGGCTCCCAACCATTTAACCACCAGTGACATCGGCGTCTGCTCTTTCGACCCCAACCTCTCCAATTCCATCCCGTCCAAGATAGCCCAGTCTCGGATAAGGAGTTGGGTATCTGTTATTTGCATCGCTTACCCAGATTGGGTAATTCGGGTTCTTTGCAAATATGTCAGTCAGTTCATCTTCATGATAGGTATGACTTACATCGTCAAAGAACGGATGTTGGGCCTCAACATCGTAACGTTCCTGTTCCCACTCATCCTCACGCAAATGTCGTCTTTTACACCAGATGCATCTAAAGGTTGTTCGATGCGAAACAGCTCTTCCACATTTACACCAATACTATCCTGTTAGCGAGTCCTCTTCTCGAGGGTGCAGGGGTACCTACCGCTCGTATAAAAGCGTGATCATTCAACGTTTTAGAAGGCTCAGAGTCATCGCCATAGTCAACGCCATATTGCATCCACTCCCATTCCATCTCAGTTCTTTCATCAAAATACTCCCTTGTCTCTTCTCTTTCTTTGCCCTCACACTTTACACAAATCCATCGTTTGTACCTATCACAATCGCATCTCTCGTTCAAAAACTTCCCCTTCACTTCATTTTCCGCCTCTTCATCACACCTTTCGCACAAACACATAATATTATCATACTGTAGACCCCCCATTATATGCGGTCGGCGGTTCGGATAGGAGTTGGCTGGCGCTGCACGGGGATAGAAACGGCATTCCTCACAGATGTTTACACCGCATTTGAGGCAAGGTAGAGCATCTGCCTCGGCGCACTTGACGTTGTACAAATGTACCTCGATTTCTTCGTCACCTTGGCCATGAGGACTGTTGGTCAGCTCTCCGGGCAGTTTGGAACCCGGCAACTTGGAGAGTGAACAGTATGGACCTGCGTAGGCTTGCCGTGTTAAGAGACCGTGTCCATCACAGAGGGATTGGCGGGTTAGATAACTAAATATCTTGGGGGAATGGATGTAGGCATATGCTGAGCGGGATGTTAAACTGAGGTTGTGTAGGTCGAGGGTTGAGAGCCAGGGTGATAGGGAGGTGAGGATACTATAGGAGGCGATGAGGTCGATGAGATCAGGACGGATATTCTCTGAGGCCATTATGAAGTGTCTTCGATGGACAGAAATCACATTAGTGCTGATATCTCGTTGGGCGCTGGATGACTCTTGTAAGACCAGCCGTCAACGTTATGTCACGTGGGTAAGCGATTAAAGTCTGACTCACGGGTGAGGTCTATCCTATTCGGTGCTTATCTTTACCAAGAATGCAACCTTGGCTTGTTCATGGCTTCGCTTGGACGTCAGATGAGATCAGCCGAGTCCATGCGCTTATTGGCAATAAGCAATGATTACAACCTTGATTGTGGGTACACGAGCTTTTTGTCTTGGCCAATATCGGCGATTTAAGGTTTGGTCGTCGACCTTAGCTTGGAGTCGAGACCTTGTTCTGTAAGACCTTTAAGCGTACTATTGACGCCAAGTGTCTCAAGAGCTACACTCAAGTGGCCAAACTATCTCCAAATTTGGGTTTCTTGTCGGATATACGGCAAACATCAAGGTAACCTGAACGACAAACCGCCTGGTACCGTGAGGGATTGAAGGAAGTCTCGATGGAATATTTATTGAGCGACTCTCTTTCTTGGTTGACCTGTATGTCTCTGCTTTGCCCAGCGTATTCATTTAGCTCATCTCGCCATAGCCGCTGATGCAAAATGAACATCACAACACCTTCTCTCCCTCCGCGCTGATCAAGTCAGCAATCCACTCCCTATGCTTCTCGACCAAGTGCGGACTATGTCCAGATTCAATCTCCAAAATCTTCGCTCCCCATCGGTCAGCGACAAATGTCAAAATATCCTTGGTAAAGATAGTATCATTCTCGCAGAGCACCATTAGCTTGGGAATGTTCAAGTCCGCTGGTGTACAGGGAACAGTGACCTCAAATGGTCCTTTGCTCTGATGGGTAAGCGTCGGAATAATCTCATTAGCGACACTCTGATCAATGTCGCTGAAGAACGCGCTCATCAGTTTGTCGTTCTTTAGAGGTAGGCGTGTTTCCTGGTGGACGTCAGTTTAATGAACTTAGGATGTGGCATAGGTCAACCCACAGATACATCGTGGAACCAAGCAGATGTGTACTGTCCACCAACAGAATCATACATCGAAATACCCTTTTGCAAAACAGGCGTCGGTGCGATGAAAACTATGGAAGCAAAGCCACCTTGCAGACCCTTCTGCTCTCGCTCAGCTAGCGTGTGGCCATTGACGGCGACTTGGAGCGGCACAGCACCGTAGCTGTGTCCTACAGCGATGACCTTCCTTCCGCTGTCCAAGTAGGGCAGGATCTCGCCGTGGATGGCCTTGACGTCGTCTTCTAGATCTTTACCATCAACACAGTCATCGTAGCCAGCGGAAGCGAGGGTTGGAGTGATGACAGTGAGGCCTTTTGCTTCAATTGAGGTGATCAATTGGGAGTAGTGCTTTGGTTGATGCCAGGCACCGTGGACAAAGAGGATCACTGGCTTTTGTTCTTGAGACATTCTGTGCTGTTTCTTGATGATGAATGGTAAGTTGGTGACGCTGGGATTAAATACAGACAGGCTCAATGCTGACGGTGTCCGTGACAGACGAACCGTCACCAGGATTGCCTTGGCATCCTCACGAGCCTGTCATTTCATCGCATTTCCGAACCAAACCTGTCACATTTAACAGGGTTATCTATGCTGACCAACATTGGAAAATGGCTTGAAGGATTTACCACTCGCTACCCAGCCAATAAACAGCGCCATGGCGATTGGTGCGTAAGCACTAATACCACATCCTACGCAGATTATCGCTCAGCCTTATACGAAATGGACTGGCTTGTGGTTCAATGCGAGTTCGGAGGAGTGAGTTGCCGTCGTTCAGTGAGCCCGTCATGCTACCTGAAGAGCTTTCATATTCTGTCCGTTAATCGCCTACCGGCTTGGCGCTTATCAAGCGCAGCCTCCCACAGCGCATCGCAACGGCTACAACCGGCGACACTGGCCGCACGAGACGTCTTTATAGCGATATCACTTTCCAAACATGTGCAGCGAAGTCGGCCTAGTGAATGTATGTCAGAGCGGTTTTCCGCCAATTGGTAGGGACAGTAGTAGCTTGTTTGAGTTGGTTCTCTTCAATCACCAACTCTGGAGAAGTCTGTGACATGTTGGTAAGCATCGAGACAAACTCTGCAGTTGAAGAAGTTCGTGTGATCAAAAGTGTTGTTCTATCAAGTACGCATTGCCGGGCATCCTATCACCAGATGTATCACAAGCAAACTCCGATTAGCAGTTAAAGAAATAAATCAACAGCCGTTTTAGCATAGCCACTGGTTGGCTAAATCTTCCGTCAGATGACTCGACGGTGCCTCTGAATCCCCTGACTATGATAAATATATAAGACCCTCTTTCCGCTCCAATTTACACGCCTATAACAGCAAGAAGTCTTACAAACCATCATCTGTATCAGACATACTCATTTAAGATGTGCATGGTAACTTATACCAACGTTTGGTGCGCCTGCGGCAAGCTCTATTCCTTCACGAGAACCGAAGACTCTTGTCCGGCAAAAGGCACTTCAAGATGTAGTGTTAACACGAGCAGCAGAGAGATATCAACCACTGACATGTGTGACAAGTGCAAGGAGGAAGATGAGAAGAAGAAAAGGAATATGGCTTAAGAGTCTTGATTAAGGCATTATTCTCAGCGGTACTAGGCGGAGCCAACTGTTTGATTCTGGATGTTAATAACAACGTGCCTACCTGTGATGGCTCCTCGCATGGATCACTCACAGTCAATAACTCTAACCTAGTAATTGAATCAGGCATTACAGCTCGTTATAAATATTACGTATCTGTCTTGTCCTAACCACTGGCTTACTTCCTGTCTGCACAACCACAGCGACACTTTACAGCTTAAATCTGCCTCAAACTTCAATTACGAAACATCAAGTAAACAATCATGTGCAAGGTCAAGATCTACCATAACTGGTGCAAATGTGGGGAGCTTGAATCCATCGACAGGAATGAATTTGACTGTGACGAGAGGAACAAACCAGAGCACATGGTTAAGGAAGTCACATATGACGCTCCTAGCGTTCCTGGAGAGTGTCAATTATGCATTAAGTTGCGAGAGGAGGAAGAGGAGAAGAAGATGAGGGCCCAAGTGTCGTGATGCAGGCTTGATTCGCAAGGTGATTAAGTGTACTGCCTTGTACGTCAACTGTGAGTTGAATAGGTATGCTACCACAGCAGCTTTGTAGCAGTTGGTATCGAAGCAAGGTATACTGTTATTAAGTGACTAGACCTTTCTATAAAAAAGCCTCTTTCGAGCACAATCCCCTGTTCTTCTCCTTCTTCTTTATCTAGTAGACTCCCAACCATCAACAAGCATAACTGGAAACGAAGTTTATCGAGATGTGCCAAGTCGAAGTCCGTCACAAGTGGTGCAAGTGCGGTGAGTTCGACAATGTCGAATGGATCGAGGAAAGCTGCGACAAAAAAGGAGCAGATGGCCACATGTCCGAAGGAACCAAAATCAACGTAAAGAACATCGACGGAGAATGTTCAAAATGCGAGAGCGTAAGACTCCAGAAAGAGGCGGAAGAGGCTGGTAAGAAGACAGGGCCAGATGTAGCATTCACAGGTGGGTGGCTCAATGAGGACGATCTGGTGCCCCAGGCAGAGAGGGTTAAACTTTCGAGGGAGATACAGGAAGCTCAGCGGGTTAGGGAGGTGAGCACGGAGGACTAAAAGCACGGCGCATGGGTCAGTGAATGTGACGCGTGAGGTAGCCATGATAGACCAGAATATACTTTTGTGTACTTGAATAAGTGTCTGTCAAGCGTGACATGTCCAAGAGCGCAAGCTTTTAAAGCATAAGAGTGAGCTACAAGACACTGATTGTTTAATGGTGAGGCAGCTTTGTCAGGGTCGCATATGCAAAAGCAACCTAGAAAAGGCCGTACCATCGTCGTATGCCAGCGACTCAGAGGTGCAATTTCCTGTATAACAGGGAGACCTTTCGTATGATGGAACTCTCCCTGTTCGCAACCCAGTCCATTATAGCAAGTTCTTTCCTCAAAGACACCAACTTTGACAGAGAATTCATCATGTGCCGCACAACCGAGCGCAAGTATTACTGCCAAGATTGCGGCGAATTTTATAACATCTACATCATTCGAAAAGCCATGTCCGGACGTTGGAACGGCCAAGTACAATCCAACGAAAAGTGTGTTTAATTCAACAAAGCCAGCTTCCGAGTGCAAGGAATTTATTACAAAAAAGAAGAAGAAGGAGTAGGAGAAGCAGTGAAGATATAAGACAAAACGTGGGGTACGACATTCAGTGAGGTTGGCGCAGACTAACGTTATTTACTTTTTGATACATCAGCAAAAAGAATTGAAAGGATTAGCTTCTGATTGACAGCCACAGAGCGATCACGGAAGGCATCACGGGTAGACGTATATAAAAACGAGAATTTCTCATCTTGGTTCTTTCTTTGAATGCTTGAAACTATATATAGAGTATGACAAAGCCTTCGTGATGTGCCTCCACAACTTAAACTATTATTGGTGCAAAACTTGTCACTGGCTCATCGCCTGGTCGCCAAGACCAGTAGTTCCGGAATGTCTCCAAAAAGGAACGCTACAGTGTGTGCCACTACTCAAATACAACGACTTTGATCTTCCATCAACGGAATGTGAAAAGTGTATTGAGAAGAGAAGGAAGGAAGAGGGGGAGACAAGGCAGGAGGAAAGTTAAGGGATTATGCGGGACTTCGCCTCCGAATCTTTGAACGACCGTCATCAGCTTATTGGGAGATACAAGAAGAGACGTGTGAACATCATTTCCAATTTCGTATGTAGCATAAACATTGCCAGCTGTTCTATAGTATCGTCAGAGGTACTCGATCCGCGACCATCACCCGTCTCTGCAATCCTTACTTCCTGTCCAATCGTAATCAATTAATCTTAAATAGCCACCCACAATGGTAGTAAGCGCTATTTTTAATCCGAGTGGCTACGCCTTCATGATCAGCGGCGCAGCAGACCGCCGTGTAACATCGGAGCTGACTTCAGGATTCGGGGCTAACTTCTCACGTAATGTCATCACGGCTCTTTAAAGACGTCAGATGTCCCATTGATGATCTTTTTAACCGAGCTCAACATACCAACAATGTCTTTGCAAAATCTGCCGACTGAAATTATAGAGCTGATTGCCAAGCAAGTGCATCAGCTCAGTAGCCTCAATTCTCTATGCAGAGCGAACAGACGATTTCACCTCATACTGAACTGGCACTTGTACCAGAGAGACGCCAAGCGACCTTGTAAGGCACTCTTATGGGGAGCCTCCACTGGAAATGTGGAGGTTATGCAACGATCTTTGGATCTCGGTGCCAATATCCACGTTAAAAATATCGAAGACAAAACTCCACTACTCAAGGCTGTTGAAGGTGAAAGTCTGGAGGCCATCAACTTTCTACTTGACAGAGGAGCAGACATCAATTACTCCAACACCTATGCTGACAGCATCATGTACGTTGCTGTTTTCACGCGCAATGTAGATGTCGTCAAACTCGTTCTTGAACGTGGGGCAAATCCTGATGCTCTTTCTTATGCAAACACGCGGCCACTGTCGTTAGCTGTTGCAAGAAATGACATTGCGATCGCTGAAGCTTTGGTCAAGAGAAAGGCTCGCATGGATGAGCCGGGGCCGGGGTACTATACACCGCTGATCACGGCTGTACATGAGGCCCGGTACGATATTCTAAGGATGTTCATCGAAAATGGTGTCTTTATCACAGACAAGGATGGGTCTCTTGGAGCTGAAGGACTGAGACGTGCCGTTCTGAATAAAGACTACGAAGCGTTGGATATTCTTCTCAAAGCTGGTGCTGACCCTGCGAAGAACGGATGGCACGGTCGCTGTACGATAATGGAAGCTGCATGTATCGAGACAGAGGACCTTGCGATATCACTTGCTGAGAGTGTTGCGAATTTGGAGGAGCTGAAGGACAAGGATGGCGAGGGACTCTTGTATTATGCTGTTGGGTCTTGTTGTAAGCGATTTACAAAATATCTCTTGGATCGCGGTCTTAGTATCGATGATACCAACGAGCCGGAACTAAGCAAAGTGTGTAATCTATTGTAAAGTAGTTACCTGGATTTTTAGCTACTAATTAAATTTTTGTACTTTTAAGCTAGAACTAAGAGGTGCTATCGAGGCCTGATGTTCCGACGAATTACATTATTCCTGTTTATAAAGCATCACTGGGGGTTCTATTCACTGATATAGTAGATTCCCCCAATGGATCTGTTAATCTAGCGCTGCTGTAACTGAGTCATCTACCATACCCAATTCTTCAGTGCCTCCTCGTCCCCCACAGCCCTCTCGTCCTTGTCGACCTTCTCAGCCTCCCTTACCAACTTCCCATACTCCAGGAACTCTTCCATCAGCTTCTCCTCCTGATCTGCCAGCCTGCGGCGCTCCTCTTTCTTCCATTTGATATCGCGATCCATGTCTTCGATCAATAGCTGGACCTCTACCAGCTCCTCCCTCTTCTTCTCCTGCTCCACCCACATCTCGCAGACGGTGAGGGGAGCTTGCTTGACTAGGTCAAGCTTCTCTGTGCAGCAGGTGATGCAAGGCATATAGAGGGGGGCTTGCTTTGATTCCTTCATGCTGTAGGAGTTCTCGGTGCAAGGTGAATAGTTGTAATGTGGATGTTTGTTGAGGATGAGACGGTTCATTGATGTGATACTATGGAGAGTCCTTTTAGTCAGTAGAGATAGCTGACTAGACTTATAGCTGATGACTGCATGGTGGTTAGACCATGATTCATATCGTAAGGTATCTAAAACCATTAATCACCTCCATCGAAATAGCAGCTAAACTATGATTCAACATTACCTAGCTCAGTGATTGAATGTCTGCAGTATGACCTTCTGTGAAACCAAGAAGACCTGAAAGGTCCGTGACTATTACCTCTTAACCCTTCGTCCTTCACGTATAGCTTCGCCAAATCCCCAAATCCTCTATTCCACCTAAACCTTACTGTTATTAGTTTCACATTCTTGCCAATTGACTCTTTTACTTCCAAGAGGCTCGGTTCTTCAGCTTCAAGTGACTCCCTTACGACCTGAAGTCTCACCTCTCTGTTAAGTCTAGTGATATTCAAGATATTGCAGTATAGTTCACTGACGGTGAAGCCAATAGGTAGTTCTCGTATGGTAGTGCCAGTATGTTTGTGTAATGATTTTTACTTGTGGCTCTTTACTTTTTACTGCTGTATTCATATACATGGAGAAATATGTACAACGGCAAACAGCATCTTAGTCTTACTCTTGATCACCACTCACGTTGTCTTCTTCGCAAACATGTACGCCCACTCGTTGCCTACTGAATTGGAACTATATAAATGCAGTGGACTAAAGACTATAAGCAGTCCCGGTAGCTACGGCTTTCACCAGGTGTCCAAATTTCCACTTCCGTGAAACACAACAGATCCGGCGCGATTACATATTACCACTCCGAAAACTTAGCTCTCTGCTTGTTGCACGACTTCGCATATTTTTCGATCTCCTCCTTCAACTCCTCTTTCTCCTTCTTCAACTTTTTAATCTTCTTATCGAGCGATTCCAACTTAATCTTCCTCTTGATGCAGGACTCTTGCTTCTTAACCTTCTTCCTTTCTTCTTCCTTATCCTTGATCTTGGTTCTAATTTCCTTGAGATCCTTTTCTCGGGACGCAAGACTGCCAGTCGTTATATGCAGTGCCGCCAATTCCAGGAAGTCGCCCTTGTCTTTTTCCTTGTGCTGGTGCTGACCGGACTTGCTGGACCTGCCGGACTTGCTGGACTTACTAGCCTCCATGTTTTGGCTGGTTATATTCCTTGGTTATATTCCTTCGTGAAATGAATGTGCCAGATGTGATGATGGCTATCAGGTTCCTCGCTCCTAGTGACAGGAGAAAGCCTAACAATTATAGATCTTCTTCTCGGCCGACGCTGTTCATCAGACTCCTTTGGAAGATGCGAGCCATCTGGTGCAGAAGCACACTCAGAATTCGCGTCCGAATCAGAATTGAATCGAGCGCCAGAATCAGAACCGGAGTCTGGATTGGATTCTGGATCAGAGTCAGAAGACCGCTTTGGAGGGCGGTGTCAGTTTCAGAGAACTCATTCGACTATCTAAGCTCTCTGGGTTTACAGTACTCCCGTCGTCGTTTGGCCACCTCGCTGTATCGGTAACGATCTCTAGGCGGGAAGACTCTGTCAGACTGGGGAGATACCATCAGCCGGCTTACGTTTCTGGTCCATTATGTCCGGCAGGCTCCATGCTTGGACACTCTTGCCGATCTCGACTAAGTGGATTAGCCTCTCCAAATTCCATGTTGCTGCGTCGGCGTTGGCTGTTGAGCCTGAACATTCATAGTATTTGATGATTATCCTATCTCTCAGAAATGTTCGCTTCCACAGAATCTTTCCTTCTTCATTTCTGCTCTACCATATCGTAAAATTCTAGCTGAGCATAAAATGCCTTTGTTTCTCTTCCTTCCGCCGACATCAACAAACAAGCCTCTCTCGTTAGATGCCTTATTTTACTTGAACGTCATCACTTTACAGCTGATACAGGACGGATATTCATGAAGCAGTCAAGGGAGAAAAAGAACTAAGTTGTAAACATGTCAACTGTCAAATATCCGAACAAGCCGTGAAGCCCCGCTAACCAAAAATCTATGCCAACCCAGAACACCCAAATTCCAAAAAAGTCAGCCCATTTTTTGTGCGCCAATCGAATTAATTCCCCCGCCCTAACGAGCCTTCCACGCCAAAACAGCCAAAGGCCGAATCCGCTCAATCTTTTTCTTCATTTCCCATGAAGCATCCTCTTCACTGTATCCTATCCACTGTACTTTGTAGTATCGTTTTTCTTCGCCTATTATCCTAAAAACGTGATATTTGTCAAAATTTGTCGATTGGCAGCGGCCGCCGAGATTGTGCCAGTATGTGAGGACCAGGTTGGGCATTATGTGTTGAAGTTCTTCTTCGCCAACCCAGATGTAGTGCCATGAGCGACCGTGGTTGAACGAGTATTTGAGACGAAAGGTGACTTCACACTTTTCGCTGTGGGCGGTATGACTTGTAATAAACGCTTGGGTTGCGTCTTGGTAAAAGTCGTCATCATCTGCGGGTTGATAATCCGACGAGAAGTCGGTTACTTGTTCTGCTAAGGGAATATTAGCGAGAAGTCTTCATTTACGCAATTTGTAAGATACGTACTCTTGATGAACATGGTGACGGTGGATCGGCTTTTTGTAAAGGAAGCGGTAGCGATGGCAATAAGTTGTAACAGGAAGAGTTTTCCCGATATATAGAGATTTTATAGATTTAGGTTGTGAGTCATCTGAAGGGGAGGCCTTTGATACGATGAAGAAAAGGCCACGGAGTCAATATGCTGCCCCGACTCAAAGGTAACTCGAGAAAAAATAAAGTAAACAATCTACCGGAGAAGAGAAATTTGAATGCCGGTCGTTTAGCGTTGTAGCATCAACAACAATACTCTTGTCAGGGTGTGTCAGCTTGGGGCATATTATGAAATTCTTCAAGCTCTTGTTTGAACAGAAGAGAGATGGCAAATTGCAAAAGGTGCAGTGCAGTGGGAAGATGGATGCATGCATGTGGTGGTAAGAGAAGACAAGAGACCGAGTAGAGAGCGGCTGATATTTCCGCCTACTCCGAAAAGTGGGACTAGGGTGGGTACCCCATGCGCTTGTAATTTGCAGAGTGAGAGGCCAGAGAGCAAACGCCCATTCTGTGCAACCACATGAGACTTGTAGACTTTCTAGTTCTTTCCTTCGAGTTACGATAAGCGAGAGACAACAAATCTTGAATTCCGATTATTGAAAAGCTGTTCTTTTGAGCAACTTTGTCTGGATAAAGAGTTGCCATGGTGAGTCAAAAGCATAGCTGAGAAATGTCAGAAAACGCCACTTCACTGCCACTTTATTTCTCGTATCGTATCAGCTCAGTCAGTATGGAATGATGGGTCCTCTTACGCTATCCTGATTAACCTTTTTGTGTGCCGGCGTCATCCGAGACTTGCTCTTAAAATGAATCATCAAAACAATATCAAGCTCAAGTCATGATTTCTCTATGCTTTTGTAATTGGTATTTGTTTACTTCTCATTCGATTTGAGACGCGTCTGTCAGCTCTCATGTAGGCTGCTCAGCTGTCTCACTCACTGGTGCCTTAGCATTTTGAGGCCAGTGTGATGACGTCACCATTGTTCATCTCATTTCACCGCTTATCGCGGGCCAAGGACCGGAAAGTTTTAGGCATTGGCTGATCCTTTTTAAAAGCGAGTGGAAGAAAATAGATATCTTTTTATTTCAACGGCTGGTGAAATTTGGAATGAACTTTTTCTTGGAAGCAAGAAAATAACACTGTTAAAAAAAAGAAAACGAAAACCATGAGTGACTTCCATGTTGTTTCACCATTTACATGTTGTCGTGACAGTTCAAGAATCTGCGACTTCGAAGATCCAGATAGTAAGCTGCTCTTGGTATCTCACAGTGATCCTTCAAATCCTACAAAACATTATGAATAACAGAAGTGATTGTTTCGATCGACTGGTGTGCAAAATATTGTTTCCAGGCTCAAAAATACTGAAGCTACAGGGTAAGCCTATACCCAAATGAGTTAGCCTCTCATGGCGTGCTTCTTATAGACGACTCCACAGCACAGGCTCCACCAGCCTGATTAGCCGGATCCCGATTAGTAATTTATCTCCTTCAACAAACATCTCGCCAAAACGCGACAATGTGGCTTACCACTGCATTTACCCTCTCGACGATAATTGGTCATGTTTCATGCCAAGACCAAATACCACTGACCGAGGAAGCAGCCACAAAGCCAATCTTTACTCTACGCGAACAATCCTCTGATCTCTGCGATGCTGGGTCGAGACAATGGACGGGGACTGTTAACGTGACGGCTGATAAGTCTATGTTCTTTTGTACGTATAAGAACAGAGTGATAGAATTGAGACTGATGTGAACAGGGTACTTGGAGAGTAGGAATAATCCCGAGACGGATCCTTTGCTATTATGGATGAGCGGGTATGTTGATGCACCCTGAAAAATGAGGTCGACTAATGCGAGATGCCCAGTGGACCTGGTGCAGCTGGGGAGATGGGTCTCTTCATGGGCAGTGGTCCTTGTGTTGTTAATCCAGATGGAAGCTCAACGCGTCGTCAGGAATACTCTTGGACCGACCGTGCCAATGTCGTTTACATAGAGTAAGTACCCTCAAAGGATACACCATGCCTTACTGACTTTCAGTCAACCCGTCGGCGTCGGCTTCTCGGAAATCACAGACCGAGATAACATCGCTGTGAGTCTCGACCAAGGTGCCAAAGACGTACATACCTTTCTCAAGATCTTCTCCCAATCCGTCTTCCCCAATCTAGCAGGTCGACCATGGCATATCACTGGCGAGTCAATGGGCGGGCATTATGTAACTGGCTACACAAAGCACATCGCCTCCCAAGAAGACCCTGGTATCAACATCTTGTCTGCTATCATCGTAGACGGCTACATCGACGCTACGCGACAGTTCATAGGCTACTATGACTTCTTTTGTGAAGACTGGGCTAGGGATGGTCGTAAGGCGCCGCTTATGAAGGACTCAGCTTGTAAGGATATGCACGATGCGATACCAGAGTGCGAGAAGATGTCGAAGAAGTGTAGGGAAGTATATGACATTGCTACGTGTAAGGCTGCGAATGAAGTCTGCGAGGAGGGTGTTGGGGAGTACTTTATGGATGGTGTCGTTAGAGGGGGCTGGGATCCTTATGATAGTGAGTCACTTGATCCGTCCTCGATGGGAAATTACTGACGCTGAGAAGGCCGGCATCCTTGCGAAGAGCCTCCCATGTGCTCCAATCTCGATCACGGACCAACATGGAGATTCTTGAATAAGCGCTGGGTTCAGGAAAAACTCGGATTTAGGCATCATCCATTTGATCTAATTGATTTGGATACCAATCAGCGATGGGATCTCGCGGAGAACATCCATCTACCTGTTACTCGCGAACTAACATGGATTTTGGATAACACCGACATTTCGGTGCTATTTATCAACGGCAACAACGATATTATTATGTAAGTTCTTGTCACCATCTTGAAAATGATAATGATTGCTGATGATCGAAGCAATACTCCGGGACAAATGAGCATGCTAGACAATCAACCATGGAAAAGACAAGACGCGTATCAGGATCTCGAATACGAAAATTGGCACTATACAAACGGTGAACTAACTTCAAATTCGCACGGCTGGAATGTCAAAAAGGGAGGTTTCTGGAAAGGAAATGATCGTTTAGCATTATATGCCGTTGATGAAGCAGGTCATCTGGCACCGCATCATCAACCTGAAGCTATCGGTGCAGTAGTCAGGTCTTGGCTTCGCAACTACTAAAGCATATAGATACAATTAAAGTCTAGCCTGCCTCCAAGCCTTTTCTCGCGCCATATCAACACTTCTCGCATCCTCAATAATCATATGAGCCGCCTTCTCTGCGATAGCATAAACAGTCGCTTGGATATGCGCGCTGACCTGTAGAGGCATGATACTCGCGTCAACAACTCTAAGGCCCTTGACGCCATAGACTCGGAGCCTTGAGTCGACGACTCCACCTTCGATACCGGCTCGACCACCCATGGCACATGTTCCGACAGGGTGCCAGTCTGTAATCGTGTTCTGTGTGATCCATTCACCAATGAGCTTCGCATCGTTGTAGGCTGCTGCTGGAGGGGAAGCAGGTGCGCGAATAATCTTCGCCAAAGGTTCAGTGTGTACAATCTTCTTCACGAATTGTAGACACTGCTTCATGACTTCCAGGTCGAGGTTTCCGTGTATACCTTCGTAGTACTTTGGGTCGATATCAGGTGATTCGTCAGCCTCGCGAGAAGAACGAACGTGGATTGAGCCGACACTAAAAGGATATTGAAGAATTTGCAGCATGGTACCGTACTTCTTGCCCTCTTCGCCCTTGAAATTCGGGTTCCAGTTGCCGAGGTCAAATATATACTCTATCTGACCGAGTTTGGAATTGCCGTCTAGGCGATGGGTGAGGATATCATGTTTGTCTGAGTCAAACTCTGAGATCTGATCTGCCTCGGTATGGAGCGTGGCGAGAGTCTCTTTTGAAACGAAGTGTGCTAGAGGCACGTAGCAAAGAGATACAGGCAGGATAGTCAATGGTCCATCAGCAGTCTGAGCATATTGCTCCTTTGCAGCTGCGGCAAGACTTTCTTCCTTTTGGACATCATCACGATTGGCAAGTGAAGAATCAACTTCAAAAATCGTAGCGAGCACTAAACCTCCGTTAGTCAACAATTAACACTGGGAAGGTGTCACATACTGATATGCTCCTGCAGATTCTCCCCAACTTGCAAGCTCTCAACCTTGACGGGGATATTCGCGCGTTCCAAAATCTCAGGGTTTCCAATGCCTGAAAGCTCCAATATCTGCGGCGACTTGACACTTCCCGCAGAGAGAATAATCTCCCTTGTCGCAGAAACAGTATACTCTTCATCATGATACGTGAAGTGAATACCGGTAGCGATCTTGTCTTCGTTGATGATGATCTCATTTACCGTTGCGTTGGTAAGAATGTAAAGGTTATGCGGCTCGTTGACTAGATAATCCGTTGCATATGATCGTCGACCCGTGGAGGGATCGACGGCGTTTATGCATGTCCAAACACCAGTGTTTGACCCGCTTAGATGAGAAGGATTGGTTTGAACACCTAGAGCATTGAGGGTCTTATGCCAAAGGCCGTGAGAGGGTGAGTAATCTGTTGGATAAGATATTTGGATCGGACCAGAGTCGCCCAGAGTGTCTGCATCGTGAGCAACTTCATGCTCACTTAGAACCTTCTGACTGGGTGGATGGAACGTCTCAGATCGTTTAAAAAAGGGTCTTTCGAGAATGAGATTAGTATGAACCTTAGATACCTTCAGTTCACTTACAGAAGTCCATCCCATCCCCAACCTTCATTACCCAAAGCCTCCCACGCATCATAATCATCCCTACTAGCGCGATTCCACGCCATATAGTTCAACGCGCTCGTCCCTCCGAGCACCTTTCCTCTCGGCCACGGCAACGTCCGTCCGCCGAGACCCTTCTGGGGTGTGGTTTCAAGTTTCCAGTCGTAGGATCCTCCCAACGTTTTGCCGTAGTGGCCTGGGATATCTACGTCAGGATCATTTTGAACAATGGGACCTGCTTCGAGAACGCCAATTGTGTATGAAGTGTTGGATTCAGCGAGACGGGCTGCTAGTGCAAGACCTGCTGTTCCGCCACCTATGACGAGAAAGTCAAAGGGGAGATGAGTAAACTCATCGATTGTGCGAATTGATGGTGTCATTGCGGCTGATTGAGTGTGGTACAGATTAGTGTCTCAAGTCTATTTGAAGGATGTCAATGGCGGGAGATTCCGTAAGAAAAAGCAAGTACAGTAAAATCAGGCCATGCAGTTGGTTGGATGCCAGTCAAAATGTTACAGAATCATGGTTGTTGGTCGAAGAATCTCGAACGGCCCAAAAAATCGGTGAGGCTTTTCCCTGCAGTTACGAGTAGCTTCTGTTGGTTGCTCGCTAGCACCACTGATTGGTAGACGCTGCCAGGGGTTGTCAATTGGTCAAAACCTTAACAATATTGCTTGGGAATAATGTAACTGCCGAGTGGAAAACAACCCCCAAAGAGATAATTCATTCAGAATTAGCGGCGGATCAAATTCTAGAATGCGTAAAGTTAGCGTTCGGTCGTATGATGAAGAAAACCTAAGCTTTCGCCCAGCCGGGACGGGATCAACCCCCACGAAAATTCCGAGTCTAGCAGGGATTGGAAGCGGGCCGAGTTGGACGACAGACGACTCGAAAGTTGTCTCTTATCTCGTTTGCCCTTGTCTTCCTGTGCCGATTTAAGCGCAACGCCGCAGAAGCCCTGTTCCTGTTGGTGAAGAGACAACGGTACAGCGCAGGGGAAGAGAGCTAATCATGCAGGCAACTTGTCGGTTGGGAAATGTCTTTCGTAGGAATCACCCTTGAATTTCGCATCTGTCAAATTTGGAAGAAGGGTTTGATTGTAAAACTATTGTTCTGGGATGGACCTGGTTTTGCTTTTCATGGGACGACTTTGTCAATCCAAGCGAGGTAAGCATCGTGTCGGTTGAGCTGAGCATGGTTTCATATTGGATCATGAAAGATGACAGCAGCCAACGCAGGGGTAGACAGAATGTCATTCTAAATTGTTGAAGATCTTTTCTTCACCCGCGTTATCGCAGTCTGTAACACTGACGCTGACATCGTGTGTGAACTGTTCTTTCGCCATGGAGTTTTTGCAATCTTTGTTAATCGAATCATGGGTTCTTTGGGTCCTCGGTCTCTTCATTGTAACATGTCGCCTGTAAGTCCATCCTCCCCGCCCTCCGAGATTCTCTGACAATAAAATGCAGTGCATCGCGACGACTGAAGCTTGGAAAATGGAGCCTTTTGGCCATTGAAGATTATTTGATGATCTTCGCCCTCGTACGGACTCCCCCATCCCCCAAAACCACAGCCAACTTACACCATTAGATCAACTTCACAGGCGTCGTAGTGTCAATCAACGAAGTCGCAAAGAATGGATCGAATTATATGGCCCCCGATGTCGCAGCGAAACTCACACCCGAAGGCAAAAGCGCAGCCATCTTCGGCAGCAAAATGACGTTTGTTCTCGAAATATTCGCTCTCACAGCTGTATGGACGATCAAAGCTTGCTTGCTATTTCTTTACGCAAGATTAACGCAGGGGACCTCAATTAAGCAGCGTTGGGCCGTGAGGTTTGTTTCTGCGTTTTGCGTGGTCACTTATATTGTTGTCATCTTTTTGTTTGTCTTCTTTTGGTGTTCGCCTACGCCGGAGTATTGGGCTGTGCCTGTCAATCCTGATAAAAGTATGTCAAGCAGAAGGAATGTTTTGATGGCTTGACTAATGGATGAGCAGTGCAATGCGCGACATATTATTCGCATATGATTACTGCGACGGCGTGCAATATCGCCAGCGATATCATGCTGATCTTGTTACCGATTCCGATTGTCATCAACATCAGCTTGTCGAGGAAGAGGTAAGTCAATTCACAATTCTCGAGATGACAATGTGACTAACTATCACAGGCGGATTGGGCTTTGCTGTGTCTTTGGCCTTGGTCTCTTCAACATTCTCGCCGCTGTTCTTAATCGATACTACAACTTCAGTAACCCAAACAGCTACGTCTTCCTCTACTGGTAAGCCCTCTCACGCCCAAGACCATCAACCTCACCACTGACATCGCCAGGTACGTCGCAGAATCCGGCGTCGCTCTCTGGGTCGGCAATCTCCCGCTCTGCTGGCCTGTCCTACGTCTCGCCCTCGGTTCAAAAGGAGACTCATCCAATCCCTCGTACCCGAACCCATCATACCCCGAAAACTCGACTCGTCGAAGAACACAAGGTCGCAGTAAGCCGTCTGTCTGGGCAAAACTGGAGGATGAGCGCTTGTCTGAGCAGGGAAGTCAGATTGAGCTTGTGGACCAGAATCCTTATTATGTGGAGGCGAAGGCGAGTGGTGATGCACATGAGGAGAGGGGCAATGGGCGCATTACTGTTGTTACGAAGGTGGAGGTAAGCGAGGGAAGACTGTAGACTGGATTTTCTAGATTCTGTATAACATCCTCTATCGTGTTTTAGCCACAGACTATCACGAATGTGTTCGACAAGCTCCAAATCGAATGCCCGTAGAAGCTGAGTGTCCATCGCCAAGTCGCTAGCGAAAGTGCCGGCATCTCTCCACCCTCTTCTTCAAGTCCCTCAAGGTATCAATCGGTTCCGCTCCAACCGACTTTGACGAGCTCGCTAAAACGGAGCAGGATTAGCGTAGGCGAGTGTGGTTTCATCGCTGAACAACCCGCATGAGACCCTGGTTGAGGGAACAAGCCACTAACATGGGGGTCTCAGCCGCTGAAGCTTGCCTCTCCGGCCAGTACTTTCCGGTGGGAGCGGGATGACATTGAAAGGACATGCATGTAGCTGACTGTTGATTAACGCTTTACTAATTGCGGGTTCCTCTGTAACAATCTGGACCGCCTCCCAGGATCAGCAGAGTTTAACCAACAGATCATTTCATTGGAACTCCGTACAGGGATGCAATATGCAGTCCATTCAGCCAACAAAAGACCTCAAGCCCCCTCAAACTTTGTCTACAACCTTCCTCCAGTGGCTTATCTTAATTTCTTTTCCCTGTCGCAATCATGTCTCTCCCTCGCGACACAGAAACTGCGCATGAGAAATCTGCGACAGTGAGCTCATCTCCAACACCCCATGACGATGCCTCCTCCAATGCATCCAGCCCTTCCTCTCCTCCCCTCTCAACATTTGGAAAGATCAACGATCGCATAGAAAACCTCGCCGGTCTAGAAGCACGCGGTATCCAACGCGTCCTCCCTGAAGAACGCCAACCTGCTTCGAGCGCAGCAGACCTTCAAGTCGCACTGCTATGGTTCAGCGCAAACCTGTCCCTGAACAACCTGGCCACGGGCCTTTTTGGCCCGATGGTGTTTGGTTTGGGGTTTTTGGATAGTGCTCTCCTTGCTGTGTTTGGAACCATCTTGGGGGCTTGTTCGACGGGGTATATGGCGATTTGGGGACCGCAGAGCGGGAATCGCACGATGGTATGCATCTTCTTTCCATCTCTGATGACTGTTGACTGACTGGGGCACAGGTTGTGTTGAGATACTTCTTTGGGTACTGGCCTTCGAAGATTCCGACGTTTTTGAACATTGTTCTCATGGTTGGCTATGCTACCATTGACTGCATCATCGGTGGACAGGTCCTGTCAGCTGTCAGTGGTGGTACAATGACTATCCTAGTAGGCGTAATCGTCGTCGCTGTAGTATCATGGATCGTTGCTGTTTTCGGCATGAAGATCTTCCATACCTATGAACGGTACGTCTCCATCCATCCTCCCACCTCCTTCCTTATTTCCTTATGCTAACAGCTTCAGGTATGCTTGGATCGCGCAGGTCGTTGTCCTCGCAGTCCTTATCGGTGTCGCAGGGCCTTCCTTCAACGCCTCAGCCCAGCCCACAGTCTCTGGCCCAGTGCTCGCTGCCAATCGTCTTTCTTTCTTCACTCTCTGCTTCTACGTCCCCAACTCATGGGCTGCTGCGGCCTCTGACTTCTACGTGTACTACCCCGAGCGCACATCCCGTCTTAAGGTCTTTCTTCTGACTGTCGTTGGTCTTACCATGTCTTTCACTCTTGTCTACCTCATCGCTATCGGTCTGGCTACCGGTCTGGTCGACAACAAAGACTGGGCCGACGCCAACGCCATTAGTACCGGTGCTCTTATCGTCAAGGCTTATGATCCTCTCCACGGCTTCGGACGGTTCTGTTCTGTCATTATCGCCCTCGGTGTCATCGCCAACAGCACACCGTCCCTCTACTCCGCGTCCCTCGGTTGCCAAGTCCTTGGTCGCTACACCAAGGCTGTGCCACGTTGGGTCTGGTCCACCGTCCTCTCCCTGATCACTCTCGTCCTCGCCATGGCCGGTCGCGAAAGCCTATTAGTCATCTTTCAAAACTTTGTCGCTCTGATGGGATACTGGGTCATGTTGTTCATCTGCATTGTGATTCAAGAACATCTGATCTTCCGCGGGGAGAAAGGCTTCGATTGGACGGCGTGGGAGGACAAGAACTACCTTCCTGTCGGTTTAGCTGCTTTTGCAAGTTTTGTGCTGGGTTGGGTCGGTGCTATCCTGGGTATGTCACAGGTTTGGTACGTTGGTCCTGTGTCGAAGGCTGCTCATAATGCGGACTTGGGGATGTGGTTGGGCTGTGGGTTTGCTATTGTTACATTTCCGGTGTTTCGATACTTTGAACTCAAGGTGTATGGGCGATAGCCTCTAGTCAGATTGGAAGAGTATGACTGCAGGATCCTTGTTTTGGTTTTTATCAACTCATAAATGTATGTTCTTGAGTACGCCTTCAGGTCAAAAGAATCATCTTCAATATTAAAGACCGTCTAGATTCGAACATAAACCATGTACTGATGCACTGTTCCTTCCGTCTGGCCGAACCACCACCGCTCCATACGTCGACCGAAGCTGACTCTACGTAGCCGAGCACTCAGTATCCACTAACACCAACCCTGAACAAAGAAGGGTCAGACTCAATCCTCTTCCTCAGTGGTCCCGATTTCAGCTCATCAACGTCCCATTTAGCCCACACAAACCGGCCGTGAAGAAAACCGGCCTCTTCAGAAGCTGCCCAGACGGCAAAATCGCCAGGCAATTGAACTATTTCCGTCAGTTTGATAACAAGATCTAAACACAAAGTTGCTTACTATCGTCCCATTGGAAGCTGTTCTCGTCAGTGAACCGCTGAAAAGACTCGGTGTAGTGCAGTCCTGGTTCGAAGGTGATGACCTGCATTTCGCTGGATGGAACGGTCATGCCAATGTGGTTCATCATCATCGTGACGGCGCTTTTGGTGGTCGAGTACAGAGGAATGGGTATCGAGATGGGAGTGTCGTGTATGGCGATCGTGGAAAGGTTGAGAAGGGCCTGATAATGTTAGCTTGGAGGTATGCATTGTTGGAATTGGATACTGACCAGCTTTCGGGAAGGGTTTGACTCCCTCTGCTTATAAAACAGACTAGTCCAAAGATATGGAGCAGCAACGTTGATATTGAGACCTTCCTTGAATGTCTCAAAGCCAAGATCAAGGAGAGTGTTGGGCAACCACATGCTAGCAGCGCTCAAAACAAGAACATCAACAAAGATGCCATCCTGCGCAAGCTTCTCCCAAAGCTTTTGAGTAGCGGCCTCATCCGCAAAGTCATTGACAACAGGAATGACCTTCATTTTTGGATACTTTCCACTAATACCAGCCGCCGCCATATCCAATGCATCTTGTCGACGGCCGGTAATAATGATGCGGTCTGCTGAAGCAGCAGCAAAGGACTTGGCGATACTGAGCCCTATGCCTGTAGAAGCACCGGCGACAAGAACAGTGTTACCAGCTTGGGAGAGTTCAGGGCGAGATGGTGAGATGGCTTCGTATGATTCGCGATGAATCTTGGATATGAGACTGCTACCGGCCTTGGGGGCTTGGGTGTTCTCCCATGGGTTGTCTTGTGTGTCGGCGGAAGGCATTTTGATGGAAAAATGGGACAAGTCTTTAGATATAGAGTGTAAGGTTTGAGTAGCTCATTGAATGAAGGAAAACACCTTTCGGGCGAACAGAGTTATAGTTTTATAGCTGAATTGGAGGCGTTTCCATCATGATGGATTTCCAATCGTGCGGAAACTTTGCGGGTAAAGAAAGTTACCGTTAAACTTCATGGCGTACAGCTCGCCCAAAACCCGCTGCGAGCAGAGGGTCAATCCAGCTCATTAGGCGCTGAGACCCCGCCAAATTTCCCGCCAGATCCCCGCCAAAGCCGCACCTTTCCGCAAGATACCTAACCTGACAGCCAACGTTGTCTTCAATTGCTGACAACTTCTTATCTCCAAAAACCCGCAACCTTCCGCATCAACAAAATTACAAACATGGCTCCAGTCGCGAAAGTCAAGGCTTGCTTCCCGTGTTCAAGTGGAAAGCGCAAATGCGACAAAGCGCAACCTGCCTGCACCCGCTGTAATGACAGAGACGTCGAATGCCGCTACCCCCCGACCAAGCGAAAAAGACCGCACGCTTCCGCAACAGATGTCAGCAACAGTCCAAACATTTCCAATAGCAATGAAGGGCCTTCAACTCTGACGAACATCGCCTTCCCGTCGTCAGCAACTGATCTTGTTGATCCGCAAGAGTGGATACGAAGTCTCGGAACCTTAGGCGCGCCCCAGGATGACAGCTCCAGCTCTTCAGTGTCGACAAGTCAAAGAGATGCGACGCATTTCTTTCTCAAGCCTGATACATGGATCATCCGACATATTCCCTTTACAACTCCAACTTTTTCGAATGAGATATGCATGAATTACGTGAGGGGTATACACGACTTCTTTGATGAATGGGTGACGAACTCGCACAGTTCATTCATGCATAGGCAATTATACGCGGACTCAGGATATCCTGCTGCAATACAGGATGCGTATGCTTGTGTTGCTTTGCATAATGTCAAGAACGCGGCGAATGAGAATGCCATTGATGACATTCTGGCAGCGAAAATGGCAGCACTGTTGAAATCTTATCCTGAAAATGATATTAGCAGCGGGAGCCTGGACATACGAGAACACCTCTCGCGCACACAAGCACTCTACGTTCATCTTGTGTTGTCTCTCTTCTCATCGTCAATCGGGGCCCGTGCAAACGGTGAACAACACATACAAACCCTCATATCATGGACTCAACGGCTCTGGGAAGTGGCCCATCACGACCCGGATGTCTGTCAATCCGACAATAGTGATGGCTCAGCTACATCTGCGAACGCCATCGTCCTCGATGCCATGTTTGACGGTGATACGACACCTCGTCTATGGCGGTCTTGGGTTCTATCAGAGAGTATCCGACGAATATGGTTAATGGCCACGTCAACGATCGGTGTATATCTGACGTTGAGACAGAAGTGGGCAGAGTGTCACGGTGGGATCTACTTCACGTCGAGGAAGGATGTTTGGAACGCCAAGTCAGCGTCTGGTTGGGCTGCAGCTTGCCGCAAAGCCGACCCGTTGTTTGTCTGCAGTCTGGAGTGCGAGAGTCTATTCTTGACTACAAAGGCGTCTGACGTGGATGATATGCTTATCAACATGTTCACGATAATGTGGGGTGCGGAAAGAGTTGAGAATTGGGTTGAACGGACAGCTCAGCCGGGACAGACTGTCAGGGTATGGAGAGGTGATGGAGGCCAGAAGTAAAGCCTTGATAATGGCTGCTACTTAGATCTTGATGTTGATTGATACATGGTTCACAAAGAATAATAACTGCCACTTGATCTTCAGCAACCGAACAACAGCGTCCCATTGTAACGACAGCTAGTAGCCAGCATGCTTCCTTCGAATGGATCAGGCGTAGTATCGAAGATTTGGCTGCACCTGCATTGAATGAACCTTTCAGTCCAACAGTTGGTGAATTAGATTTCATCTTTGACGAACCTAAATCCAATGCTGCGCATCAACAATATGCTTTGCAATGAGCGCGTTGGCAGTGAGTCATCGTCTTCGAAAAAGTATAAATACTCGTCTTGAACCTATTCTCTTTCCTTTTCTTCTTTCCATCATCAATCTCTCATCTTTAATAAAATGTCTCAAAACTCCGATTCCGGCGCTGAGAGCGTCAAAACCGATATTCTCCTTGCGATCAGGCATGAGCATCTTGCCAAAATCATCAGCCGCGAGAAGAACCACGAGTATCGCAAATATCGCCTCAACGATGGTGTGTGCCGCCTCTGGCTGTATGAAACTGCACACGATGGTGGAAGCTCTTCCATAACGTAAGCCATTTACTTTTCTTTTCGCCTGAAACTCATTACTAACTTATTTCCCAGACATATCGCCGTCATTCCTCCCAATACCCGCCATGAACCAGGTGAAGTCCCTAATGAGCCCCATGGCATCGGCAATGAAGACTTCAACGCTGGTGTCAAGGAGTCCAAATTCGGATACCCCATTCTCGAACTTTACGAACTTGAGAGCCCGGTGACTCTGAATGAGTTGAAGGCGCGCTGGGGGTTCAATGGTCCACCCCAGGGACGCCAGTACGTGAAGACAGAGCTGTGGGAGGATAGATGGGGTGAGCAGGGGGACAGGAGTGAGAAGGTTAAGAAGGTTTTTTAAATGATACCCTAGGATTAGTACATAGCAAGCAAGTTTGCTAGAGGGAAATAAATACTTGCATTAATCCCTATCTAATGATGTAGCCCAGTCGCTATTGAATCCATTTATGCTGTCTTAACCATGCCTCACACATAGAAGGCCACTTAGACACTGGCAAATCCTTATCACTACTCAACGCAAATCCATGAGGCGCATCCGCAAAAACATGTAACTCAACCGAAGCGCCACACTTCGTAAATCCTTCAGCTAGTCGATAGGCGTTGACAACTGGAACAACGGGATCATTGTTTGAGTAGACGATGAACGCGGGCGGCGCAGGAGAGCGAAGCTGCACATCAGGCTGCACAACATTGTAGAATTCCTGCTTCTCTTTCGGTGGCAGTGGTGGTTTGTTCTCGATGATCTGACGGCCGACTGCATTCGTAGAGATTGGGCCATAGCCAAGGATAGCGAACTCAATCTGCGGCATCTCAGGATCGGGCGATGTCCAGACATCAGGATACTCTGCTAAAAGCGCAGCACCGAGGTGTCCGCCTGACGAAAGACCACAGATGCTGATACCCTGCTGCGCGAGACCACTTTGCTCCATGATCTTGAGCGCCCTCCTCCCATCGTCCAATGGAGCTTGAGGACCAGTCTCGCTATTCGGAAAGCGGTGCACAAGAACGAATGCATAGAAGCCAAGAGTGTTGAGCCATTTTGCGACAGTGATGCCTTCCTTCATGAGCATGTACTCAACGTAGCCTCCGCCTCCGATGATGAGAATGCCACGGCTGTTGGACTTTTCTGGCCGGTAGCCTATGAGGTATGGAGTGTTGACTTTTGAGACGACCCCATCGTTGAGGGTGATCGCATCGCTGAGGGGGAGGGGGTCGTCCAACAAGGGCCAAAGTTGATCGAGATCATCCAATTCGGTTGGTCTGTCGAGTACACTTCGGCGGTTACCCTCTGCGGGTCTGTCATTCAAGCCCGAATGTTCCATTTTGTTTGACTTTGAAAATTGGAGTTGTTGTGAAATGATGTCGGAAGTGATGTCGTGTTGTTTTGTGCGCGGGGATTGAGTGTGGTTTCGCCGGATCATCAGTCCGAAATGCCGAGGTTGGGGGCCGCCGATGGGACAACAGCAATTGGGGGCAAACAAAATACAGAGTAATGTGAACTTTGGAGTTCGATCAGAACACGAACTGATGTTCCGACTATCTTATGTATTGTGCGCTTGCATCGCGGGGTGAACGATGGTGCTAAGACTATAGTCACTCGGCTGATTACTACAGTACTGCAATAGAACACCGGTAAGGAAGAAATATTGCTGGATGTAATCGCGATCAAGGCTTTATTATTTATTTATAAATGGAAATTATGTGCTAGCATTGAAAGACAGGAATGTAGAGTCCTGACCAGCAGCCTCTTGATCCTGAGCAATGTTGTTCTGCAACTTCTTGTTCTCCTCCTCCAACTTCTCATCAACATCGTCACCCTGCGCCTTCTGAGCCTCAAGCTTCAGAATGGTAGCGGTAAGCTTCAAGACCTTGTTCTTGATTTTGCCACGCTAGAAACCGTTAGTCCATATCTCTCAATTCAACACTGGCTGACTTACTTGGAGAGCATCAGCCTCTTCACCAGAAGCTGCCTCAATAGCAGGATTGAATGCGTCAGTCTCAGCATCGTTGGCGATCTGATTGACACTGTTTAAAAAGTCTAGATCGGATTTTTCGACTGTTGAGAGATCGTTGGGGAGACCGCCGAGTTTCTGGAGGGCTTCTTGTTCGGCGTTGCCGGCTGTGCCGCCGCTAATAGAGAGATCGTCGTAGGATGATTGGGAGAAGACGGCGCGCTTAGAGAGGGGTGCTGCGATGGCGGTGGCTGCGAGGCCGATGAGGATGGATGTGAACTTCATGATGGTTTGTTTGATTGGTTGTGAGTGGTGGTTGAATGATAGGAATTGGGAAGAGTTCACGGAATTGACAGCGCATTATAAACATTTTTGAAGATCTCAAAACAGTATTCATGCCAAGAAGTCTATTGCAGTTCATCCCGTTTCTTCCTCAGATTGGCCCTGTTGAAGCACAAAGCACCGTCATCAAACGCTGAATCCTCGTGGTAGATCATACTTGCAAGTCAAAGATGAAGCAATTCAGAACGGATATCGAGTCTTCCGGATATTGAAGACAATTTCATTTGCCCAGTTTGGGCTTCTCAACAGACTTGATAGGTTGAGATACGTGCTGGTCTCAAGCTGTCCTGTTACAAGGAGGTATCCCTGTGTCGCATGCTGTTTCATCGCGTCTTGAGTTCCAGGCAGGTTTGACTGGGGTTATCCGAGCTGGCGGTACGAGAATACGCGCTTTCATCGCATCGAGTTTATGTATCTTAACCTGCTTGACATAAAGATAGACATGTTGTTTCATTGAATGATCAATTCTCCAAGGGTGACAGCCGCTCAGTCCCATTCAGCCAGCCACATCGCTACGCTAGCAGTATTTAGCGCGTGTTGCCCTGTAGATACCCCAAATTATGGGCCACCACGAACAGTTGATTGCAGCAAAAACAAGCACGATTGGTGATATCGATCTAGTTATGTCTTAGAAATGGAGACTCAATCATGGTCTAGACCATTGCTGAAAAATACAAAGCTGGCGTGTTGTGGCCAGCGACTTCTCTTGAACTTCCATCTTCATCGCATATTCTTCCATGCATTTCGAAGATGACCTCAGAAACCATGTACGGCAGCTGGTCTCTCCGAGTCGACAATTCTAAGCCTACCTTGAAGGCGCTGGTTGACACTCCACTAGATGATGCCAAAGACAATCTCACGACTCCCGCTGTTATCAACGAGGGGGACCATAACAGTGAGTTTCGTATCCCCATATTAGACCACGATTAACCAGGAACTAGCCCTAGTCAATCTTCAAGTACAATTCAAGGACCGAGAGAAGGGTGCCAGCCATTGGAGCAAAGCTACAGGATTGCTCATCAGACCAGATCTCGTAGTTACAACGGGTCACGCCACCTACGATCATGATAATGGACGAGGAAAGGCTGTTGAAGTACTCGCTTACGTGGGCTACAATAGTAAGAAGCCTATCGATGACCCCAGTGTTCACGTCCGCAAAGGTCTCAAAGTTGCTGTACCTAAGGCCTGGATTGATGGGGATCGATATCGGACGCAGGATATTGCTTTCATTCAGCTTGATCGTCCCTTCAAAGATATCATGCCTTTCCAGTATGGTGCCAAACCAGGGGGTGGTGATCATCCTTCCCTGGGAGTGATTGGCTATCCCGGCGATAGCGACAGCGATGGGGCTGCGGTACAGATGTATGGAAGCTGGAATGGAGAGACATATGGTCTTGCCAAGGAACCTGGAGGCCAGCACTTTACCAGAAGTGCATCCCGAATCCCTCTTGAGGGAGTTATGAAGGCTATGGATGGCTCTGGAACAGCAGTGAAAACGGTCGGAGGTATTGATTACATTCATGTACGGGGTCCGAATAACGCTTGAATTGAGATTATGGTATCATCGAGACTTATCCAAACAGTGACCGCAGATTGTTCTCTTCCATAACATCAATCCAATGCACCGCCGCCATCCCGGGCGTTTCCTTATCGTACTCATCCCAGATCTTCTCCACAAGAGTCTTAGCCACCACAATAGGCCTAGGCGGTAACAGCGCTTCCAGAGCATCAAGTCTCCCAATGATAAAACACCTTGCATCAACGATTTTCAACCGCGATTCAGAAACCGTGGATAGCCGATCGATGTCCTCGTCTGCTTGGACGAGTTGGCCGATGTAGTCTGATAAGCCGCAGTGTTCTGTACTTCCGAGATCGAAAGGTGATGGCGTTGCGAGTGGTGCGGATTCTGGTGAGATGGGGGTTTCAGAGGGTTCAAAGCGAAGGCCGGTGCTGGCGGTTATGCAGAGTAGTGGTTGGGTCATTTTACTTCCGGAGTCGGCGGGGAGTTGTTCGATGAGCTTGGTGAGACGGAGACTTAGCGGTGCAATGCATTCTTCCCATGGGATGTGCACATCAGCTGGGCCTGTCAGATGATCTGGTAATCGCAACAGTACCAGCTCTGGGAATGTCTGGTAGATGTGAATTAGACCCGCAAGACGGTAGGCCTCAGCGACGTTGACGAGATGTCGACATGGTGTTTTCTGGTCTCCAGTTTCGGTATTCGCGGGCGCAGACTCAAAATCCAATCCCAAGAGCTTCTCCTCCAAGTGTTTCGCTTCGTCGATCATTTTCAATGCGGTCGCATGGTCGCGTGTTGCGAATGGGCCAGGATGTTTGACGTGATAGCGATAATTCCGACAGAGTCTCAACGTTTTAGTAAGTAATCGCGAGACAGTATTCGACACACCAGTCCACGGGTGCGGCATGTCATCGACAATGGGGTCAATCTGGGCAGCGGTCGGATACTCATCCACACTGATATCCTCCACTTCGTCAGCCTCATACGTGATATACGGGTTCGTATCCGACACCACAGAAAGTAACATCTCGCAATACGTCCAACTTTTGTTGAAAACATTCAGTAGCTTCCTCTCTTCGTCGGTAAGTCTTCTCTTCTGCTTGTTGATCCGATGAAGCAGCGCCTTGGCCTCTTTCAGGAACGGTATGCCCAGCTGCGTAGCGTTCAACCAGCAAATACTCGTACCGATACAGAAAAGACCATAGATCAGACCCATGGGGACGGTGTCGAGATTTGGTGATGATTTGACGACGCGGAGTTCAGCTTCGATGACATCTGTGGCGTTCTTCATCATTGAGATGGATGTTTTCTTCATGTGCGGCATACGGGATGAGAGGTAGGCGGAGGACATGCTTTGAAGGCTTGTTGAGACGGCTTCGGATGTGGACCAGAGTGCTGTGGCCATCATGCGGTTGGAGTTAGTGGGCGAGTCGTATTGAGACCAGAGAGAGCAGACATCACGGAACCAGTATTCGACGAGCTGTGATGAGAGGTCGGTAATGGGTGGAGGAAGGAATAACGTTGAGTAGTTTTGCTGCATGGGAAAGAGGGCGAGTTCGTTGTTCTCCGTAAAGTCCTGTGTCGGCGTCAAATCCAAGGCATCAGGTGTCCAGCCAAACTCGATTCCCTCGACAGGAAGATCCATAGGAAACTGCGCCATGAAGTCTTCGGCCGGACTCATTTGCGTCTCCTGAAGGTGAGAGTTCTGACCAAACTCGATAGACTGTGGCGATGCGTCAAGCATAAACTCTCCAAATGTGCCCTGCTCAGTCGGACTGAACTCTGAACTGGCTGTAGCGAAAGACGACATGGACGCTGTATCAACTTGTTTCTTAGGTGGTCGTCCCCTGCGCTTTTTTACAGAAGGACATGGTGATGCTGAGGGTCGGAACTTGTGATCGGCTAGTTCGGCTGTTTTCTCATGCTTGGTTGACCAGCGGAGACCGCGTTGGTAGCCGCCGCATTGGACGCCGCGGGAGAGGCAGACGTTGCAATCTGGTTTTCCTTCATCGCATTTGAGCTGGGATAAAATGTCAGTGGTGTCGGTGAGAGCAATGATGGGAAACGTACGTGTTTGTTGCGACATGTTAAACAACCTGATCTTGATCGGATGGCGACCTTTCTCTTGGCAACGGGCCTACCTGCCGAGGATGCACCTGGACTAGATTCCATCATTCGTCAGTAACGAGAAGGACTCGATGAGCAAGTTATTAATCATGGATCTGGGAGAAACGTGCTCAGACTCGCATGGATGAAGAGTCATGAACTGATTTGGACCGAATTGAATTGCCCCTTCCCCGCAGAAGTTGAAGTGTAACGTGATAAGATTGGTTTAGCGCTAGACGCTAATCGTCAAGCTGAGGCTCTATTTGCTACGCTACGATGCGCCCTTCGGCCGGCATTTGACTTGGCGATCTGTCAAAACGCACAAGACAGCTGTTCGGGTAGTCCAGCCGAGATTCGTGGGCAAATTATGATGCTCATTCAAAATTTGGGTCATGTTCTTGTACAACACAATAAGGTCTATTCACAAATAAGCTTATTTTGATTGATAACGTCTGTGACGACAGTCAACGCGGAACACGCGGCATGTTCCGATCAGCCGATCAATTGTTAGTACACCAATCTAACCAAACTCAACATGCCTCGGCGAATCTTGTCTTCAATCAATCTCAGATACACCATGGATCAATCACTGTTCAATCAATTGCCTATGTACAGAAGCTATCAAGTCATTTCCGCACTTCTTATTGCTTCGGAGATTCCAGCTTCTTCTCCTCCATGGCAAGTTCATCTGTCGCTTCCGAAAGTTCGGGTCTTTCGCCAAGAATAATATCGAGTTCCTAAAAAGACTAGTTAGAATGTGGAGAGAAGCATGAGAATATCAGACTTACGGGGCCTTGGAAGGTCTTCTTTCCATAGAGTAGCCAGTATCCTATCAGGAAGATGGCGAAGATGCCAATGACTGCTGAGACGTAATCTAGAGTTGTGTCAGTGTTGATTGTAGAAGCGAAAGGAGGACACATACTCATCAAGCTGGCAGTAACGGGTAACACTGGTGGGAAGCAGAAGAACTGTAACAACGTCAGCTTAAGCAGCATCGAGGACGAAGAAAGCCTACAAATGAAGTGATAAAGACGTAGAGTACCGCAACGTAGTTGATGATAAGTCCTCTCACTCTTCCAAATTTCCACGGCGAGTCATTCCCTTGGAAGTTCTGAAACTGTGTCAAGATTCCTCTTCCCCTCACAAGAAGCGTCAAAACGGGAATAGCGTACGACATATTCAACAGAATCGTACACGAAGAAATAAACGCATTGAACGCAACAGTAGGTCCAAGATACAACAGTCCAAAGATCGCATTAAACACCCACGTAAGAACAATCGTTCGAATAGGCACTTCCCACCTAGGATGAATGTGGCTAAAGTATGAATGATAAGGGACGCCTTTATCACGCGCCATGGCGTACAAGAGTCGACTTGCGCTCGTAATGGATCCGTTGGTACCGTGGATGAAACAGATCGCTAGCATTAGGGTCAGGAATGTCGTGCCGGCGCGACTGTTGGTTGATTGGAAGATGAGTTCGACGATGGGCATTCCGGTTGTTGTGGCGACGATGCTGGGAAGGTCTGTGAGGCAGAACAGCATTACTAGAACGAAAATTGTTCCTGTTGTGCCTCCTACCCCGACGGCGTATACCATTGCCAATGGAGCGTCGCGAGAAGGCGTTGGCATTTCTTCTGTCATGTGTAGCACGGCATCATATCCGATGAGCGATAGAGCGGACTGGAGAAGGCCTAGGATCCATGCGATGCCGTCGTTCCAGCCTGTTTCGTTTTGGAAGGTTGCGAAGACGAATTCGGGGGAGGTTTTGTCGGATGTAGAGAGCAGGACGACGCTAGCGACGAACACACTGAGGATGGACCAGTACACTATGGGATGTTAGCTGTATTCTATAGCTGTGGGAAGGGGATGGAGGCTTACGAGCTAGGTTGTTCCAAGCACCGAGGATCCTATTTCCGAATGTCATCGAAAGGGTACCGAAGGTTAGGACCGCCATGAAGATTAGGTATGTCTTCCATGCTGCGACAACGTAGTTTCCGTTTGAAGCTACAACGCAGGCTGCAGAGATAAATTGTGCTGCCATACGTTAGTTTTCCCATGAACAACAGTGGTGGGAGAATTACCTGCAAAGAATCCCTCGGTCGTCACAAGGGTAAGCCAGCCACAAATATTGATGTACCCAACTGCAAAGCTCTGCCCAACATCAGTACCTATTCACAATGTCATCACGGGCTCGGTTTGTACTTACCATAACCTTCCTCCACCTCTCAGTAGTCAAAGCCCACTGAAAGTGATACTGCCCACCAGCAGTCGGCCAAATCGCAGCCAATTCACCCAGACTAGCAGCAAGACAAAAGTTACACAACACGCAAAAGATGAATCCGTACAAGAAAGCAACAGAGCCACCAGACGGCAGAACAATGGACAGACTTCCTGCTAGACAAATCCAGGTACTTCACACATCAGAACACAATCACGACGGTGGAAGTGGGTAACGCACTTGAGAATGGCAAATGTCATTGCTACCATTGTCAGTTTTGAGAGACGGGGCCTGAGGTGGCCCTCAGATTGGGATTGCGTGTGGCCAGACATTGTTGCTTCTGGTATGCTAATTACTTGAAAGAGTGCAAGCTTGGGAAGAGGGTTGAAGAGCGAGGCAAGGACTTGTATATGTTCCTGGCTGCCGATTAGCTTCGGTGACGGTTGTGGAGAAACGCCTCCTACAATTACTAGTCAACAGTCGAGGCAGTGCTTTATGTGAATTAAGCATGACGCTGACTTCGGGGAACTAGACTGATCAATTAAACTGCACAAACTCTCGACTATCAGCATCATACTTCGAATAAGAATATCACTTGACAGTCAATCATAAACGTAATAACTTCCTCTACCCCAGAATCAACGCCCGTCTGGCGGCGATCGGGTTCAACTCTACTTCCCCGCGTTACACTAGCTTCATTGAAGCAGAAATATCAGTCTAAAATTGCCATTTTGAGAATAGTTTATGTCTTCCCCCGCATCATGTAGGTACAAACTATGATTCGTGCCGTCTTGCCACATGGTTCCCGAGGGCCAAGAATCCATCATTCGTGTGTGAGGTGGGAATTTTCTGAATGCAGTAATTTGAGCCTTGGGGGTTTGCTCAGGTGATGGTATTCTGGATATTTTGTTCCTGGATAAGGAGATCTCAGGACTACTACAGAATTCCAACATGCATTGAACCTTGGGGTGTTTATCTTGCATTGTTGTTGTCAAGGGTTAACCGAGACGCGTGAACGTGATGCTTGCTCGGCGTTAGGTTGAAGAATCTTGAACCAGCTACTAAGTAGGAGAACTAAAAAAAAGCCCATTGAAGAATTCTGTGAGTTTATTCAGTTTCACATTCCACTTTTGCTGAGAAATTATTGTTGATTAATGCGTTACGTGTTAAGGTTTTTGTGGTTGCAGCTGGTATGGTATGACCAGATCGTGCAATCTCATCTCAATCGAAATTGATGAACGTCTGGATCTTGCACCACCTTTCTGAGCATAAGAGACTTGGTAAGATAAGTATTTTCAACCAAAAGTTATTGAAAGTAGACTTCGGCCAATGGAAACACTAGGAACACAGCTAGAGAGCATTTCTCTATCCTGCCATAGTATTTTCTCAATCCCAGGGTAACTTACCCGGAAGCTATTGAGAATTCCTTATCTTTTCTTATCTTGTCATGCAATCTTATCTAAGCCGAGATGAGATAAGATAAGAAATCCTACAGTGCTAATCGAAGATAAACCCTTTCGCAGACTGTGTAGCAGATAAGATAAGAGATAAGATAGAAGGCCATAGCGCGTCTAGACTCCATCAAGCGTTTCGCAACCCAAGAGATGGGATGGAATGTAGTATAATTCATCGTGGCCGCTGGCTGAGAATGAATTCCAGCTTATCTGGCACTTTCATATTACTAGCCAGCGCAGTATGGATGCGAATGTATTGGAGCGGGTATCGTCAACGCAAAGTCGCAAAACGTGACTAAGGTTCCATTCAGGACTCAATGTCGCCTTCATGCTGGCCAGGACCCATATCGTCAGCGCTAATGTTAGCTGCCTGCCAGAAAGCGGCGCATTGAGGAGCGCCAGGGCTTCAGAAGAATTGGTCACCTAGAGCATAAGAGATGAAATCATTTGGTCACTTTATGACAGTCTAGATTAACATTTAGGCTACTTTATTCTAGTAGTAAGCCTCAGAGGTTATTTCTTCTGTCGCCCACCGAGAGGAGGTGAGAGAAGATTAGAAGGACACAATTGAGACCCTGCAAAGCAAAACCAGCTTGATTGGTCGATTAAAGCCCAGGGGCATGTTCACGACCTAATGATAAAGTGCTGTTAGCGCTACGTGACCACTAATTATATCGGGCGGGGCAGTGGATTTACTGCCTAAACTGCCTGCTGAACCCAGGCAATAGAACGCTAAGTCACCTCAAGGATCTGAAAGAGGGGGCGGTCTGGGTTGTTATAAGAACAACTGACGGCTTCATAACACATCAACGCGACTGTTCGTCCCTAGTCTATCCTTTCTCTTGAATGCGTAGACATGGCCTCTTATGCTAGCCTCGCTCCTGAGATTTGGGACAACATCTGCTCTCGTCTCACTCCACCAACCCTCGCAAATCTGCGCCTAACATGTAAAACACACGGCAATTGTGTTGATTTGAACTGTACAATTTGATGACTGACCTTCGAAAAACAGGTAAAACACTCAGTACAATCGCTCTACCGTGGAAGCTCAGGACCATCAGCCTCGAAGCCTTCCTCGACCTATCAATCGAATATTTCGTTGATATCGCCAAAACACCTTCCCTCCGTACACTGGTACGCGAAGTCATTATCGATACCCGCGTGGACCTCGATTATGAATATTACTGCAACGAGAAATATCCCTTTCCCGTGTCCTTCATGAAAGCCCTGCCGTACCTACGGTACTTTACAAACGTAACGGCGCTGCATATCCGGTTTGAGGAGCATTGTGGGAACCCTGATCATGATCTTGGGTATGATATTGATGAGACGTACGAGCTGAGGTACAAAGTCCTCGATACTGTCTTTCACTGCGCCACCGGAATGTGGACTTTGGAAAAGCAGTTGAAGATTGACAAAGTGCTTGGGCGAAAGTTTTATGATGAGGTTTATGATGAGGATGATGATGAGGATGATGATGAGGATGATGATGGGGATGATGACGATGAGGATGCTGAGAAGCGCCATTATAGTGACCAGGATCTTGACTTCACTGGCGCTTGCTTTCCTTTGAGGGAGTTGACGATTGCTAATCTAGCTGACTACTCTGATTTTCGTCTTGAAGGATCGGAAGCGTGGAAAACCCTCATGGCTCTCCCAAGTCTGGTCGATCTCAAACTTTTTATCACCACTGAAGAAGACGATGCTGCACCGGAAAACTCAATTTATTTTACCGAGAAATATGACTTCTTCGACTCTCTTCCTTCAACCTGGCTATGCGTCGATATGACACAACGCCTGAGGGTTCTGTCACTGTACTTCAAAGACTATTGGGGCTGGTTTCCCGTTATGGACTTTCGCGATTGTGGTGAGGAGTCTCCATTTCCGCAACTCAAGGTGCTTGCGCTGGGCAACTACGTCTTCACCCATGAGTGGCAGATCGAGTGGTTCTCTAAACTCGGAAGTGAGAATAGTAGTGGAGGTTTGGAAGAGTTGTACTTGGATGATTGTCCTATTCTTCACCATGCGCGCCAAAATGATGTTTGCGAGGGCGGATATCCTGATCGTGCTGCCGTCTCTAACCAGCAGGACTACAATCCTAGCGAGCATTACTTCTCCATTAGATGGCACAGTCTTCTCTCTCACTGGAAAGATTCGATGAAGGGACTCAAGGTATTCCGCATGGGCCATGGGTCATGGGGACACCAGAGTGAAACGTACACGACCATCACCGAGGATCCCGACTACGCTGACCTGGACACCGATGTGTTACAGTATCGGCTTTCTCACAACGTACACAAGAGCTTCGCGTTTCCAGCCAATGATGCGTATGTTCATGTAACTGATGGCTATCTGCGTGAACCAGAAAAATGGCGCCAGGGAGAAGGTCTTGACGACAGGAGGGAAACGAGGCTGACATACATTGACTACGACATTGGAACGGGACCCTCGGCATGGCTTGAGACGAGAAAGACCACAAGACAGGAGGATGTCGAGCCAGAGGAGGGGACTGCGAAGAAGGATGATGTAGCTTGGGATGCGATGATGACTGCTATCAAGGCTCGGCGAAGCTTCAGTTGAAGAACTTAAGCTTTTTGGAGCCAGAACCCTATGTGTCGCGACTATCTGTCATATTACCTATGCTTTAACTCCGTATTTTATACATTTAGGCTACTTTATTTTGGTAACCTAAGCCTTAGAGGACATTCCTTACGTTACCCACCTAGCTGGAGACCGATTGAACATTTTGTAAAGGTATTTATTTGTCAAGCGTCCGTTTCCCTAATCAACCCTTGGCCTCGGACGCGAATTAGTGGAAGGATAATAATCAGTAATTTAAAAGGTATTGGTTTGTCCACTACGCCTCGGCGAATGCCCTCTATTTGTGTTGGCCTTGGAAGACAAACGGACTTCCTGCTTTAGAGAAAAAACATAAGTCTTTGGGTGAATGACAGGAATGCAGCTGGAAGAGAAAGCGTTTTGCGCAGCAGCCTAGGTAGGTAGGGTAGGCCAAAGGGAAAAGGTTTCCGTATAAGCATTGGAGTCGCGATGCTTGAAAGAAACTGTAAATTCGCCTAGGAAAGCGTATCCTGAACGGTCGCGTGCTCGTGTGCCATGGTGCTTCATGTGTAAAATTATCCAGCAAAACTCTATCGGCTCATACCAAGTATAAGAGTGCGTTCTTGTCCCCTTTCCGGCCACTCTCCTCCCCTTATATGAATACAACTACCTACCCGTGCCCTCTGCAGCGTCACTCAAATCCAGCGATATACATATTCTGAATTGCGCCACTTCTTGAAAGCTACCTAGACAGCACAACCCATCTTCTCTCATACGGGCGCGCAACACAACAGCTATTTACTCACATACATATACCATACACAGCACCGCACAGCATAGTACGTACCATGAGCTATCCTAACGCTTTGCAATCCTCATCTGATCATTTACTGGATTTAGCAAAGTATCCCAAATCCAGCAAATATGGCTTCCCTCAAGACTGGATCTCAGGCCAAGGCTGCTGGCAACAAGCGCCGTGCTGCCCAAGGTGCTCCTAAGCGTGCGACCACTACCTCCTCCGCCGCCACCAGCCAACTCCCCGACCGCTCAGACATGATTCTTCCCATGAGAGATCCATACATGCAGCAGATCATCGACGGTGTCAAGAATTACGAGTTTCGCAAGTACGAGATGGTTGGCGTCCAGCGCATCTGGTTCTATCGCACCGCTCCCCACTCAGCCATCACCCACATCTGCCCTGTCAATGAAGCCGTCATCAGAGAGGACGGGCCCTTACCTGAGGATGGACTGGGAAACAAGGAATACAATGAGGGGCATCCGGACTACGAGGGATGGGATTATGCATATCGCATCAATGAGGTCTATAAGATCAACACTGCCATCACTCTGGAGATGATGAAGAATGAACATGGGATGAAAGGTGCCCCGCAGTCAAGGATGAGGGTGCCTGTTTTAATGAAGGCGCAATATTGCCTGGAAGATCAGACGAAAATTTTCTAAGCTTTATGATAGTATCAGCTAAGGTTGAGGGACAAATAATGACTACATAGTAACGAGGTCACGAATGACACATGAGCTATAATCATTATGAAAGTTTAAGAAATCTTTTTGACATTATTATGCTACGTTTGATCTACGAAGTGCCTATGATAAACAACCTTGAAGCCCTTGAATGGATGGTGGGAGACGATGCATCGGCGCCCTTTCTTTCTTGCTTGACAATGAAAAAAAAAATCCCTATTGCATACCATCTCTGCTCTCATAATGCACTGGGAAGGTGTTCCTACGTCTTCAAAACCGTCTATCCTGCTTCTTTGAAGGCCCTGCTCCCGGGGCCAAGTCACTGGACCGAAGTCAATGTTGTGATGCAACTAAACAGCTCACCTCATGTTGGGACACCGTCAGGTTGGGTGTCGCTTTTGTCATTGCTCAGCGCCTGATAGATGGAGCTCTGGATGATTTTGTAACTCGCAACCCTCTGGATAATGTCACAAGCGAGCAAGTCACTGTCAGTGGTATTGTTCTCAAGACAAAAGGAAGTTCTAGAACTATGTTCCCTGCTATCTCTGGACTATTGCCAGATTGACTAATCGCTACAACATTGATCATGAATTCAGAACTATAGAGGAGCTCTTGGGAACTTGGAAGACTCTGGATGTCCTCCAGGATGCCTTTGCGAACAGTTACAGCTTCGAAGACCTCTGTCTTGATTAGAATTACCCCTTGTTCGAGGGTACAGCATCCACAAGTCACCTGTTCGAGAAGGGAATGAGGCAAGCTGAAGGGACAGCCGCAGTGCCAGCTGCACGTTCGTTCACTTTGGACAGAACAAGTGGCCGAGAACTGTTCTCCCAGCGCGTCGCACCTGGCAGTGCCAAACAGGTGCACATCTGAAGTGTTCCAAGTCTCGTTTGCTTGCCCCACCTCGATGCCATCCTCCTTTCGTCTTCCACTCCTCTTCCAACTATTCTCTTCCACCACACACCACCACACACCACCACAAATTTTTGCTACTTTTACATCGTCGACATCCTTCCTTAACCACGACTTGGACTCCTTAGACTTCTTGCACCTCTTGCACCTCTTGCACCTCTTGCACCTCTTCATCACTATTCATCACTATTCTGAACCATCTCTCAACATGGGTTTCCTTAGCAAGATCCCTGCCTCTTCTATCAAGAAGTACGCCGGCAAGGCCGTCAAGGTTACCACCAACGTGGCCAAGGTTGCCAAGGTTGTCAAAGTTGCCAAGGGCGCCGACAAGACCTCGAAGAACGGCAGCGCTGACGATGCCACTGCCTACAATGGCGGACAGGACCTCGAAGACGAAGATATCTTCTGGGTAAACGAGCAGGAGGATTTCGAGACAATGCTTCACGCCGCAAAGAACAAGCCCGAGCCTACCAAGACCGAAGTGAACGACTTCATGGGCGAACTCCGAATGATTGAAGAACTCCGCGACGCTGCCGAGAATTCATACAAGCACCCTGACGTTGTCAAGATGGAGAAGTATCTTACCGAGATCAACAACAAGACTGATCGGGCTCAGCGACCCGTGTCCCCCTCGAACGACAATGAAGGACATGGGGGACCTTGCCACCCGGATTGTGTGCAGTGTCAGTTGGAAGCGAGGGTCTATGAGAAGGCGCATCGACACGTGGTGGGTTTGTTGAAGTTTATCGAGCCAGGAATGATTCCCGACCAGCAGGGTTTGAAGGAGCTTATTGAGAAGTACATGTGAGAAAGTACAGGATGGTTGAAGGATTTCTTTGCTTGCGCTTATGAGAGAGAGTCGGATATTTGGAGAGTTGTTTTGTCATGGACACTGCCTCTGCAGGTCACTTTTGCGACGAGAGATGATGGTATGAATGCATGCACCTGGAAGGCTTGAGAGGACACTACTGCTGGCACTACTGGATTGAGTCTTGAGATCATTTGGACGGAGATTTGGAAGAAATCACGAGTGTCCTTAGACTTAGCATTCTGAATGAATTGAGATACTTTTGCCTAGCTGTTTCCTATTGTGATCCATGTTCTACTACTTAAGCCTCGCACTGACATGATGTTTCCAATATGAAGTTCAGCTGAAGAGCGGACAACCCTCAAGGTATAGCGTTCCATTCTATATACTGATCGATGGAGAATAGTTTGATGGAAACTCCATTTTTCCAACCCTTCCCGATGCCGCCCTCTTTAACGATTGGTCGACCCCACAGTGGCAACGAGATTCAATGATATGTACGTCTGGGGTTACTTTGCCTCTCACTCCTAGCGGAGCCCGGTATGGAACCCGGCTTGTGGTCTGTATGCCAACCGAAGAATTTGCGGCCTTCCTGAAGAGGGTGAACACATGTCTTAACCATACTCTCAACTTCATTTCTACAGTCTCAAGGCATATGTTCAGCTCCTTACTGCTGTTCCCACTTCCATCCAGCAACAAACCGCAAAAGGAGAATTCGTCATTTTCACACTAGAACATATCCGTCTTCCTAGAACATTCACCGCGAACATTGAACTGTACAGAATCTCTATGGCTTGTTGCCTGGCTCACAACATTCACCATGTACAGCAAGGAGTAACCAGGTTTCGAAGTCCACGACCGTGGAAGTGCCAACGCAACGTAAGTATCTCGCTTTCCAACCTGGAATCTCTTCTTCTTCTTTTCCTCCTCAACCCACTCTCACACCCACACCTACCTCGCCGACATCCAACTCTCGCACACTCACCCCAACAACATAACACCTCGATCCTAACACCAACCGAAACAATGCCTGCCAACAACACCAAGAAACCTGTTACCAAGCAGCCCGCTAACAAGCAGTCCCGCGAGGACCCAGACTGGAAGATGCTCTACAACCGCAAGGATCGACCCTTCTCCTTCGACCCTGACTTCGACTTCGAGGACGAACCCTGGGATCTGTGCGAGATCCCTCTCAGCAAGGAGGAGAAAGAGAACGCTACTGAGGAGGGCATCGCTAAGCGAAAGAAGGCTGAAGCCAAGAAGACCAGCGTCCGGGAGGAGGATCGTATGGACTACCCTATCGAGGGCTACTTCCTGAAGATGAAGGATGGTGTTTACTACCCTGACATGAAGATTGAGGAGTAGATGACTAACGAGAACGACTTTGGAGACTCTTGACTTGGACCGTAGGATCTGGTGATGATAGTGGAGGAGAACACGACGAAGTATGAAGAAGGAGAACATAGGAGGAAAACGACGAGCGCTCAACGACTCTTTGGAGCAGCCTCTTGAAGAGAATGTTAGCTAGACAATGATACCCGGGTAACTAGCGACCCAGATTATACTTAGGTCTGGCCAGGAAAAATTAGATAGAGACACTAGATAGGATAGTGGAATAGATTTATTCTACAAATTACTGAGCTTCTCGAATTGTGAAAACTGATCCGACTTGAGGCGAGACACGCAGAGTGTCGTTCAAAGACTACATGCTATCTATTGTTGAACTACGTGACCAATCTCATGCCATTGTAGAGTCTCCGATACACCAACGTATTGGCAATTACGCATAGACTTTGTGCTTATTTCCAGAAACATGGAGGCGAACTACAGCAATTATCACGACACAATTCATGTAGAGACTCGCCTACTTGAAAATAACTTACAAGTCACGCTCGATTTCACATGCCAGGCGTCTCTTGCGCTACGAAACTCTCCCAAAGCGCCGAACGTTCGCGCCTCTACCCCTGAGGCGCCGTTGAAGTCGCTGCCTGTGAGCAGGAGTTTTGGTCCGAAACGAGTTCCTTACCAGAGTGGAAGTCCCAACTTCGAGGTATATCGCGAACGGACGAGAGGCGCGCGCAGTTCTTCGAAGTGGAGGTTGCCAGTGCTCAGCCAACTGTCTCTGCCGAAGGCTACGTCAAGGCGTGAACGCATTCCTGAACCTCAACTCTTACAGACGTAGTCCTTTGAACATGCCCGACGTTCATTGTCTTGTTCCATACAGAAATCAGCACTGAATGTTGCACAGCCCGCCGCACTTCCAATGTTCTGTACCAGCCATTCTCCCCGCCGCCGTCCGAATGTTTGGTAACTCCCCACACAAAGCTCAATGATCGCAGAAGTGCCAGACGGCTGCCTTACACTAGTCTCCCAGTCAGTCACCTTGTCACCCGTCAACCCACCTGGCACTGCGAAGGACGAAGAGCCTCCTCTAGCGTATTCCCGCCCCCGACTCCTGGTGTTTACAACCACAACCACAACCTCAAACATCAACATCACAACCTCAGCGAGAACTCGACCCCTTCATCCGCACTCAGCAACACTACCTACATCTTTTGACTCATCTTCCCCATTTTGCGATATCGTCTCTTTCTTGTCAGAGCATCACCTTTCATCCTGTTTACCTACCTCTCAACACCCGAACCTCCCTACCGCGAGCGAGAGCCTACTGTCACCAACCCTTACATACCTCACGAGCCTTCACGATGTCGAACCCACCTCCACAGAAGACCACTCAGCCCCAGATCGCCCTCGGTGACGACATGCCTACTTTCAACCTCGTCCTCGACCCCTCCCGTCGCGTCAAGCACCCCGACCACGTCTACACTGCCGACCGCAAGGGAAGTAAGCCTGATGAGAAGCCCGTCGAACCACCTACCCCAGCTCAGATCGAAGCTCTCGACAAGTATCACGCTGATATGCGCAAGTTCGCCGAGGATGCCCTGCCTGAGCGCAACGGCCTTCTTGTTCCCTGTGAGGATTGGTTCTGTACTGATCGTGGCCATAAGAGCTATGATCTTTCTCTTGAACTTGCTGACGATGAGCAAGGTGACGACAAGAAACACTACATCAACAGCCGACGTTGAGACCTATCCGCTTTGATCTCGCTTCCTCGATTTTGTCTATGTTGATCTTGGGTAAGCACACTGAAGGATCTGTTGGCGAGACCGCGAACTAATGCGTTGATAGAAGATCTGGTCTTGATTGCTCATTCGATTTATTGTCTTTGCCTCTTGTGCTGAAAGGTCAGTGTCTTCGAACCCTCACAATTCCCGCGCTGACATCCTGACATCAACAGACTCCGATATCTACCCACCCCCTACGTTTTCCAGACCCTTTGGTCTTTTGTCTCGGGTCGCGACTCATATGAACATCCTGTCTAGACCGATAAACAGCCCAACTGTCTGGATCTCCTTTCATAGCCTTTTGTCTTTGTTCTTTTGGCGCGCGCGCAGGTAAGTGTGCTTCCGGGTCCTCAACACTTCGCAGACTGGCATGTTGGCATAAACAGACGCTGAGACCTCTACCCCTTTTCCCCTGATCCTTTTGCTTTTTGCCTCAATTGCTGGTCGGTACGTGCTGCTCAAGTGCATTGGACAGTTCGCGAGCTAATCCATGGGACCAACAGCAGTGACCGAAACACTACCGGTGTCGGAAAACATTTGCCTTTTGCATGTCTCGGCTTTGGACGGTGTAGCGACTTTGACGAAATTATATTGAACGTGGAAATGGAGGTGTTATCAGGATCTTGCTTGTCGATATGATACCCATGTTTTATTACCCCATCCCTGTTGAGTCATGATATTAATAACCTGTAACAAAGCTTTGATTAAGGCGATAGTCTAGTCAAGTGAACTAGTTGTCAGGGTTCACTAATCGTCCGATGCACTGACTATTCGTCCCAGGTGTTTCCCAGACGCGTAAGCACTATCTTGATCTTGCATTGCAGAAACTAAAACTCCCAATCATGTGTTGGTTCCCTCATCTCGTCCGAGCGTCCGAGTAATACCGGGGTACATGACGCGACCGTTTAATGCAATGCGACCGTTTGAACTAACGTAACGTAGAATGGTACAGTAGCAGTCTTTAAAATTACGTGTCTTGGTCGACTAGTCAAGATGGAGCTAACAGGGACCAGGTCCTCGCGACTAACAGAAACATGGTGGAGACAGCACTAACGCTTTCTGCAGAAAGTTTGCAGGGAAAACCGAGCTGTTGGCTCTAGTATCATGTTCCATGTTCGAGTGCAACGTTCGACGGCGCAATGCATGGCCCTATGCAGAAAGGACCCATCTCTTGACATGGAGCTGTTCAGTTGCGGGATTAAACATATCGACAACTGTGATATCGTCACTGTGAAAACCCAAGCTAGTCAAGACAGCAACTCCATTATCAGTTCAGAGTCAAGCTCTAGTCTACAATACTACTTCACTACTGCAAGTGTTGTTGCGTTGTTTCAGGGGAGTCCATGATCTGCATTGTGTCATCGTCCTAACCGAATCCTATTAGATCCCTGGATTGCCGTCGGTCTCCGTCCGAAGTGGGTAAGAGACCCGTCTAGTCGGCTGCTCGAGTGGACCAAAGTTGCAATCATACCATGAGTGCTTGCACATGTCTTTTCCCCATCTCCATGCCGGTACTGGGTCCTATCACATCTGCCATCACACCATCACGTGCTGAGCTAGACGACTGATATGGTACTGGCGAGATGGATCCTCTAAAACGGCCGTTGTTGAACTAAGTTTTGATAAACCCTTGCTTGGCTTCATTTACTCTCTTTGCCCCCTGACGGTTGTAGCCGTTATGGAGTCGTGCCGAACCGATGCTTCCGCCGTCAGTTCATGGTCCGTTCACCGCCGCGGCAGAGATGAATTCCTTTAAAAGGTGGCGCAATCTTCAGATTATAGATCCAGTCTATAGTTCAAAGTCTCTTATATTAAACCCAATTTCTATATATCGATCCTTCTCCATACCTGATCTAGTCATATTCTTCGAACACTATACCCCAAACTTCCTTATAGCCCATATTCTCGTCATTCACAATGCCTCACAAGGACGTTCCTCTCCGACCTGTTAAGCTGGCCTTTGACCCAGTTGGATCAGACACTCTCGGTATTCCAGACCTTGACTTTGCCTCTCTGTTCCGCGAGGAAAAGGTCAAGGAGGATGACCCTCTCGTTATCCATCCACAGGATATGAACGTCCCATGGAACACTTCTCTCCCTTGGACAAGACAGTCCAAGCACTGGGCCTACGCTGAGGCTGAAGGATATGATCTCTGCAACGCAATCACTCTGGATAAGGCTTCAGAGCGAGGAACCCTTCCTATGGAGTTGCTGGATGAGCGTCGCAAGTGGAAGATTGACGAGCTCGTCGAGGACGCTTTGTCCTGCTGCGTTTATCTCTATCCCACATCTTCTCCCAAGAGGCTGGCTCTCTTGACACAATCTGTGCTACTTCTCTTCCTTCACGATGATGTTATTGAGCGAGGAGATACCCAGAATGAGACTACAGTCGTGGATGAGTTCCTTACCATGGCCCCCAAGAACAGACACCTCAAGAAGTTCTGGAAAGAAGTGCTAGAGTGTGACCCCATTCTCGGACCCGATCTGCTCTATGCCATCATGGTCTTTGTCCGTGATGGACGTGTCAAGTCTCCTTTCAAGCAAGACAAGTACGCCACACTGGCCGATTATATGCTTTATCGTCGCAATGACGTTGGCAAGACGTAAGTTGTTTCTCAACCATCTTTGAAAATCTTTACTAAATTTTGCCAGATTTATGATTGCTGCTATTCGCTTCGGTTGTGGCGTGCACCAGACTCGCGAAGAGCTCGCTCCTCTGGACGAGATCGCGGACCTTTACGTGCGCCACTCAATCCTTATCAACGACTTGTACTCATACGATAAGGAAGTCCATGAAGTCAAGACCATTGACGCGTCCATTGTGAATGCCGTCGCTGTGACAGAGGAGTTGCTTTCCGTCTCACCGAATCTGGCCAAGACTATTACCAGACAAATCTCATTCGACATGGAGAAGGAGTTTTACGACATGTGCGAGAAGTTTATGACCAGCCCTTCTATCAACGATAGACAGCGCGCATTTATTACAGGCCTGTTTGATGCCTTGACGGGAAATATCTTTCACTCTGCTACATTGAGTAGATACGTTCGTCACGGCGAGAACCCGCTTCCTTGCAAATGTTAGAGTTCAATTGGGTAGTGTTTTTAGCTAGCATTCGTTCTGCATCAATACCACATTCTTCTTTCGTTACAATAACAATGGGTCTCGTACAAGATGGGATGAACCGTAAAGCTTAAGTGCGAAAAAATATCTCGGTTGGGATAATAAATGTCTCATTATGGAAAGCCACGGCATCATCGCGATCTTGACAGGCGCTATATTTCCTGAACAAATCCGAACTCACCACGTTTTCCTCATTCGTGCGCGACTAACCTTAATTTTGACACGTCCAGAGTTGCACTCATCCCACCATTGTAGTGGATTTGGATACCCGTATCCCACCGTAGTAGCGCGAGACGCGATGCTACACCACTCGGGTCGTGACAACGGGTAGACAGGGAGGACACAGACTGGTGAGATAAAAATTCCGCAAGCCACTCTTGGAAAAACTGGGCTGCTATCTAGAACCCTGCATGTGAGAAGTCCCCCGCGTTGAATGATCCTTTGGACCCTTCGTTGCATGTAGAAGATACGCGGTTGTAGATAATGCAGTCCTCGGAGTGATATCCCCTTACCGGGCCGATGTGTCGTATCCGTGGGGTCGTCTGGGGCTCACCGCCTGTTGGTTGTTGGTTGTTGGTTCTGTTGATGGACGGGATCATATGATATTAGCCCCCACTGGTATTTGGATGATACGTATCATCCGTCAAGGGTATCTTGGCGATGGACACCCCGGGCCGCGTATTGACAAGCATGTTGACGGACACCATAAGCGGGTTACTAGGCTAGGGTACAGGGATAGCTAGACCATCAGTGCTAGATTGTGACATGACCCGGAGAATGTTATACGAGCGTAGAATGAGAATAACTTGTAGAATTTTGAGAACTAAGAGACTACAGACAGAGAGTGTGTACGCCAAAACTCCAACCCAGGCTTAATGAAAGAGTGTGATATCATAGATCGTTGAACAAAGGAAAGACATGATCATATGTCAAGGGTCTTGAGTTTACCAAAGAAACTCAACAGAATATTTTCGATTCCACTCAACAACACGGTAAGACCACTGCCATCATTGTCGGCAGCCTGCTCCTTTAGAATCTTTCCAACCAGATCTCGAATTTCAGGGGCAAGCTTCTGATTGTCTAGAGTAGCAAGACTTTGCAGGATACTTGTAAGGACGTTCATCAGAGGATGTAACGAGGCGTTTAGCCCAGGGTTGGGGTCGAGAGAGCGCAGGAAATTATCGATCATGCGGATAATCTCCGTGAGGAGATCATCGATGTTTTCGATCATTAGGTTGCGCTGTGTGGGGGTGATGTCGAGAGATTTGAGGTTACGGGTGGCGGACAGTTGGCTTAGGGGACCAGAGAGGATGGTGCGGATGGCGGAGACTTCTTTGAGGGCTTGGGTCATGCCCTTTGCCTGGGATAGTTTTCCAGCTTGGACTTGAGCAAGAATGCCATCTATGATCATTAGTATTTGTCTGCTAGAAGTAAGAGAAAGACATACCGGTTTTGTCAGTATGGGGAGCGATTTCGTCAAAAGCACTATCCAAGCTCTTGACAATTTCACCACCATTCTTGAAGCCAGTTGAAGAAATCTTGAGACTGATAAGTCTCTTGGGATGTTTCTTGTAAGGCTTCTTCTTGCCCTTTCGTGACTTGTGCTTGATCACGGAAGTCTTAGCCAGAGGCTCCTCTTTGGAGCGTTTGGCATTTGTGGTAGCCTTTTGGGCCTCGGGGTCGGTGACGAAACCGTCGAGATCGAATGCGAGGGCGTTGAGTTTGCCTTCCGCGTCGACGAGATGGGATTCTCGGACGGCGAGGGAGTTTTCGGTGGGTGCTGCGATGGAGCTTGTCACTAGCGTGACGACTGCGAGTAGGGAGAATCTCATGGTTGCTGGGTATTGGATTGACGACTGAGGCGATTTGGCTTGAGAAGGTCCGGGGATTGCACGGACGCGACTTGTGTCTTTATACAATTCCAGTTCATTGTCTCTCAAAGTCCAGACCAAAGTTGAGTTTCGCCCAAGCACGATTGAAGCCACCTCCATACCGTCGATCCTCAACGCATCAATTAGATCAGTACCCTTTCCCATTTCCCCTTGCCACCAGCGCCAATCACGTTTCTTAGCGATGTGCTGAGCATAAGGTTAGACTTACACTTTATATCTGGTATGAAGCTATTCCTAGAAGAGACTTTGTGGCTTGTCGATCGATTCCGATAAAGTTGAAGCAGCCAGATCCGGATACATCAATCGTGAAGTTGATACGTCAGATTACTGTGCCTCTGTGGATTCATGTCAGGGCCAGGAACAGGCTTGCAGGGACTTGGACCCTTAATGATCTCATGCATGTTGGTTCATTGAGAGATCTGCTGTGCCTCTGACGGCAGTCTTGCTGATCGGTCATTTTGTGATGGGTGGATGAAAGTCTGCAGGTGGTCGTGGACCCTTGTTCCTGGACAAGATCTTGTGCCGCAGGAATGGAGTATCAGCGCATACATGCAGGAACAGTCTACTCCGGGTGGCGGGTTTGATGGTTGTTCTGGAATGTCTCAGGTATGCGAGTCGACGGATCCGTCAGAACTGAGTGGACATTCCTGTGGGCATGCATGAGGAACACAACCACATTGACGTCTGGACTTGATATGAACAACGTAATAATGCGAAAAGCATGCAAAAGCTGAGGGATTGCAGCGACCCCATTCTCTTAGACAAGTAGTTGTTAACTGAGACAATTGAACCGCGCTATCCAAGCAATGGGGTCTCTGTCTCAGAGAATGTCTTGGAATGTGACAACCTCATTCAATCCCAACATCACGAACCAGAGCAAACAGCATTAAAATAAGTTTCTTCCCCATTGAATCCCAGCTTACCGACCCAAGGCCTAAGACTTAATCATTTCGTTAAGTCTAGAGAGTTGTGAACCCTCTCTCATCTTACTCAATCTCGTATCTTGTGTGAAGTTCCCCACCCTACCCTCCAATTCTCTCCCTAGCGTCAAGCCACAAAAAGAACCCATCTCCACAACTGAGACAAAAAGAACAGATTGCATCAAGAGCAAAAGAAAGGGTCTGGCCGGGGATTGAACCCGGGACCTCTCGCAAGCTGTGCTGTAGGGTGTACCCTAAGCGAGAATCATACCACTAGACCACCAGACCGATTATTTTCAGCGGAGCTGTGATTGTTGAAACAGAGTTTGCTGTTCTAAATTATATACGGCTGACGATGCGCTGACAAAAAGGCTCACCTCAGCATACCCTGAACACTGATCGCACACGACTATCCAGGTTTTAACAATGACGGATCCGTAGAGACACTCACAAACTTGTATTTAATAGAATTCAATTTTAATCACACTACTGGCTTCGAACTTTATGTCAGATAAGATTGGAGGCTAACAGTCATATCGTGTTCCCGTCAGGACAGCGGTCGCACATGGACCCCGACTCATCGATGGGAGAAGTAAGATCCTACTGTATTTGTAGCGGTATATGAAAGGAGATATTTATAATACAATTTCCCAAAATATTCATTACTCATAACATCATAATCCACCTACAGCAAGATTCCATAAAGTCCCTCACCCTGAATAACCTCACCATTCTCGTATGTAATTCTCTTCCACCCTTCGGCATGCGCTTCATCACGAACCCACTCGGCAGTAGGGAAATATCGTTCATCTTTCTTGATGGTAATGACGGAGGGACTACCAGAGTAATCCGTCATTTTAATCTTGAAGTCTGCATCATTGTCAGCTGGTTGTGTGGGAGTAGTAAAGAAGTGAGAACTTACATGTCCTGTCAGGAATGTTAACCACCACGTTCTTCAACGCTTCAAGATCCGGCGTAGGCTTGTTATCAATATGCGTAATAAACGTCGTCGCGTAAATGTCGTACAAATTCGATGGTGAACCGATCAACCAGCTTGTGATATAAACTTCACTCGGCAACTTCTTGATGCACTGTCGTACTGTCCGATGAGGTTTCTGAGCCGTCAAACCGCAGAAGTTGATGACACGCGATATCTCAAAGTCATCTTCCAACACGGTCTGCGCTTTGAAACTGATTTGTTCACCGCTTCGCACAGCCACAACATCAAGAGTGTCTTTCCAGTACATGGAGTCCACGTCGGAGAATTGCGTGACGAGTTTGCCGTCGAGGCTGAGGAGAACATCGCCTACTTCTAGGGCATCGGGGAGCCGGCTCGATGCGCGTTTGACCATAAAGAGGCGACGGTCGGAGGATTTGGCTTGGACTTGGCTTATCCACTCTTCTGAGACGCCCATGACGCGCGCCTCGATCATGGTGACTGGCGCGAGTTCAACGGAGAGGCTTCGAAGGCTGGGAACAAGTCCCTGACTCAATTTCTCCACGATGGGAGCAATGGCTTGGGAGCCGAGTCCGAAGCAGGCTTCATCAAGATCATCCATCTCGTAAACGACCCAAAGAGCTTGGATGGAACCATCTTCAGCGACAAGAACGCCACTTCCACAATGGGTACCGATTCTTGTCTCGATGTCAATCCTTTCGACGTTGACAGGACGGCCTCTGGGCGGGTTCGGTGGCTCTCGCTCCAAGGGAATGACCTTGGTAACAGACGTCGAGGCATAAACCATCTCTTCACAATCGTTATGTCCAACAAAGAACGTTGACGCGCCCTGTGAGATGCGCTCTGTGCTGAACTTTGCGCTCTTCACGGGCGCATCCATCAGACTTGGGTCGTACTGAATGACCGCGTAGTGATGCGCAGGATGTAAGAACACGACTTTTCCGGGAATGAGAACAGAATCTGCGAAAGTGAGTTCAATATCGCACAGCTTTGTCGGCACAGTCGTACGCGAAATAATCACGAAACCGCAATCGGCGTCAATAACAAGTCCCATGCCAAGATGGACACGTGTAGATTGTCCATCGATGAGAACAGGTGCTGAGAATTTGACGTGCACAAAACTCCTCACAATATCTGCCACAGCTCTCAAAGGGATGTGCTCGAGGGTATCAAACGAAGCACTTAACTTCGCTGGTCTAACCGCAGGTAACGGCTCAGCGAGGAGTTCAACATCCCAATGGCCCGTGTCATCATTGCGCGTGAACATCTTCATCCGTTGAAACCAATGTCTATCAATCCGTACAACCGCCGTGCGCATAGTATGTCGCTCCCAAACATGCCAATACTTGATCGCCACGCGCGCTCTGTCGGGAATATCCTTCACGACCTGCACGAAAGCATCCAGATTGGGTGTCTTCTTGTGGTTTACGCTGTCGACCATGAAATAATTGTCATGCGCTGGGTGGAAAGGTCCTGCTTTGCAGACATACACGCCGCGACAGGGAAGCACGTAGCGCTGGGCGATTTGGTAGGATAAATCGTGGAAACAGCCTGCGCCGACGGTGACGAAACGGCTGGGTGTGATTTCGTCGAGGTTTTGGACTGTGATTTCTTCCTCTACATCTTCGCCGTCTCTCTGGACGAGGAAGCGGAGTGTCTGACCGATGTTTTCGTCGAAAAAGGTGTTTAATCTGAGGAACTGGGTGACGAGTTCGCCGTTGATTTTGATGAGGATATCGCCCTCTTTCAATTTGCCGTCCGATGGTCCCTCGGAGAGAACGTCGCATGCGACGATGAGGTTGTCTTGTCCAGGGAAGGATTCTCTCAGAACGCTCTCCCATTCTGAACTGAGGCCCAATCTTCGACACTCGTCGAAGGGCTTGAGCTTGAAAACAGTTTGGATCTCTCCTCGTTTCACTTTGTCGCCATTCTGGATCTGCTTTAGTGCTCGTAACGGGCCGTCGAGAGGGAGGAAGTAATCTGTCGATCCATCAGTGCGACCACCTGCTTGAAGCGCAATACCATGACCATCGACATTGACGACGGGAGATCCTGAGGAGCCACCTGATGCAGAGGCGTTGGCTTGGTAGTAGCATGTGTTGAAGTCCATGTATCCGTCATAAATGGGAGCGTTTCTGTCCAAGCGGCTGATGAAGCCTGATAGGATACCCAGCTTCTCACCGCTGTCGTTACCGATGACTTTGATCTCAGTTCCGACTGTCTCATGTCAGCTTGGGTTTCATGGTAAAATCTGGAGACTTACCTTTGGCGAGATCGGGGCGCAGTTGCATGGCGGTGAGCTGCATATACTTGACCTTTTTAGGATCAAACTTGAGAAACCCAAAGTCATGAATCGGATCGCGATAAATGGGATGAACCTCGACTTCTTCCTGGTTATTGAAGACGATGTACCCCGAAAACGGTCCGGGGCCGACGACATGGCGGTTTGTGAGAACAAGACTACTCTCATCAGCTTCAATCATCACAGACGTCGTAGGAGGCTTACCCTCGCTCAGCATCAACAATGAAGCCGGTTGCTTCACTGGTCTTGGAAATCTCGGTATCAAACGCATACGGATGCGAAAACTTGACCGAGACAACGCATCTGACAACCTTTTCTATAGCTCTCTGCCAAGCTTCGCTTTCACTTTCTGAGAGGAGGCCAGTCTTGGATACGCCGTTCTGTGTCGGCTCTGATAGTGAGACGTCTCTCATTTTGTGAGGGAGATCTTGATCGATGGCCATGGTGCCCTAGTTGAATGAAGAAAACACGATCGAGAAGGAAACTGATTGAGATGGAGCGACAAAGAAGTGTGATATATTCGAAGAGGTTGAAACAAAACGCCCGCTTACTGTTGCTCAACAGGCAACCAGCCCTATGACCAAGGCAAGTCAAGCTGCTGCTGACCTGACCTGACCCCTCACCGAAAAGCTGAAGGCCTCAGCCCCAAAAAGTGGGACAGGTCAATTGAGGCGCAGTCTTGGAATCACAAATCAGCCTTACCAAAACTGCGTTTCACTACCTACGAATAGTTGATTGGTGTCATGTTTCATTTTGAGGAGATATTTGAGGCCGCCTGACTTCGGGGATGGTCGGTTACCGAGATGGAGAAATCGTTGTGGTAAGCATTTAGGAATGGAGTCATTGTGAGACCCTACTTTGAGTGACTCATGGGGGACGGATTACCCGAGTAGTTTTCGTATAATACATCTTGTTTGGGGATCAATTCTCTAATCCAATTAAGAATATGTCATGTGGGAATCTTATGGAATCTATTGTCTAAATGCTCAGTATGCACGATGACGTGATGGCTTCATCCAACATCACCACTCATCCAGAAGCAAGAGAAACCCTCGTCTTACTCTCCCCCATCTCCAACCTCCAAACCCCATCCCACTCCCCTCTTCTTACAACATCAACCTCAGTATCCTTCTTCGGTGTATAAATAGTCGCCATATCTCCCGTATTCAAACTTGGGCTCCTCGCCCACTCTGCCTTCAACTCACACCTAACAGCCAACAGCGCAACAACAATCATAATCTCAGTCGTAGCAAATTGTCTCGCGGGACATAAATGCGGCGGTGCACCCCAAGCGACAAAGCTGCTTGATGCAGTCTTCTGGTTGACGAAACGGTAAGGATCGAATGTTTCGGCAGAGGGACCCCAGGTTGTTGTGTTGGTGTGGATGGGTTCGCCGGGCATCATGACGAATTGGCCTGCTTTCAGAAGATACTTGTCGTCGAGGAGAGTGTCGTGTGTGACTTTTCGGATATTCGCGTGAACATGTCTCGTTCGCTGTGTTTCTTGATAAACACTCAATAGCAAAGGACATTTCGTCTTCAAACTCGCAACATCCAGAACGAAACCATCCTCTTTGTTTCCAGTAACAGCATTCTCGATAACTTCCCTCCTGACCTCCTCAAGCAACTCTCCCCTAGAGAAGAGTTCGTAGATAGTCCAGTGAAGAATAGGCACCGTGTTCGCGAAAGCAGCAGTTCCAAAAGTGGCTTGCTGCTTGCAAACATCATCCTCGTCAATACCTACTTCTTGCATCGTTCGTTGACGAGCCATGTATACAGCTGAGACATCGGAGGGGATGTTCTTGTTATACTTTCTGAACGCGTCAAAGACGATTTCGCGCGCTTTGTAGCCTTTGCCTGTGATGTCGAGACCGATGAGGTGAAGAGGCATATAATCCTGCCATTTCCTGCACCTTGTCAGCTACCCCAACTCGTGAAGTGAGTGGGTGACTTACCAAAAAGCTTCATCAATCTTAGGATCTCTAAAAGGATGCTCAACGCCCAAAATGCCACAAGCACTAGCCTGAACAACGGTATATCTCACCCACTCCAACAGCTTCACCTTCTTCCCCATCACTTCCTCAACATCGATCAACGCCCTATCACCCATTCTCAAATTCTGCGCATCCAAATTGGCACCGGGGGCAAGACTACTTTTATGAGCATGACTAAACGTATCCGTAAAATCACCCCCGAAAACTTCATAAGTCGCTGCATTGGCATCACCCATGTGCTTGGCGGCAGTTTGCATAAACGGTCTGAAAGATAGAGTCTTGGATCTTTGGATGAGGGGGATGAGACGAGCTGTTTTTGCGACGTAGAGTTTGGTGTTGAAGATGGCGACTGTGTAAATTTCTTGGTCTGCTTGCTTGCTGCGGCAAATATAAGCAAGAGGTTCATGGGGAGGTTTGGAGGGTGGTGTACCTGGTGATTCCATGATAGCCAGAACTATACTTCATCATGCCCAATAAATGACCAAAGAGCGGTATACTACTTTGCAACCGCTTCGGTTCCCTTGGATCGTCAAAGAGAGAAAACATCCATTCTAACGTATACGCAAACAGGACGAAGCCTGCGACACCGTACAAAATTTCCTTCAACATGGCTGCAGTCTACCAGCAAAATCTTCAATGCCAACAAAGGATGCCAGTTCCTACAGTCTACCAAACAAGAGGAAACCTGACCATTTTAATATGGACGACAATTCCTACTAGACCCAAACCTCGCTTATCAAGAATTTCAGATCTTTTAGCCTGAAAAGCGAATACGAACTCCTTTGGTGGAGAGCGCTAATCAACACTAGAACCCTTTAGTTCAGGGGATCGTGAAGGATCCGAACTCGAGGATTAATTGATGTTTTATGATTGGCGGACGACAATCTCATACCGATGTGTCGGGTTCTTCAAAGGTTCCGACGGTTGCAAATTAATTGACTCCCTGCACTGATGCAATCGACACTCTCTCAATTGACCTGACAAAATACACAGAGCAAAATATATTCAGTACCTAAATGATCATTTTCCTCCTTTTTTCGTTTCTTTTTCCATTGTGACCATCGATCTAGAGTAGCAATATTCAACTGTCCATGTTCATAACCGGACAAGCAATACTGTTCCCATACCAAACGCCTTGTTCTGTCCGATTTACTTACACTTCATGAGAGATTGGTGGATGCCGCTTGGTTAAATGCCTCGATCATTGCATCGTACAGTTTGTTCGTCTCCTCGATTGAGGTCTTGGTGCCCAAGTAGAATTCTCCGTCAGGGAAGAACAGGATCTTGCGTAGGGCATATGCCAACTTCTTGGAGGAGCTAAAGGCCGGCGCAAACTCGGAAACAATGGCGTCGAATTTGTCGTCGTTGGAAATATCGTCGATCTTCTGGGTGGCGCTTCGAACGTTGCCGCTATTGTCCTTGTTCCAGCGCCAGATGCGGCTGTCGGGTGATAGCTCTCCGTGTTCGGCGATGGCGAGCCACATGAAACAGTAAAAGAATGACTCTAGGTCGTGTCGGTAAGTATGGAGGATAAAGTTATCTTCGCGGCGGGCGACATCAATGGCCATGAAGGCTTTGGTGCCGATCATGTCGTGGACGGGTCCTTCAAGAGGAACGCGGAGATCCCTGCCGCTGTCGAGATCGATGAGAAATCCATGAGGCTTATCCTTGCTATCTCCTCGCGTCTTGCTGATCATGAAGTTGCCGGGACAAATGTCTCGGTGGAGGATCTCGGCGTCGAGGTAAAGGCTACGGTGCGCCTTGATGGCATCTCGTATGCAGGTGATCAACTCGAAGGCACCTCGGTATTCGACGACAGGCTTCCCGACCGGGGAGATGACGACACATGCTGTGAGGTACTTCTCCGTCTCGAGACGTCGCTGGGCGATGAGCTGGTTGACGCCCCAAATGTTGAGCTCGGTAACTCGCTTCATAAATGTCTCCTCCTTGCGGCTCGACTCGTCGCGGAGGGAAAACTTGACGATAACTTCCTTCTTGTCTTCATTTGTTGCTCTATAGACAGTCGGTCCGTCGCTGACGATCTCCTGGGGACAGGTGAGGGGGCTCTTGTCCAGCCACAGTTTGTAGGTAGCGCCTGGATCGGCCTTGTCGTCGCATGTTTCCACCTCTTGGCCCTTGACGATCACATACTGGGCCTTTTGAGCGTTGTAGAAAATCATCGGGTTGAGACCCAGTTGCGCGTCGTTCATGTTCATGTAGTCGTTCTTGAATTGGTCGAAGGGGACGTTGTGCTGAATTCCCGACCGGTAAAGACGAACACGGTCGAAAATCCAGAGCTCGAGCTCATCGTCGCACAGGTAAAAGCCGTGGAGGAAGAGGCGGATAGGCTGCGCGTGGAAGACCTTGACGGCGGATTCGTACAAGATGCCGATCGCAGAGTTGTGATCGTGACCAGATCCGCGTGTGATTTCGATGCCGACGACTTGAGTTTCGGGCCAGGGGTTGTCGTCTTTCTCGTGCTTGGAAGGCATGAGAAGATGCTGGATGACGCCAGGCTCGAGAGCGATACCGCGAAGGACGCGCTGAGGGGTGCTGCGCTTCCACTCGATGCCCTTGAAGTACTTGTCGAACCAAGGCATGTCCTGCTTCCAGATGTCGACGGCGATTTTGTCCATTTTGCTGGGTGTAAATGCTGAGTGCGCGTATAGAGTCTCGTGGCAAAGGTTCTAGGTGAAGGAGGGAGGTTTGTTCGAGGAAAGGAGAGAAGGTCGCGGGCGCCTTTTATGGGGGAAGGAAACAGAGTTCAGAGGAGGCAGAGCATTGCATCACATCCAGCTTTGAGTTGGGAAGGTTACACGAGGGGTACCATGGTCACGCGCGACTGCACCTGCACAAACAGGGCTTCTCCATCACAATAAGGCAACTGCATCAGAATGGTACGTTCATATTTGGTGAGGCAAGAGATCAAGGTACAAACGCACCGAGAGTGGATGGAGGCAAACATGACCACATATTGGAAGATGTTTCTTATTGGTGATACAAACACGATCAAAATAAAGACAATATCACCATCAAAGTCGAAATTCAGTGTGTAACATTAAAAAAGGACTTTCGTCTTGTTATATTCCAAGGCGAGGGGAGACGTCTCCTCATATCATGTGAAGTAAAGTTCAGATTAGGGCTCCTCATCCATCACCCCGCCCATTCGCCTCACTGCGTACATTATACTGATTGACTTTCTGGGTTGGAAGAATTTTGCAGAATTCCACGAAAGTCTAAGTGGTGAGCAAAATTAAGAGTCGTCAGGATCTGAGACAGAGTTTTGGTGGCGGCGAGTCGACTCATCGCTCTTGCCTTGTGGTTCGTGCAACAAGCGCCGCGTGGCTCATTGCGTGAACTTCGGTCAGATGATTCGACGGCATCTTCTTCCTCGCGCGTATGGACGGGATGAATACGGTTCCAAGCGCGCAACGTTACACGAGTGGTATTTATCTGTTCGGGTCCTGGCTTGATCTCGGGACAGGTGGTCAACTCATATTGGTCCACCCTCGCACGGATTGCCTGGTCATTTGTAGGTCCAATGATGATGTAGGCTGAGTGAGTAAGCATAGCCTGGTGCATGGTAATTAGTTAGCCTCATCGCTTGGGCTATCAGTATTGGCTTCACCATGGAGTGTGTTCCATATTGAGTTACGCTTATGAAACTCACACAAATACTCGGTTAATAATTACAGGAGCAAGATGAAGGTCCATAGCTGTGTCATCCAAAAGCCTGCCTTCACGCTAGGTTCCCATTACGCAATTGGGTGCGTAGACGTCATGGGTTTCTGGGATCTGTTCGTAAGGCGTCCTAAAGATAAAGCAAAGAACCATGTCATTCCCATCCTGGAACCAGATATGGCTCAACATGGCAAGATCCTAGAAGACCCCTTAACAGCCATTCGGAAGTCTTCAAAGAACATCTTGTCCTTCCCAGACGAGATCATCATCTTGATCATGCACCAACTCCCCTATGGCTCGCTCTACATCCTCCGTCAAACATGCCGCGCCTTTCACAACCTCGCTTCCGACTTTGTATTCAAATCAGTCTTACACGAACCCATGAAGTTTATGCGAACTCGGCAGAAGTCGCACCTACTTCCCCCACAGACACACGACCACCTAGCAGTCATAAGACGTGAATTCACCCGCCAATCCCTCTGCAAAAATTGCCTTCCCCTCTTCAGCGACTACCAAAGGTTTATTAGGAAGTTTACTAAGTTGTGGAAACCGAAGCTGTGCCGGCCATGCGCAAAAGTCCATCCGAGATTTTTCTTTGCCGGGCGTTGGGATCGCTCATGTATGGGACAGAAAGGGTATTTCGCTTTGTGTGAGCATGCTAGGCTGGAGGCTGATTTTGGGAAGGATCATTGGAGTTATGGCGATTATATGGACCTTCGGATTGTTGATGCAGACGATAGGCGGTTGGGTCACTTGGATGACACATTCGACTGTCTAAATGGGTGCCATGTTTCTCTTGAATACTCCTGTGTGCCCCAAGTTCATGGCATCAAGACTATTTCTATGTTGAAGATAGACCGACCGCAACACCTGGATAATGCAACGTTGCGAATGCTTTTGCGGGAGAAATTGGAAGGGTTGGACTACTTGTGTGTTCATGCTTCAGATCAAGTCAATGCTATCGTCGATAAAATCACGGACACTGAATGCGACTGTTTTATGCAACGACACAAAACAGACCAATACCCTCTGGTAGAGCTTCTCAACGACACAACTGCATGCAACAATCATGTTTACAGCTGCCGTCGTTTCGATGCCATCTACATCTGAAAACGCGTGTAAAATCACATTGTCCTCGATTTTAGAATCAACTGCTACCCCGCCTGCTCGCCGTTAAGTACAAGCTGGCTAACCAACCTGCGCTACCGACACAAACGAGACTCCATTCTCAACAGAAAAGCAACAAAGCGCATTCTCTGGTGCGATGGCCTAAATTGTGCCACTGGTTCCGGCCATCGCTGGCGGAATATGGTACAGATTTGGCACCAGCATGGTGCAGTTCGAGCGGTTGCTGGGAACTTTCCACAGGACGGTAGAGTCATAGGCACTCCGGAGATGCAGGCCTACTGGACGGCGATGGACGGCTCATACTATTGTGTAATGTGGGATGCACTTAACGATTACGACATGTATTGGCGCCTTTAATCTAAAATCTTCTTAACTATCCCACTGACAGTATCAGGCTGTGTAAGATTCGGCGTATGTCCACTCTTAATCTTATGAACCTTAACCTCCCCACTCATCATACCCTTCAAGAACTCCATCATGCCATACTGATACTCGGTAAACACAAGTTTATCTTCTTCACAGATGATGTAGTGTACTTCTGCGTCTTGGTAGCCGGGGTATGTAAGGGCTTCCTTGTAAGATGCGGTGGAGTGCTGGGGCATTTGTTTTGCGAGGCGCAGAGCTTCCTCGGCTGGGGAGTCTGAGTAGACAAAGGGTGCTGATTCGGGTGTGAGGGTCATGTAATCGTCCTGAGAATGTCAGCTTGATTGAGAAGATGGGAGGATTGAACTTACCTCGATGATGAGGAATTCTGGGGGTTGAAGGAGAGACATGACTGATCCTCCGACTGGTAGCGCAACACCAGCCAAATAGACAAGTTTGCTCACGCCGCCTTTCTTTCCTTCAGCTTGTCGCGCTTTTTGTGAAAGCTTCTCCAAACACTGAGTCGCTGGGACACCGCCATATGAGTGAGCCAGAAGAACCACGTCTTTGTCATCCTCCAGTAGCTTCTCCACCACAGATGAGATCTCATTCACATCATCGGTCATGGTAGCAGGTTCTTGACCCTCCTTCCGTCCAACGGAGGGTAGATCCACGATCCGAGAGTCGACCCCATCGCGCGAAAGGCTCTGGGTGAGGGGTTCGTAGAGAGTCGGTGAAGCGAAAGAGCCAGGGATGATGACAACGACCGCCATGATTGAAGACAGAAGACAGAACAGATTGACCGACAAAGCTTAACAGGTGGGATTTTGAGGTTAATAGGAATAAGCTCATATATACCTCAGTCCGTGCCTCAACGTCGCATCCGACAGGGCTGGAAAGTCTCAGGGTCCTTTGTGAATTGCCGAGACGGAAATACGACCGCAAAGGGAGGTGTTTTCCTGAGGGGATTCGCGGTGAGCCAATCAGATGGTGGGCAGCTGAGGTAGTGGAATAACGGCTCTTGAAGTAGTGGGCGAGCTTAACCGAAACGAACATTAACCTCGTTGACATGCATTCTTATCGCGCAATCAGTGCCCTGTCCCTACGAGTGATTTGCATCTTCGTATGGTGCTTGGCATTTCTTGCTGACGGAAGACAGTTTCAACATGTCGTCCATGTATTAACTTGACGATTTGGTGCGTCGTTGTTGGGAAAGAACGTTGGAATTATCATAGATGACGAAATAATTTGGTCACTTTATGGCTGGACAGACTAGCCATTGGGCTAATTTATTCTAGTAGCCTAGCTTGACAAATATCTTTTCCATCCCCCACCTAAAAGCCCGGGCAGCAGATGCGCATTCGTGGGTCCAATTGGTCGAATCGTTCGATGATTGTCGCTAAATTCCTTTACGATATTCAACAAGTACCGGGTGATTCTCTCACACTATTATCTCAGATTCGAGTATCTTTAAATGCTCTTGGATTGTTTCCATGAAATTTTATTCACTTTGAGTTTGTTCTAGAATAACTTACTGGATACCACTCACTGTCTTGCGCTGAACCTACCCTATCGACCTATCTTATCATCCGCAACGCTAACTCCACCAAAGCCTAGCGTCATGACCCTGCGTCACTGGTCGCCACCAAACATGGTTTAGCGCAAGTAGGACAAAGGAGCAGAGACTTTTCTCAATATCAAACCCTCCTTTCATCTCACAACGGAAAACATGCAACATCTCCGTCTCAACACCTCACATCTGCGAATTTCACCTCGCATTTCTTCACTAACAGCACTCAACTCATTCCATTCTTCTTCATTTCTGATGGAAGGCAACAAACGTCGTGGCGGTGGTCGCGGCGGCGGTCGCGGTGGCAGTCGTGGCCGTGGCGGTAGCAGTCGCGGTGGCAGTCGTGGTGGCGGCGATAGACCTGTTCATATCGGTGGCAAGCTGGTCAACCCCGTCAATATACTTCCTGAGAGAAGAATACATGAACAAAGGGAACGGCAGAAGGAAGAAACCGTTGATATCGAAGTTCTTAGTCCTGCAAAGGCTGCTTCCGCTCCCGCCATGGAATCAGGCGCTTTTAGCAATCGTCGCTTCGAAAGCCTTCTAGAGAACAAGAAGGTCGACCATACCATCGTGCGCACCATCACAGACGACATGAAATTCGAGTACATGACGCCTGTTCAGGCCCAGACTCTGGATGAGCTTCTTCCTCCTAACCGTAGCGATTGTCTCGTTCAGGCGCGTACTGGAACGGGTAAGACAATGGCTTTCCTCCTGCCTGCGCTGCAGACTATGATCAACCAAGGCCGTGGCAAGGGTTCTATCTCGCTGCTCGTCATTTCACCGACCCGTGAGCTTGCGCAGCAGATTTCAGCTGAGGCGACCAGGGTCTTGAAGAAGTTCCCTCAGTATCGCGTGCAGGTTGCTATTGGAGGTACCAACAAGGACCGCGAGGAAAGGGGTATTCTTGCCGGCTGTGAGATCCTCATTGCTACGCCTGGTCGTCTATTGGATCACTTGTCCAACGAGGAGATTGTTTACTCTCTGCGCAACCTTGATACTCTGGTTCTCGATGAGGCGGATCGTCTTCTCGACATGGGTTTCCTCAGAGATCTTCGCTCCATCGTTTCGCATCTTCCCAACAAGGAGGCTACCAACCGACAGGGCATGCTCTTCTCCGCGACCATCGCTCCTCACGTCAAGCAGGTTGCTGAGCTGGTGTGCTCACCTCAGTACAAGTTCATCTCGACCATTCCCGAGGGCGAGATCAACACTCACGAGCGCGTTCCCCAAGATCTCATCAAGGTTCCTACCTTTGCAGATGTCACCGCCGCCATGATCGGGTGCGTGCGCGAGGAGGCCACCCGAGGCAAGGAGTTCAAGGCCATTCTTTTCGCGACCACCGCTGCGATGGCAGACTTCTACTCCGACCTTCTTCAGACTATGCCTGGTCTGCCCCCAGTCTCGGTCCTACACAGCCGCATGACGCAGAGCAAGCGCACAAGAATCACAAATGAGTACCGAACTGCTCGCAACGCTATTCTCGTGGCCACCGATGTCGTCGCTCGAGGAATGGATTTCCCTGGTGTCACCACCGTCATCCAAGTCGGTCTTCCCGCCGACAAGCAGAGCTACATCCACCGACTAGGCCGAACTGCCCGTGCTGACGCCGACGGCCGAGGTATCCTCATCGTCTGTGAGGCTGAGAGCTTCTTCCCTACCTACACCCTCAAGGAGATCAAGTTCAATCCCCGCGAAGCCGACGTCTCACCATTCCAAGACGTCATCGACCACGCCTCCAAGATGGAAGATGAGGACAAGGCTCGCGTCTACCAAGCCTGGTTGGGTTACTACAACAGCCACATGAAGGCTCTCCGATGGGACAAGACGCTACTCGTTCACGAAGGCAACAAGTTCGCTCTCCAGGGCCTCGGCGCTCCTGAGGTACCAGCTCTACAGAAGAGCACCGTTGGAAAGATGGGTCTGAAGGGTGTTAGAGGTCTTAACGTTACGGCTGATCGACCTCGCGCTAAGCACGGAGCTCCTGGAGGCCAAGGTGACAACGGTCGCGGTAAGCGAGGACGCAAATAGAGAATCTGGGTACGATATTGTCATGAATAGATACCGGCGGGAATGGAGTTAAGGACATTGCAGAGTGGATTTATGATACGATGATACTGCATTAGACTTTACATAGTGGACCTGATGACTACTGTTTACCTACGATAATTCAAGACTCTGTTATAGAATGAAACTGTTATAGAATGGACATACAAGGATTATTTGATGCCGGGTTGATAATTGGTGAATGGCTAGTGGAAGATAGATGATCCGCAATGGCCTAGAGTATGACTGTACAATTGACAGATCATATTCACCACAGCCCATCCTGCAATCTCAATCTCACCCGACCAAGAACTTTTGCATTTTCAAACAAAAAAGAAGGAAAGTCCGCAATGCAACATCAATCTCACTTTGTCTCCAACCATGGAAATCTGCATCTTTATGTTCCATCCCGATCTGTCCCTGAATTGACCTCACAAGCATGGACCACGTCACATCTGGATGACATCCAACTGGTAGACGGATGCTACTCCCCAGAGTTAGAGTCGTCGTCGGAACGGAAAACTGAATTCTCCCGATCCTACAAGACCCAGTCTCGTCTCGCATCCCGGAACGGCGCGCTAGTCCTGGTCCACGCACCCTCAAATCCCACCACTAAGAACTTTGCTTCTGGCTTTTCTTTTTTTATGTCGCTTCCGGTTGAGGTCCGCCTTGGCATTTATCACCATCTTCTCGTCTCCGAGAATCTTCCCGTGCTGTGCTCCAGTGGGAAATTTCGCGTACTTGCTGAAGAACTATACGATTCGGACCTCAAGATCCATCCGCAGATCCTTCAGACGTGTAAGCGAGTCAACACTGAGGCAACCGAGATTTTGTATGCGGCAAACGTTTTCCGGAGACGGTTCTACTGGCCTGTCACTTATGGTCGACGCGGACGGAGTAAGCACTTGCCACTCAAGGAATCGTCGCCTGTTAGTGCCGCCAATTTGGATAGTATCACAAAGATTCGCCTCTTTCGGGAACATAACGCTTGGCTACGCGATGGGAGACTAAGAGTTCTGGACGAATTTCCTCGGTTGAGAGAACTTCAGATCCACATGGACATGAACTATGCCGAGAATTCATCTTCGGCACTGAAAGAAACCCTGCTCGCGATCCATCGTCACCACCGCCACCTGCCTAGCCTCACAGTCAAACTCCGCCTCCCCTTCAACCAAGCATGGAAAGACTGGTGCAACGAATACACCAACAAACCCATGGGTTTCAGTCTTCACATGCGAAAGATGCAGGAACTGCAAGACTGGATGACGTCTGCAGGCAATATCTTCACCGGCAGGCAGACGAACTGGACGTTTCTGATAAATCTGGCACCACACTGCGGGCCTTCTGCAACGGTTATTTTCTCGACGGGGCTGTTCGGAGCCGAAGAGGCGCATGTGTCGTGCTGCATCGACATCGATGGCAAAAAGACGTTTAGCAAGATGCCGACGAAATGTGACAGGTCCGATCTGATATAGTCGAAGAAAATGGTCAGATAATAGACAAAAAGCAATCCGATATGGATCTGAGACATTTCATAAGTTTCAGAGTAAGCGTACGGCATTTCGATCTGTCATTTGCCCCTACGGTTATTGAAGGCGTCCAATCGAGATGCTCTTTCTACAGGGGGTGCGCCACTGGAGTGCTTATACTCTCGGCTCTATGCTTGTTCTGTCGGATGTATGCTTGTTGTCTCCTCCATTCCTGACGTAGATATGCAGTACCTGCGTCTTGATGCTCGTAAATCTGTCGAAACAAACGATGTCAAAGCGTTTGCATACCCATTTAGCGACCGTTGAGACGTGCATATCGCGCATCAGTTAAAAGATTTAAACATGATCCCCCAAGAAAACACTGAAAAAGGCAAAGGTTTACTAAGAGAAAAAGAAAAGAAACCGTATTGCAGACCCTGGTCAGAAGCTTGGCGATCGTGCACTAACTTGATGGGATGAAGCTACTCCCAAAGAAGCATATAACTCCATGCCCTGGCGAATGTAACCACATTCAATCAAGATACTTTTCTGCATTTCTTCTGTAGGCGAAAAAAAGAAAGGAAAAAGAAAAGAAAAATATGACATTGTAGATGTTTGTCATTAGTTGACCCTGGTATGCGTCGAGTCTAGTCCACCACAATGCGTAAAGGCATTTTCTGATATGTGATTTAACGTGCTTCATAAGGGCGATTTCGCCCGCCACAATTCTTCGTTTTGTCTTGGTTTTGTGTTTTGCTAATTTATTGTTAATTTACTATACTCGTATTTTACTATACTCGTATAATGGTTACTTTACGGGCAGCCCTGCTGCTATGCGTGGCATATGTTTCGCAAGTCACATATGCGCTCTCACTAGATGACATCCCACCATGCTCTGTAAGTCCGCTTACTCATACAACCACACTATCCCTGTACTGACGAGATAGTTACCATGTGTGTTTCAAGTAATGAGCAACCCGATGGCTACGAACCAGAGTATCGATGAGATGTGCAAGAGCGAGGAGTTTAGTCGGACGATTCAAAACTGTATTTCGAAGGTTTGCACGATTAGGGAGTCACTCGGTACGTCGTCTGCCTGCACGACATGGAAATATAGCTAACAGGGTATAGAGTTCAACGACTTCGTCAGCACAGTGTGCGATGTCCCAGAGGAAGACTACCGACCGCTTTACCGGGCTATCATCATTGCTTGGGCAGCTATCAGCACGGTGGCAGTGGTGTTACTTGTCCTTTCCAAGATATTCGTTACGACACCTTGGGGTATTGATGATACTTTTTCTATCTTCACTTACGTATGTCAACCTTTCGCACCATTCTCGATCTACAGCAGCTAATGGTTGGTTTTAGTGTATAATTGTTCCATGCACGGTTTTCTTTCTTCGCAGTAAGTACTCATTCGAATAGGATAGCAGATCGTGTACTTACATCAGCCACAGCCATTGATGCCGGTTTTGGATCTCTCAAGACACTATACCAGAGCAACGACCTCACAGGCGTCTTCAAGGTATATCCAGAAACGCTCGTCTCACTCAATAACACTAACAAATCCACAGAACGTGTTTATCTGGCAAGTCCTGTTCATGGGTGGCATCTGTGTGGTCAAGATGTCGATTCTCTTCTTCTACCTCCGAATTTTCCCCGGTCAAGTCTTCCGACGTATGGTCTACGCTACAATGGCTGTCAACGCCGTCAGCTCCATCGTCATCATCGTCTGCAACCTTACTGTGGGACGCACCGTTGAGGTTGTCTGGGGTGGAAAATCGGATCTTAGCGTTACTATGGAGACATACGGTCAAGCTTTGAAGATCACAATGGCTCACTGCGTGATCAACTTTGTGGTTGACGTTTGGATGCTTATTCTGCCGATGACCCAGTTGTATAACCTGGGGTTGAGGTTGGATAAGAAGATTCGGGTTATGTGCATGTTTGGTATTGGAATCTTGTAAGTTGGCCTCATTCTAGTGCTGATTCCTTCGGCGTGCTGACATGTCACAGTTTGACTGCGGTTAGTCTTGTACGATTGGTCATGACGGCAAAGATCCTGCCCAATCTAAGTGAAACAGGTAAGATGACATTATCGAGTCAGTGACGACCATTTGATGTACTTCATTTGCTGACGGTGCCACAGATTCCAACACGCATTCTTCCGTCATCTGGGCCAACATCGAACTCAACGTCGGCTTCGTAGTCGCTGTCGTGGCACCCATACGTCAACTCTTCCAACTCATCTTCAACGGCTTCAAGCAACCCGACAGCCCAAATAACAGTACACAGAAGAGCAGCCGATCTCGCACAGCAGTATTTGTGGATCGATCTATGATTCGAATCAAGGATGGCGATGAGGAAGAGCTTGTTATTTCAGATCCTGGAAATTTGGGCGGTACGACATTGGCGTCTTCGAGCAGCAGGGGAACAGGGAAGAGGGAAGGCCATGAACAGGATCTTGAGCTGAGTAGCTTGAGCATAATGAGCAATGGCAAGGGTCAATAGTGGAGGGTTTATTGTATGACTGACGAACTTGGGTGGCTACTCTGATCTTTGGTGTTATCTTATCGGTATCTTATCATCTGCATGATGTAATCGCATCTGGAGCAAGTCTCCTCGGAATTAACTTTGCCCTGCTCCGTGCCTTTGAACAATTGTTTGTCCCAAGCAAACAACTTCAGGAACAGGAACACACTTCAACTAAAACGCCTTGGCTCTCCCGGTTCATACTAAAATTATCCTGTCAAGCAAAAGACAAGACTCTTAGTCTCGGGAATCAAGCGGCGACCATCTCGGCGGCCCGGAACAAGCATCACACCAATTCGCAGACCCGCCAATTATGTGTCGTGACAAAAACTTGGCACAATGCTGTGACGTCAGGGAATGACAAGCTACGTAAATGTGCAGCGAAAGAACAAAAAGAATTGGCTCTTTGTCTTTTTGTCAGGCGGTGTGTCGCATGCTATGCCATCATTGTGCTCCCTGAAGACCCTGCCAGGGACTGAGACTTGAGGCTTATATACTTCCGATGATCTGCGACACTTTCCAGGGTCGTTGGGCATCAAGCCAACCTCAAAGTTAATATTGCCTGCCAGCTGAAGAAGGGTCGGGGTCAAACTCTACTCTACACATCAACCGCCCAAGATGAACTACGCCAACATGATTGAGGAGAAGAACCTCAAGGTACGTCCTGGCTATCTCTCTTGCTACTGTCACTGTACTAACTGTCCAGAAAACATTCATCATCGCCACACTATGCTCTACCCTCGTCGGAACCTTTACCTCGTCGATGGGTCTCTACGACCGTGTCAAAGAGAAGCGCAAACAGGCCAAGCGCGACACCACCCAAGACGAAGAGATCAAGAAGCTCAGAGCCGATGTCGAAAAAGCCTCCCACGAACGCGACCGCGCCGCCTCCGACCGGCAACGAATACGAGACGAGGTCGAAAACTCCTTTGAGCGATCGGGTGCCCTCATCAATCGCGAGTTCGAAGACGGATACAGGAGATATGGCCAGAGATTTGCCATCGGGGATGTCATTACGGAGAATAAATTGCAGGCGCAGGTTATTGCCATGCAGCAGACTGTGATCAATGTTCTCCAGGATGCGCTGTATAGTGGACGACCGCTTGATCGGGCGGATATGTCTAGACTTATTGCTGCTTCTGATGCGGCGAGGGAGGGATCCCTTGGCGCATTGCGACAACAGCGAGAGCGATTGGAAGATCGTGGCCCTTCACCTCCACTTCCACCTCCCCAAGTCCTCCCTCCTCCTCCTCGAGCGCCTACCGTGGTCGCAGACGAATCTCTGTACTGTCGGTACGCCCTCGACCTACAACACATCCCCGAACAAGGCCTTGCTGCAAGCTTCATCCCCCGCGGCGATCATCTCTGCCCCGCCTGCGACGTACATATTGATGTGGATGACGATGACGGCTGGGCAATTGGTAAGACAGCTGTGCGTCTGATCAACGACCACGGTTACAAGCGTGAGATCGACGAAGAGCTCGAATTCCACGTCAGTCCGCGCTTCGTCGTCAAATGCCATACACCCGAAGGAGAATTCGCATGCGTACTATGCAGCCGCTTCCGGGAAGAGGACGTCCTATGTCCCACCGCCGACACTTTGATCAATCACATCGGCCGAGTACACAATGTTGCGGAGATGGAGAGGGAGCTAGACTTTGAAGTACGTTCTCTTGATCTGGATAGAAGGAGTATAGCACCTGTGGATATGAATAAGAGGATCATGCCGCCAAAGTCGGTAGGAGGCTCGTCGGGGAGGAGTGTTGTTGATGATAGACGGAGTGCGAGGGCCATGAGTGTTGATAGACGGAGTATGGGTCGGAGAAGTTTGGATGGGAGGAGTGTTGCGGGTAGGAGTGTTTACTGAGTAGCATACGGTTTTGCATAGCGATTGTTTTATTGAGCGTTTAACAGCTTAACACATAAGTACCCTAGTCTCCGTCGCTGGTTTGTTACCTATGACACGACGTCCTTTTCGTTGGAGCTACTACTACCCCTCAACATTATACGTTATCACAACGAGATGGCCACTTTCAGAACCTCATCACTTGGACACGCAATGAACAAGGTAGCGTTAATTTATTTCTCAGTCGTAGCGGACCATGATGCCTACAGCACAAGGCTTCTACTCCTCAGGCAAGTTGATATAAAAGTTCCTCTCAAAGGCATGCTCGGAACCGAGCAACGGGCCGAGGTCTTTGTTTTGGGCCTCTTGCCGTTCTTTCGCCGCACTCGGATCAACCTCCTGTAAAGCTGCCATGTATGCAGCAGCTGCCGACGCATACTCGTTATATTGGCATTGAGGCTTGGGGTACTGTCATTGTTAGCGGGCTTGAAAGGTATGATAGCTGTGAACAATTACATTCAGGGTGACCCATTGATACAAATCCTGGTCGTCTGGTTTGCACCCATCATTGTCGAAAACGGTCTTGGCTTCTTCTTTTGTCTTTTGAGCCGCCTTACCGACTTCAAGCACCTTTGCTTTGCCGTATTGAAGGCGTATCTGGGCTGCCATGGCGATGAATTTGTGTTGGACCTTGAGATATGTAGATGTAAAGATATGCTTGAAGCGTATGGATTGAGCTGTAATTGAGAGCTGGCATAGCCTTTATATACCCAAAACCTCTTGGTTGATCACCCGCTTTGCTTTCAATGTCTTATATGACGTCTAATTCATGTATATCAATCCCAAAAACTGGGCATCACTCTTATGCGGTTGAAGATAAGGTCAGGTTTGTTGAATAGTGCTGTGCCAATGGCAGCTGAAGAACAACGCCAGACGCGCACGGTCACTGCTCAATTTCCTCAATTGATGTAGTATGACTTCGCAATACTGAGACATACATATACTAGACACGCCACTTGCGTGTATTTTGGTGTTGATCTTTTTAATAACGCGCTCTGATCAGCCAAGTCCGAAGAACAACCCACCGCTTCCCCTCAATTACCTCAGGGGAAGCAGGTTGTATCTTGAATATTTACCTACTTGTCGGGATAGTCAACAAATAAGCAAACCAAGTACATTTAGGATTATTCCATTAGCTCTGGATGAAGCGATCAACTACCCTGCAATACATTTAATCCTTGGTGATCTGCTATTCCTTAGCCATGCTGCATTATGGAAGGCCATATGATAATCTTTAGCCTATCCCAAAGACTTACGAACGTACTCCTGCTGCCAAAGGCCTTGTAAACATCATGGTCTCTTTGTTTAGACGAGTTATTTTAGAATGCACCGTAGTCAATGAAGATGTTAAAGGTGAGGGATAGTTTTGGATATCATATCCAAGCTCAAATCTGTTCATGAGCATGATACTCGGTACTTGGTAGTGTTTTGATGCAATATGACGTGCGCTTTATGGGGGGATCACCACTAGTATGTAAGCTGTCTTACAGCTCTTAATAGTTTAATCATTGGGAAAGCTTCCTTACGGTCGATGTCGCGATTGGGCTGATCCTTGGTTGCTGATCCTCCCGACTGGCAAGCAAGGACCTGATCCTGAACATCACTCTCTCGTTCTTACATCGTGACATCTTGGCCACTCCATCTTTATTTGTCTTTTCCATGGCTCGGGAAGGCGACAGGTAATCTTTCGTGTATCGTGGCCCATCACAAAAGACAAATCACCTAGACGGAGGCGACAGAAGCGTCTCTCTACGGAATTCTACAATCATGGCCAGGTATTGCAATAGACCTATATATAGGTAGGCATGCCTCATGTATATTTTGGTATTTATCTCTGTGATACCATTTCGACCCACCAGAAGTACACCCGTTCCTTGCAAGGAGATTTATGATTAAATTACTCCTCAGGCAAATCAATATAGTAATTTTGTTCAAAGTAATTCTTGTCAATAGAGAACTGTCTCATAGCCGCGTTGCGGGCATCTTCCCGTTCCTTCGCCGCACTCTCATCACAGCGCTGCAAAGCTTGGTTATATTGTGCTTCGTTGGCACGGTAATTACTATAGGACGCCTGAAGCGAGGGATACTTGTATAGCTATTGTCAGCGGACTTGAACGTTACAAAAGCTGGGGAGATCAACATTTTGACTACACCATTGAGTTAAAGACTCATCGTCGGACACGAGGCCCCTGTCTTTGCCTTTCTCGTACTCGGCTTTGGCCGCATCTTTCTCCTTTTTTGCTTGCTTGCCAGCTGAGAGAAGGGACTTCTTGACCTGCTCAAGTATGGCTTGGTCTTGGGCAGACATAGTCATGCGTGTTGGATGCGAATGGAGATAGTTGACGTTGAATAGAAGTGTAAAGAGATGAATGAAGAGGAGGGGGTGAGTTGGATAGGAAATGATCTTGATCTTATACCCAAGATCTCACCTGCTCATCCGCACGATACTTTCCACCACTTGTTGTTTCGATGCGCCATGACGTGAGTCTTATGAGAGAATCTTCAACACGAAAGAAAGCGGCGTAAGCTGTCTGCTAGTTCTTACCCATCAGATCTTGGGGAAAGCATCGTCGTCGGTAGGAGCGACATGATTGGCCTGGCTGAACCTCCCGTGCTTAAACTTCCGCTAGCAAGAACCTAATCTGGGTATCCGCTCTCTAGTTCTCACTTCTTGAGATCTCCCCCGCTTCATCTCTGTTGATTATGGGGTCTCCCTCCAAGTCTTCCAGCCAGTAAGAAGCGAAGGCTTTTCCGAGTTCTATCAACTGGAACGGCTCGTGACCATAGAAGCCTTGCCAGATATCCGAAAGCGACCCGCGACCTCTCGTTTGTGTATGGTGATTCGCTGCATTGCGAATCACTCCAGCTCCCTGTTCTCAAGGGAGGTGGGGTGTTACTCTATGTGAGTCTTCAGCATACTGGATATCAAGATGAAAGTGTGAAAGAGACCTTGGATCTGGGAAGGTTAGCGAGATAAGCTTTGTAGGTGCATCGCTAGTCTCATCTTCACACCTCAGCTCTACCAGATGCCCGGAAAGACCGATGTGAGATCTACAAGATCCCCATTATCGTTCATGTAGATCAACAGAAGATTCACTGTACTCTACATCACAATAAAAATTTTATCTCCGCGTCCAAGTCCATTTCCAGTCCTGAATACATCTCTCCCAAAACTCCTCCGCCCACTTCCTTTGTGCATCCGTCTCGTCCGAGCATTCTCGACGAACACAGACCATAGACTCCAGCAGTCGAAGTGCCTTGTTTTTATCATCACCCTCGTAGTAAGCCCTCGCAAGGCTATTCTCGGAAAACATCGTCCTCTCGTGGATCTTTCCCAGATTCTCTCTTTGGAGAACAACAAGTTCCTCCCACTGCCTCACAGCTTTCTCCGTCTCCCCAGCTTTTGAGTACGCTTCAGCAAGGCGCGCTCGGACATATAGAGTCTCCTTATGAGATTTTCCAAAGACTTTCTGTTCGATTGGAAGAACTTCCTCGAAGATAGGGATAGACTCTTTCACCAGTTCGTTCTGCAGGTAGGCGTTGGCAAGGTGGTTCTTGGCTATGAGCAAGCTCGTATCATCAGGTGGTAGCTTGTCTTTCGCGACAGATACAGCAACACGGAGGGCTTCGATGGCTTTTTCAAAGTTCTCTTTGTACACCCAGCATTTTCCAAGTTCCGTCGTCAGTGCGAACTTGGACTTCGGGCTTCGCTTTCCACTGATCCTTGACAATGCTTCTAGGCAGCTGATTCCCTTCTCGGGTTCCTTATTGAAACGATATCCCTTTGAAAGAGCACACGAAACCGCGACGAGAGCAGCATCATCTTTTGAAAAGTTCTTTTCGTAGACCTTTATGGCTTTACCCGCCAGTTTTATTGCCTTGGGAGCTTGTCCGATCTCTGAATATGTCTCTGCAAGATTGATCTGAACACGCAACCTTCGGCTGGATTTGGGTTCGGATTTGTGAAACCGAGAGAATGCCTGTTCTAGCAATGTAGCTGCCCCCTCGAGGTCCCTTTGGCGTACAAGCCACAATCCAGCTTTAGCTGCCAATTCAAAGCGCTCGTCGAAATCCATCTTCAAGTGTTTGCAATCTTGAAGGACCCGGGTGACATGTGTTCGATACTTCTCCCACAGTAGTCGATCCGAAGGTTTGTCATCAGGTGTCAGTTTATTCAGCCGCTTAGTCGCCAGCTTTGTGAGTTGTCGAGAGCTGTTGTTCTGCTGCTGCCATACCCGTGTGGACAGATATATGACTGTAGGTATGTCATACGACTGACCGCCAGGATTAGTGCGGAGAACAAAGGAACTGCACAAGATACCTATAGACGCCTCCAATCCACTTTTCCCTTCTACGTTGAGGAGGGATCGTGGAATGGAGCGAGAGTCAATTCTTGAAACGAATTCAAGTATTGCCCACGCTTCTTGGTGTTGCTTGCGAAGCGCTCTGAATGATCGACTGAACGATCCTGATATGGATATTACCTTGGTCGCTTCACCCGCAGACTCACTGTACTCTTTAGCAATGAAGCTCAGAGCGTCGCTATCGCCACTTTTCAACGACTTAAGAAGCTGGTCGACGGTGAGCTGGGGATTGTCATTAAGGTATCTGGCAGCATGAGATATGGCGAGAGGTAGGTTTTCCAACTCAGCAAGTAGCTCTCCAGTCTTGTTCGCGTCAAGTGATAAATCCTTGTTGAACAGAAGGTTCTGAAAGAGTGAAAGTGATGTCTCGGAGTTCAGTCCCTCCACCTTGATCACTTGGCCTACCTGATTACCAACGGCTGCAGTAGCTACTTTCATAGACCGTGTGATGAACAAGATGCGACCCTGACTGCTCCTTGGCAAAGTAGGAAGAGGATCGTAGTCATCAACGTCATCAATGATCAGATCCCATCTTCCTACTCGCTCAGCTTCTAAATAGCGGCACAGAAGAACCCTCGGATCCGGACGCGAATACTCGTGCTCGTAGATCTTGAACAGATTCAGTTCCCGGGCGATACGGTTACAAGATTCCTGAAGACCAGCAGCCGAAATCCAGAAAACTGGGTAGTTCGGGTATTGCTGATGAACATTATCCGCAAAATGAAGCGCAATCTGAGTCTTACCAGTTCCAGCTAATCCCACCAAGGCTGCCCTCTGATGGCAATCCCGAGAGAAAGATGCGTAGAGCTTATTGGTGTACTCGTCTCGGGGAATGAAGGTCGGCGATACCTTCATGGGAACTGAGAAGCAGGGCATAGATGGAATGTCTGCGTGCGACGAGCGGTATAAAGGTTCATCGGCATAGCCTTCCGGTGAACTTTGCCTGGAAATCAGATCTGGTTGAAGCCTCTGTGGTTGACTCTGAAGATGGTTAACACAATGGTATTGATGATTTCGGAGCACTTACTGATATAAGTCGTTCAAGATGCGGCCCAGCACTTTCTATCATACAAATTAGTCCCTGCCATCTTCTTCATCGGACGTTACTTACTCTGCTTGAGAACCAGATTCTCGACACACTTCCGAAGAAGCATACTTTGCACCTGACTATCAAGATATCTGTACGTAGCTGCTTGAATCTCCCCTTTCTTCCTATACTCCTTCATACCAACAGGCTTCAGACCATGCTCGACATTAAACCGAAAATATCGACTCTGGTCATAATGTTGACGCCAACGCCTCATCGAAGACTCGGCTATCCTCTCAGCATCTGTCGTCATTTTCGCAAGCGTAGTCATGAACTTATCGAGACGATCGTTGATGTCGTACGTTCCCATATTGCCTGTGCCGATTGAGATGAAGCACTTAACAAGAGGTTTGATGTTGCCTGTTTCTGGACACCAAAGCTCGGTCGCCTCTTCTTCAACCTGTTCGACAGGGTTATTGGCGCCCAAGGCACCGTCGACAAATTCCATGTCTTCTATGGAGACGGGATCGAAGAAGGTAGTCGCAGCGGATGTCGCACGAGCTGCCTGACATATCGTCGCATTGATTGAAGTCTTGTATGTATGGTAACTTCTTAACCGATAGGTCGTAGTGCTGCTCTTAGATATTGCACAGACAAAGCTTTAGTGGTGAGTCGGAAGCTTGTACAAAATAGAAGAGTTGATTGCTCACACTTTACACGAGGGTGTATCATCTTCCAACATTTTGTCTGTCGGCGATAGGCCCCGATCGCGTATCGTTTTCTCAACTGCACTCTCAAGCATATTGGAGTCGAAGCGAGCTTGAGTCTGTCCTCGCAGATTAAATTTGGATTGGTGCATTCTTGACTTTTCACCAAAGACGACTCGAATGAGGTCATTGTAGGAGGCGATGCATTCATCCACATCCATTTTTAGCCGGCCGAGCATTATCGCGATGAGTCTACCACAGTAAGAGACAGCTTGTATCTAGTGAAGTGGGACTTACCCGCCCGTACTCGTACCACCTATCAAATCGAAAACATCACAAGGCTTCTGTGGCATTTCCCCCATCTTTTTTCGCGCAGCATTATGGCTATCCATGATTCTCTTTAGAACGAAGAGTGAAGATAAGCCACGGACACCACCGCCATCGAGAGAGAGTAGACAAATACCTTGCTCGTCCAGCAAGCTGACAGCAGTTTGGTCGGCCATCGTGCAGTACACAAATCACAGATGCATCCGCCTTTGCCCAGGGTGTAGTAAAGGCTTACAGGAATGGACCTTCAGGAAGATCTTGCGATAAAACAAAACAACAGGATTGAGGGGTTTCGATTTTCAGTTTTGAGATCAGGGTCGGGAAGCACATGCATGTCAGCCGGGTGGTACCAGCCCTGCAATTGTCATTGGCCATCCACGACACAGCCATCAGCACTGCCATCTTGGTGAGCGGTTAAATTGTAGAAAATATGTCAACCGAAGAGGTCTCTCAGGGAGTGAATGCAACTACGTGAGATGCTTGCAGCAGTTTAAATGGCCCCACCTGACAGCCAGCGGGATAGAGCGGCTTGCGTCTTAGAACACCTTGGGATTGTACTGTTGCAACCGACAGTAGGCACGGTATGTGAAGCTCAATAGGTTTCTTAACTGACTTTTCAATGGGGATATTACATTGTTTCTACAAACGAGGCGTAATCTGAATCGTAGGTTACAGACATAATAGGCCATCACAGGGTTGTATGATAGGTTCGCGTACTCATTGAAAGTTTGGACACAGAGGCTTATACGTTGTTATTATCACACAATCTTAACATGAGAAGATAAAGTTTTTGAATTAGGCAGCCGCGTGAAAATGATTTTTTTTTTTATAACTCTTCATCTTTCCTCCTGCAACAACCAACCCACGTGGTTTCTCGATCAACATTTCTCCACCTGCTTGCCCTTCCCACAGCGAAAATGGATGGTATGGAGATACTTCAGGGCTTCCACCAGTCCTTGCAAAAGTAAGTACAAGGTAAGTGCTTCCTCTGTCTAACGCAGACTAACCGCAGGTCCAGCCTTTACAACAATGAGGAGTTTTCTGACCTCACCATCAAATGCAAGGGCACCGAGATCAAAGTCCACAAGATGGTCTTGGCATGCCACTCACAACACTTCAAAAAGATGTTCAGCGGTCCATGGACAGTAAGTCTGCCCTTGTCGTTCTACTGCGGCTCATGCTAACGATATCCAGGAGAGCAAAGAAAATGTGCTCGAGATCAAGGACTTTGAGCCAGCTGTCGTAGAAGCTATGCTCCGCTTCATGTACGATTTTCACTACGCTGGAAACAAACACGCAGACACAACCTTCCATGTCAAAGTCCACGAATGCGCAGATTACTACGCGATGGATGTACTCAAGAATATGGCAGCCGAGAACTTTAGGTCGGTCGTGGGATGGGTTGTTACCCAGAAGGATCTTGTAGCGCTTATTGAATATCTATACGCATCACCAGATCTCGGTCTTCGTAATCTTATCCTAGACAGAATCACCGAAAGGATTGATGTCCTACTGGATCAGGACTGGTTTGATGGCGTGATGGTGTCAGTGCCTGAATTTGCAGCTGCCATGGTTCGTCGTATGCATAGGCGGAATCCTATGGCCTACAAGTGCTACAATTGCCATTTCAGTATGCCTTGGAGTAGCATGGGTAATAACCCGTCAAATTGCTATCACTGTAATGCCATGGTTCAATGGGGTGGTGCTGATGGGAGACTGCACTCGAATACTCTATAAGTTTCCTGAGTGGCAGACCTCTGAGGCATACAAGCTACACTTCGATATACCCAGCGGGCTCCGAAACGTCGCGTGATAAGATCATTTGACAAATATTGGCGCGCAACTCAGCGGCCCATTCTGCTTGAGGTCTCATTATAAACACTGAAGGAAATGTCGACGTGAGGTCTTCAAAAACAACCAGAACAGAAAAAGAACAAGAAAAACAAAAGAACAAGAATGAGAACACCAAACTCGACCCGGACCCCAACACAGACCTAGACAGCAATACACGAACACAAAACAACAAAGAACAGAGAAAAAGAAGGAATAGTTTTGGCTACCAACTACCAGACTACCCTACAACAACAATAGTCAAACACCCCGAATCAAGCCCCACGATAATTTCACAAGAGTGAGAAAAGAAGGAAAATGAAAAAAAGGGGAAAAGGGAAAAACAGAATACAGCTGAAACAATTGAGCTTTCATTTGTGCTATAACAAACGAGAATGGCAACGAGAACAGCACATGGTGTTTTGGTACGGACAGATAGGAAGAGAACAAATTCTCAAGAAGGGAAGCAGGGCAAATATGGACAAGACAAGTTGTTCAAGCATCGGGGTCATGATGCGTCAGAGTGCCACCAAAATTATTAAGAAAAGGATTAAAACACATTTGCACCCCATCATAAATGTACATCGTCGACGTCAAGTTGTTAAAGTCTGTTTCTTTGTTTTGAGCCTCTGCACTAAAAAACGCCACAGCGCCACACGAAACACGGTGCCTGAATCAAGGGACGGGTAACATCTACCGAGATCTAGTGATACGTACCGTACCGTGACTAAGAAAGGAAATACTTGGAGTAAGCAATCCCAGATCGTGATCGCAAAGCGAAAAGGGCGATGGAAAAGTTGGGCCCAAAGATCTGGATCGGCCCGCTAAGGTTAGCGCCGGTGCATTAGCCTAAAAGGAGGACTTTTCCCGGTCATCAAGTTACATCATTCGTGTCGCATTGTCATCCCTACATTTTACTGAGTGTTCAGTGCTTATTCACTAACTGCTTGACGCTCTAGCCGTGCTTATTGTCATGCATGAGAGAGGCTGAGAAACAATCGAGATATCGGGAACAAGTGAGGCGGGATGCTCCTCTTTATATTAAAACCACAGACACAGACCATAGACTACATGGATATCCCCATCAATTAAATAAGATAGAGTTTCATAACTTCCAAGGTCAAACAAGAAAACGGGCTGAGCGTTGTTTAGATATGCTACGCTAGTGCAGTGTCAATCCTATGACCTTTCTTGGCAACCCAACCCACTCACAAAAATTAAATTCCATCATGTTTATCTTTTTGTTCTCGCATTGTTCCTTTTCTTTTTCGTAAGGGACCAGGACCAGGACCAGGACCAGACCTAATATGGAGTCCGACATCGCAGACGACCTCGACAAGCTCAACATTAGAGATATTCTCAACGCAGATTCCCGACCGACTTTTATTATTGATTTAGATCCAGATGATGAAATCCCGTTGCAGTCAAAGGTTATTGAGCCTGTCTTCGCCAATACCGCGTTGAGTACGCATGAGAAGCTCTATGACGTGGTCCGAGGGGAGGAGACTTCACACGTTCAAACAGAATCTGTTTCATATGGCGATTTCAGGAATTGGGCAACAAGCATAACGACGCAGGATGATTCAAAGGATGTTTTCCCGCTCTTTTTCCTGTACAAAGATTTATTATGGACGGGATCAACTGTCGCGAAAAGATGGCGATTGATTAGTGGAAATCGACTTTGGCACCACAGCGCACCACCCAGGACATTATCTTCAAGTGCGCTTTCACGGGCGAGTACCCCGGGTATCAAAGATCCGGAGCGTGTCAAGGACTCGCCCAGACCACCAAAACCGGACCCTGAGCCTGAGCCAGAGCCAGATACCAAGGAAATATTCCAAAGCCCGACGGAAATAACAGCACCGGAACTGCCTTCAACAGACACAACACTCATCACATCAACACAACGAAAACAATCGCTCCTATCATGGTGGCGCGCTGGGACATCCCGAGGAAGCTCAGACCGTATCACTGGCAGTTCAAGCAGCGGATCATTCGTCCTGGGAAAGCCCGAGAAGGCCGTTGCAGATTGGACGGTTGCGAAGCCCAAGGGTGTTTTGACACCGTACATCAGGCTTTTGAGGGAGATTGACTGGTCTGAGACGCCTCTTGGACATATGGATACTTGGTCACCAGAACTGCGACAGGTGGCGAATTTGGTCATCACAAACCCTCATCCCGGTAAGATTCACGAACACGATACTGTCTCAATTTGCTGATTTCTATGTAGCGAGCTTGTTCTGGGGAAATGACATGACGATGCTGTACAATGAACAATACGCTATTCATTACGCCGGAAACAAGCATCCTTCCATGTTGGGTACCGGCGCATCAGGTCCCTGGTCAGAAGCATGGGATGTTCTTGGATCTGCTTTTGCCGAAGTCGTCAGAACAGGAGTCAGCCACCGAAGCGACAATGATGAATTAGCGCTATTCAGACGAGGGTTCTTGGAGGAAACGCATATTTGCTGGTCGCTCACACCATTATACGGCGGCACGAACCGAATCTGCGGCTTTTACAATGCACCCTTCGAAACAACCGACCTCATCCTGGGTCAGCGTCGAATGGCTACTATCAACAAACTAGGCGAATCTCTACGTAAAGCAACATCGATCAAGAGTTTCTGGAAACTTGTTCTTGAAGGACTAGAGGATAACCACAAGGATGTTCCTTTCGCGCTGGTCTACTCTGTCGGAGACGCGGAGGACGGTGATCATCAGTCCAGTTCTTCAGGCAGCACCATCTCAAGCAAGTCCTGTTACCTGGAAGGTACGATTGCGATCCCGAGAGGTCATGCTGCTGCGCCTGACCAGATTGATCTTAAGAGAAGTCATCAAGGTTTTGTGCCGTCTTTCCGCGAAGCTATGCGAACGCGCGGTGAACCTACTCTGGTTCGCATCCGGGACGGAACTCTACCGGAGGATATCTTGCAGGGGATCAAGTGGCGCGGTTTTGGCGAGGTTGGAACCGAAGCGATTATCTTCCCTGTCCGACCGACGAACGGTGAGAATGTTCTAGCGTTCTTGGTTCTGGGTGTCAATCCTCGCAGACCTTATGACGCCGGATACAAATCTTTCGCTTCGCTACTTAACAACCAACTCGCAACGTCACTCGCATCGATTATTCTCTTTGAAGAAGAAACCCGCCGCGGACGCGATGCTGCAGAGGCTGCCGCTTTGGAGAAGGAGGAATTAACGCAGCAGATTAACCTTCAAGCAAGTCGTTTGCGCAGAATGACGGAGTTATCGCCATTGGGAATGTTTCTTACCAGCCCGGAAGGAGTTCTACGCGAAGCGAATGATAAGTTTTACGAAATGACGAGTCACACGCGCGAAACACACGGTGATATGGCTTGGGTCGATTTGATGGGTACTTCAGGCAGTATCATGGAAGAAGGATGGCATCGTCTCACACAAGAACTGCTTCCCTGGTCCGGCGAAGTCAAGTTACGAAAGGGTGTCGAGGACCCTGTCAACATCCATGGCGAATCAATCGATCTATGGGTTATGGTCACAGCGCATCCTGAAATCACACCTGGTGGTACGCTGCGGTCAATCATGGGCTCTATCACGGATATTTCCCATCTCAAGTGGGCTCAAGGTCTACAAAATCGACGGTTGCAGGAAGCCGAAGAGACGAGACGACAACAAAATGAGTTTATCGATATCACATCGCATGAGATGAGAAATCCGCTCAGTGCGATTTTGCAATGCGCGGATGATATTACTTTGGCTATGGAGGCGGCGAAGACGAGCGGTGTACCCGCATCGCAGGATGTTCTAGATTCATGTCTTGACGCGTCGCAGACTATTGCGCTATGTGTGCAGCATCAAAAGTCCATTGTGGATGATATCCTCACCGTCTCCAAACTGGACTCGAATCTTCTTCTCATCACACCCGTGGTTTGCCAACCTCAAGCTATCGTGGAACGAGTGGTGAAGATGTTTGAGTCAGAGATGCTGGCAAAGGATATTACTCTTGAGATTCAGATCCATGATGAGTTCAAAGAACTTGCTGTGGACTGGGTTGCGATGGATCCTAGTCGTGTTCTTCAGATATTGATCAATCTCATGACGAACGCTATCAAATTCACGGCTTCATCTGAGAGACGCAGTATCAAGGTTACTGTCGGGGTATCAAAGACACCGCCAGGAGGTACACATACTCCAGGTTTTGCCTTCGCACCGACACGAGGCGAGCTCGGTAATGTTGTATCTTCGGAGGAATGGGGCACCGGAGAAGCTTTGTACGTGCGATACAGAGTTCAGGACACAGGCTGTGGTCTCACCGAAAACGAACGCCGAATCCTTTTTCAACGGTTCAAGCAAGCCTCACCGCGAACACACGCCAAATACGGTGGAAGTGGACTCGGTTTGTTCATCTCGAAACGTCTTGCCGAACTTCACGGTGGTCGTATCGGTGTTGCTTCAGAAGCTGGTAAGGGAAGCGACTTTGGCTTCTACGTACAAGCCCGCCGCTCAGCAGCACCCTCCAAAAAAGACCCTAACCAACCTGTCCTCTCACAAACACCATCTACCACAAATCCTGCCACATCAGGGCCTGTACGCACGCCGTCTGGCAACTCCGACATCCTCAACCCGACAAACAACCGACGACGACACGGCTCCGATGAAACATTCGATCCTCGCTCATTAACGATCCACATCGTGGAAGACAACCTCATCAATCAAAAGGTCCTGGTTAACCAACTCCGCAAAGTAGGCTGCACAGTAAGCGCCACCAACGACGGCGTCGAAGCCCTTGAATTCCTCAAAAAGACACATTTTTGCAAACATGACGGCTCCGAACTGTCCGTTATACTGATGGATCTCGAGATGCCCAACATGGACGGTCTTACATGTGTTTCCGAAATTAGACGGATGCAGAAGGAGGGTGGCATACTGGAGCATGTACCAGTCATTGCTGTTACAGCGAATGTAAGGGATGAACAGATTAGGACGGCGTTGCAGAGTGGTATGGATGATCTTGTGAGCAAACCTTTTAGAATACCCGAGGTTATGAGTAAGATTGAGAGGTTGTTGAGGAAGTATAATCGGTATTGATAGATTAGATTAGCGTTTTTAGGATAAAGGTTTTAATGGATATAGACTTTGGATTCATGATGAGTATCTAGTCCTTTGACGACTGCAACACGTGAGATATGAGCGCTTTGTAGCCTCCCACAGCGTTCTCCAAATCCGACACCTTGAGATGTTCATGATCAGAATGTGCTTCGAGAATAGACCCTGGTCCGTAGAGATATTTCTTATGGTGGCCTTCGAGAGATGGGATATCTGTTCCATAGTTGACCACTATTTTCTCGAAACCTGTCACCATATCAGCATCAGTCTTTCACGTAAAAGCGCTCACTTACCATCAACATCGTGATCAAGCGGCACAGGATCAACAGCATATGTACTGAACTCAACATTCAAGTGCGGAACACTGCCCTCAACAATCTTCTTGACCAACTCTTTCATCTCATGAGCTGTCCCAGCTCCAATCCTCACACTCGCGATAGCAGAGGCGTTCGCCGGGATAACGTTCGCAGCAATACCACCTTCGATCTTACCAATATTGATCGTAGTATTGCCAAACTCATCACTCGATGGAAGTTTGGATTGCTTCAGCGCTACCAGTCCGTTGACTAGACTGTCGATCGCGTTGCTCCCGGTCTCAGGGTATCCAGAGTGTCCTGCTTTGCCTTTCGCTCTGATAGTGAAGCGCAATCCGCCTTTGTGTCCTGAAGCCAGTTTGAGCTCTGTCGGCTCGCCAAAGATGACAGACTCCCACGACAAGTCGAGTTTGTTCGCAGCCTTCATACCATCACCACCAACCTCTTCACCCACAACAAACAATAGCGCGACATCACCCTCCCGAATCTCGTTCCTTTCAAACAGTTCCCGAACAGCAATAATTTGCGCCGCAACACTACCCTTCGCATCGACACTCCCTCTCCCCCAAATCTCATCGCCGCGTCTCTCATATGGCCAATATGGTGGAACAGTGTCGAGATGAGAAGTTACCAGAACGCGCGTCTTTCGCGTCTTGTAGTACGCGAATATGTTGTCGCGATCCTTTGCGACAGTCTGAGTTTCGACAGTGAAGCCTGCATCTTTGAGATAAGTTTGAAGGAAGTCGGTGACGGACTTTTCGGAGCCTGTGATTGAAGTCTCTTCGACGAGGGATTTATGGAGCTCGAGTAATGGCGACGAGGAGATGGTGTACGATAACGGACCAGTGAGCGGGGTTTGGAGTGCGCACGCAAAGGTCGCGAATAAGACATGTTTGATGAGTCTCATGCTGTGAAGATTTTGGCGTCAGATCTCGTCACGTCAATGATTCTGAAATTGTAGTGTATTGAGAGGGGTTGGTGTAACGAATGTCTCAGATTAGATCAGCGCTTCTTAGTCAAGCTCGACAGCCACTTATTTTACTCAACTCTCTTTAATTTACACATGTGATCATGAAAGCTCTTTGCTGTAATACAAGTATCACGCTGACCTAGGGCGACCCGACCGTGAAGCTATTCTAGTGTATCTCGACGTGACACTCGAATAAGAGGCTTCTCCAAAATCCTATACTCAGTCGGTCCAGCCAACAAACCCACCAAATCGGGATAATCCACCCCAAAATCCCCCAACTTAACAACCTCATACCCCATCCTATTATACCACGCCAACATCCTCGCCTTGCCGTCATGATGAAACGTCAACGGCACGAGAATCTCAAGCTGCATCCTCTCACAGCCTTGTCTTCTGACCTCATCTTCTGCAAAAACAGTAATCTGCTTTCCTAGACCGCTGCCTTGGTATTTCGCGTCCAATGCCAACATGCCGAATTGGCCGAGCTTGGGTGAGAGGATTTTGACAAAAACGCAGCCGATGGGTTCGCCGGTGGAATTGTAGGCGATTGCGAGCTGGGAGTCGGCTATGTAGGAGGCTATTCCGCTGGGTGATGTACGTTTGTATGAGGGGATGAAGATGTCGGCTTCGGCGGCTGTGTAGGCCGTGTTGACGATGTCGGCGAGGGTTGTGATGAGGGTTTTATTGGCTGCGTCTTCCGGGAGAGCCATTTTGATGACGACCTCTGGCTTGTCCATCTTGTCTGTTGTCATGATGAGGATTCAGTGCAAGATGCGGTAGAAAGAATGAAGGAATTGAATGGTTTATGACAGTGAGCCAATGATCAATGTCTGAGGGGATGAGGAATTATCGTGACAAGGTCTCACGTAAGTTGCCGTTGAAATGAACACTGCGCACCAATCAGAACATGCCCAGTTAGTGGTTCTTCTAGCGCTGATGCCAGTATCGGCTCCACCGGGAAGGCCAAAGGTCTCGTGTGAACATGAGGTGCCGAGTTAAACACATGAACACTCAAGAACAATAAGGTCCGAATAGCCTCATCTTCCTGACAGTATTGAACATTTCGGACACTCGAAAGTTGTATTCAAAAGCGGCTAGACTTGGCGATCCTTACTCTTCTCAACATGTAAGCATACGCCGCAATGACCTGACCGCAGGGTGTCCTCAGGGTATCATAAGAATTGGCCCCCGACAGCATTAGAGACGAAATAATTTGATCACCTTACGCCAGCTTAGGCCAGCATTTAGGCTACTTTATTTCTCTATCCTAAGTCTTGGAGGACATTTCTTCTGACACCTACCTGGGTGTCAGAAGAATTGACTGTCATAAGCATAAGAGATAAAATAGTTTAGCCATCTTATGATTCTGTTACCTACCTAGCCTACCTCTTCTGGCTGAAGATAACTTCATCTTCCCACACTTCCCTCATCTCTCACACACACCCTCTTCAAGATGACTCCTCTCAACTGGCTGCGCGATCTCTGCGCCGTCGTTCAAGCATTCGACAACACCATCGACACGAATGCTGTAGTCCGAGGCAAGGGAATTCCTCCAAGTATGGATCCATGGTATACTGCTCCCCCGGGCTGGGAAGCCAAACAGCCCGGCGATATTCTTCGCATTCGCAGTGTTCCAATTTTGACAGACATCGTCGCCAACTGCTCAGCTGCGTATCGCATTCTGTATCGCTCGGCAGATTCAAAGGATGACCCATCATGGGCTGTTACTACCCTGTTCATACCCGAGTCAATCGATCAATCACCATCAGGCAAAGCACCATTGCTGTCGTATCAATTCGCCTACAACACGGCTAATCTTAACTCGGCGCCTTCATTTGCGCTGTCTGGTGTTATGGCCCAGAGTGAGCCGACTTTGAGTATTAAGTCGAGTACGTCTCTCATCGATGAGATGATGGCGTTGGGGTGGGCTGTTAATACGCCAGATCAATGGGGGCCAACCTCTGCTTTTGGGGCAAGTGTTCAGGGTGGACATGCGACACTTGATGCTCTCAAAGCAGTCCAGTATTTGTTGAATTTGAAGGAGAATCCGGGATACAATACGGCTATTTGGGGATATAGTGGTGGTTCAATCGCTACCTTTGCGGCGGCAGAGCTGCACCAAGACTATGCACCCGAGGTCAAGATCGAAGGGGCCGTTCTAGGTGGCCTTGTTGATAACATCTCAGGTGATTTCGACCTGATCAACAAGAGTCCCATCGCCGGGACCGTGATCGCTTTTCTTCTGGGCATAACATCCCAGTACCCAGAAGCAAGAAGCTACCTCGAGAGCCGTCTGGAACCGGCTACCAAGGCCGAATTCATGTCTGTTCTTGATCTAGAGCTCACCCAAGCAGTCGCCCATTTTTCAGGACGCGACATCTACCCATTCTTTCAAAACGGTTCACAAGATCTCAAAGCGCCTCAATTGCAAGAATTGTTCGATAAACAAGCAAGGTTGGGACAGAGAGGAGTCCCGCAGATGCCGATGTTTGTGTACAAGGCTATCAGGGATCAATTCTGTCCCGTCAAGTGGACAGACGCAACTGTCCAAAAACTCCGCGATGCTGGCGCAGAGATCACGTATGATAGGAATGAGATTGGAAATCATGTTGCTGAGATAGAGAATGGGAAACAGAGGGTGTTTGGATTTCTTGGGGCCATCTTTGAAGAGGCTTATGGATCAAATGAACGATGCAATGTTTTGGATGTGTCGGTGGATGCTTCTGCATAGCGCACTAATTCTACTGTGTTCTTCAGTGTTCCATTTAGTGAAGTACGCCCTGTCAAGTCAATTCCAGCGCGTCCTACGCCCTAGAGCTTACAGTGACTAGACCCCATCAGCACTAGCGTCATCTTTCCCCAGTGGCGATTTGAGCGACATTATTCGTTGACTTTTCGATATCTACTCACCCTCTTCCTCGCCTCAACCACTCACTCACTCACAATTCTCAACTCTCATTACTATCACTCGCTGCAATATGGCCTCTTCGGCACGAACATTCCTCGCTTTCCAGCGAAACGCAAAGCTTCACTCCCTCGTGACAAAAGTCACAGCAATCCGTCCCTTCAACACCCTCGAAGAGGAGAACCGTGAGCTATTTAAGCAAGGCACCGACGATGACTTTGCCGTCGTCACGGAACAAACAATCTTCCATCCTCAAGGCGGAGGCCAACCTTCCGACGTTGGAAAGATGGGTGGTGAACCTGGTACTTCATTCACTGTCGCTGCTGCGCGCATGGATGCTGTGAGGGATGGCCAGGTTCTGCACTTTGGCAAGTTTGAGTCCGATAAGAAGTTCGCAGAAGGCCATATGGTCACGACAGAAATTGACGTTGAGAAACGTCTTCTATACTCCCGTTACCACACCGCCGGCCACGTCCTTGGCTCCGCAGTAAACCATCTCCTAAAAGACAAAGTCGAAGGATTCGAAGAACTCAAGGCCTCTCACTTCCCGGACTCAGCATCATGCGAATTCCAGGGCCTCATCGAAGGAAAGTGGAAAGATCCCATCCAAGCCAAAGTGGACGAGTTCATCGCCGCCAAGATGCCTGTGGAGATTGAGTTCTGGGATGAGGAGGATTTTAAGAAGAACGGGTTGGAGCATCTTACGCCCGATGCGAGCTTTGTTGCGCCAGGGGAGAAATTTAGAGTTGTGAGGATTGTTGGTGCGGAGGTTTATCCTTGTGGTGGTACGCATGTTGATACTACTGACTTGTGTGGAGAGACAACTGTTAGGAAGATTTCGAGGAGTAAGGGGAAGTCTAAGGTCAGTTATCTAGTGAAATAGAGGTTATAGATACATATAGACGAGTGCGTGTCACAGGCGATAAACATAGAGCCTGGTCGACTCACCTTCTTCATGAAAGAGCTCTCGATCCATGCGACTTCGATATGTGAGTCTGAACAGTGAGCTCCTTACCAGTACGACCCTCGACAGACATGTGAATAGTTCATGATGCAACCAGGGTCGTCCTCGCATACGAGGGTCCCTGTCAGACCCTGGGCTGTCAGTCGCTCAATCCAGCCATAACTCCGGACGAACACTACCGTTTATCCACCAATGTAACTCAGAAGCCGGCAGTAGAGAGATCCGATCTCTTTCACCCCAGTGCCTTCCCGTAATTGCCGGCTCATTTCATCCTGACTTTGACATCAATCACGAAAGGAGACAAAGAATATGGGGATCCCAGTAAAATTGACATATGGACTAAGAAATAATAGAAGCTAAACATATCTCGTAAGGGCTAGGCCTGCCCACCCTTTTTATCACTCAAACAGCCAGTTCATCATGCCATATTCCGTCGCTTATCGGCTGAAAAGGGTACGGGCGCGGCCGAACAGGCTGCCGAAGCCACCACCGAGACCACTGCCAAGTCCGCTACCAAGTCCGCTTCCGAGACCACCGCCAGTGGAAGAGTCAGAACCAGTAGAGCCTCCAGTAGAACCGCCGGTAGAACCTCCAGTGGAACCACCAGCGCTCATAGCAGCGTCAGCCCTCTGGATAAGGAACTCAGGGGCGTCGCGAGAAGCCTTGCTCTGATAGGTCAAGTGAGGAGCAGCGATGATGAGAGTACCAGTGCAGACTAAGTCACCAGTGTTGCAGAAGACCTTGGTGCGGTCCGCGGGGTATGAAGGGATCTGTCCCTTGTTCTGGAGGTTCTTGGTGTAGCCGAAGAGAACGGTACCAGCGATCTTGTTACGAACAGACTCGTCGGCATCAGTCACGGAAGCAGCAGCGAGAGCAGCTCCCTGACTGTATCCTCCGGCTAGGATGACAGCGTCGGGACACTTCTGAGCAGCATCGTTGAAGTGACCGACCATCTCCTTGATAGAAGCAGGGGTAGTTCCACGGGGAAGAGCGTTCTGGGGGAGACCGGCAGTGTAAGCGCCGCCGACACCCTGAACCCAAACTCCGCCCTTGCCATACTTTGCCTCGAGCTTGTTACCAACGAGAGGACCCAGAGTACCCTGAAAGGTTAATCAGATTAGCATATAATATGTCAAGTTGCTTCGAGAGTGGAGAAACTCACCAGGTTGCCGACTTCAGTGGAACCGCGAGCAAAGACGAAAATGACCTTGGGGCAGCTTCCCGAGCTGCCACGCTTGAGATCATCGCGACTGAGGCCGCCGGTGAGAAGTTGGCGGGCTTCAAGGCCGGTGTCCTGGCCGGCGGGAAGGGCAGAAGCCGTGGCGGCGAGAAGAGCAGTGGCGATGGAGAACTTCATTGTGAATGGGTATCAAGTGACTGATTGAGACCTAAGCTCTAAAGAGTGACTGAAGAAGAAGCGAAGAAGTAAAAGAAAGTGTAAAGGCTAAGAAAAGACCGGCTTGTTTGAGCGAGAGACTGTTGATGCTTGTGATATCTTCAATTTACATCGAGGGCATGGTCAGCTATTTATCCCAGCGTCTCACTCGGCATTCGCAAGACTAACGCTTTTGATAATTAGAGTCAAGTTAGTTGAGACGAAGTGATTGCACAGTCCCAAGAATGATCAATCACAAAACAGAGTAGCATCCATTCGTACAAGTTCCACCGAAAAGGCCAAGACCCTGGCACATCATCTAGCTCCCGCCGAGCCCGTACGTCAGGCCTGTCAGTAGATCACCCGACGAATGCAACACCATCGAGTCATGACATCTTTTTCGATAAATCCTTCTATTCTTCGCAAGAGTACATCAAAGTAGGAAATTCATCCGTGGTTTTGAGGCTAGCAACTCCACTGATCAACCAAACGGTAGCACGTACAATGAAACAGGTCAAAGCTGGATAAATTAATTAATCAATCGATCAAGTCAGCTAGCTGCAGACCAAGACTTTTTTGGGTTGCGCTTTGACTTGCTTCTTGCCCCTGGAACCTGAAACACAGGTGAAAGTGGGCAAAGCAAAAAAAATGCATGTAGTGCACGGGCTACGGTGTGTCTACGGCGCAGCATTGGAAACCATGATGACAGTAATTATTCCCGGTTTCAGAGGCAGTCATTGTTTTTTCTCATGAGGCTTTACTGCTTTTAGTTAAGGCGACAAGATATAAAATGAGGCCCCAGAGGTCGGTAAATTCCGCACTACCCCGAGACTACTACTTTAGACGGCATTTCCCCCGGAACTTATTTAGCTAAACCACATTTCTTACTGATGATTCGGTACCTGATTAGATGGCTTGGTTCTGGCAGAGACAGAAATAGAACGGCTGAGGATTGACACTGGCCTTTGCTTCTAGTTTCATGCTAATGAAAGTTCTAGCGTCTCGTATTGTAATTGAAACATGGTATGTGCACCACCTGAACTGAGTCAGGTTGTTTCTTGGACTTTTGGAAGCGAATGATTTGCCCATCTCGGTTGGAGATGTGGCTGGAGTGTTTAATTGACGTGATTTGATGTGTGATGGGGCTGCGGATTCGCGGAATAACTGGACAAGATTCGCATTCCTTCACACCATCTTTTTCTCAGCACACCGAGGCTGTTGTGAGTAAATTGTTTATCGAAGTAAATGAACTAGCAGCATCATCCCGCCTTATTAAAGCCTTGAAGGCCTCATCTCAACAATGCCGAGGCTGTGAGGAATATAGTGTTCATTGTCGCAGACTTCTGCATCATGCCTTGGAAACCGATATCACAACGCCATTTTCTTATCACCGACACCGGGTTGTCCCAGCTTGTTGGCTACTGCCAAGTACCGACCCCGCAAGCTGAAAAAGACGGTGCTGAAAACTTGGCCTAGCTGAGCCACTAACTACCCGAATGACAAGTTGGTCCGCGATGAGGCTATGCTCGGCCGTTCAGCTGAAACGTTTTCCAACAGACCGGTCGTGTTGTAGATCAATACTGTTTCATCATTCTTCTTCCATCCTCGGCACGTCTTCCATTGGCTCACGGCTCCTCGAACTCTTCATCATCTCTCCAGTCAGGGTAGTCGGTAAGTGCTGTCCAATGTGACGGCTCCTGCGTGAAAAACTCTATATTTGACTTGTTACAAGCCGAGGCAAAGACATTAACCCAATGGGACCATTCCTCCTTTTGTAGATCCTCACTCGCGACGATCACCTTTTGTAGATTTTCGCGTCTCATGATGATCATATGCAAGACTTCTTCGTACAGCCACATGTCCGCCTTCCCCATGAGTCCAAACTCTCTGATGCTGGGCGGTAGAATATCAGAAATATCCTGGTCGTGAGGTCCCTCGTCGTACTCATCCGTCAACATTGACCTGTCGATATGAAGTGTTTCGAGAACAGCCATTCCAGAAAGATCTTGAAGCTTCTTTCCACGCATGTCGTCAGCCTCCGATAGGTCGAGTGACAAGTATCTCAGGGTATCTTTCCTTTGAAGTACTACGTCGGTCAAGATGCTTCCACAGGGCGTCTCGCTGTCGGGTCCGAGCCAATACATCCCGAGCATCCAGCCAAGGTGGAATGTCTGTAGATTCGGAAAGCCGTTCATGATCATGCGGAGGTTGGGTGACGAAAGAGTGGATGCGTTGATGACAAGGTCTTTGAGGTTTGCGTGGCTGAGATAAAATGTCTCACTCTCGGGGATCTCACGAGTGACTTGGTTCAACTCGAGCCTTTCCAAGGCCGGGGCGGCTGTCAATAATCCACGAATGGCGCCACCATTTGGTATCAGCGGCGGACTCCATTCCGAGATAACAAGCTCCCGCAAACACGGCAGAGAATCAGGTCGACACCATCGAAAGGACCAATGATTACCCAGACCAATCTCAAGTTTTACCAGATTGGGCATAAATGATAATCCAAGCGTGATAAATAACGCCTCTCGCTCATCATCAAACGTGGTCAATGTCGGAAGATCAAACTGTTCAACCAAAGACTTGGGCAGAGGATTAAACTCGCACCTTCGTGCATCCTCATAGAGGGCCGTGCCCTCCATATGGTAACAGCTCTCCAGAAACGAAGGCACATATTCCAGAAAACCGTCCATCCAACCATCCAAGTGCCCGTGCGGCAACAGTACTCGAGCCACGGAAAGATGTCTCACCAGATGCCCTAGTTCCGGGTACTTGCTCAGCATCTGCACGAAGCCAGAGAAGTATTTTCCTACCGGGCGTTGGTACAAGTGTGGTTGCGCTATGTGCGCCAGGACTTTGCATGTTGAGCGAAGGGCGACGAGAGACTTTATCTCGGGAGGCGTCATGGTTTGGTCTGCGACGTTAAAGTAGGACTTTTGGTGAGACGGGGCATTTTGGCAGTGGAGGCAGAATTCTTGGCATATTTGTTCGAGAAGCTCTTGTGGGAGGGAGAGCAAAGACATTGTGCTGAAACAAAATCGTGGATAAGCTCAATCGATGACATTATGGTCAGAATGAGCTGGAGAGAAGGAAAGCTTTTATGATACTCATCATGATACTAAGTTCATATGATTCACGATATACACCTTTGGACCCGCATCTTGATTGGCATAAGGTTCACAGTCATGGTTTATCAATGTGATGTTTGGCCGTATGTGTACCTTGACTTTGTAAGTTTCTTGAGTGGCTGAACCTTCAAGGCATACAGGCCAAAAACACGCGAGTCTCTATACTCTAAAGGATCTGCCATTCCAGAAAGCTCGAACATCGATGATCGAAAGGTTGCTCTTGGCCGGGTTCTTCACAAAAGTCACGTGTCATCCTACGGTTTTTGTCAACTTGGGGTTAATAAGCAAAAAGCTTCCGTGAAAGACATGCAATTTGATGCGCGATTCACCATTGCTTTCCTACTCCGAAAAGTCTCATCCAAACATGCTCAAACACCTTGTCAAGTATTCTACTACCAGCCAACTCTCTTCACTGATCAAAGGACTCATGACGCTGCCTCCATAGCCTGCAGAGCATCTCAGCCTTTAAAGCATAGGGTAGGTACCTTATCATGAAGGACGCCACCGTAGTGTACAAAGTAGGCTTGGCTTAGTCTAACCAGGAACCACGCATAACCCTGTCTCAAGTCAATTTGTTCTTGAACTGGCCTCACTCACTCAACCACAAAAAAAGAAGCGATAACTTATCTTTTGCCTGCCATGAAACAGATGAAATATTCCCGACGAGCTGAACTTTCTTTTTTCTGGCCTCAGCGGAACATCTTACCATAATAACTCCATCACTAAAATTGCGCTACAGGATCCTTGTCATGTCAGCAAGCCTAGCAGACCTGACAGTAAGCATCGACAGCCTCGCCCTTTAAACACAGTGTAAGCTGACGGTTTCTTTCTGTCTAGCCCCCACTGATGAAACTTGAATAAAATGATCAACGCCAATTCTCGCAATGTCACTGGTTGCTTTACAGGATGTGATCCTACGGCGCAGCCTCTCATGCAGGATCGCGTAATGTATTTTAAAAATAAGAGGGAAGAGATAACAAGTTTTATCCTCGATGGAACCTTTGGTCTGATCACCGAAGATCCCGCTCCATCTCGTTTGTGTTTGTACTTTCGACAATTCCCCGACAACAATCCTTTATGCTGTACTCCGTACGGAGTAGAGTAGCGCGTTAATTGGAGTTAATCCAAAACTGTGCCTTGTTCGCGCCAGGCCCACGCGTTTGTTGATTGGTAGGGCTGACTCTATCCGGCTTTTCCGTCCCTCCATCGCACCACTTACCCAGTCTGGTCCGTCGGCGCATCATGGTGCAGTACTCAGGATGGAAGCGCACAGCCGTCTGGCTAACGGGTCTCGTCGCGACGCTCACGACGTTTCTAGTCGTCATGCTCTTCGTGTCGCTGTTCGCCCTAGAGAAGGAATCCGACGAGAACACCGTTATCAACTCCGGAAATTACGGCAGTGGTGATGCTCTGGGTCAGAGTATCCTGTACAAAGGGAACTGCGATGTCTCGTCGAGAGCTAACCTGTGGATTCACTTGGCCATCAATGTTATTGGTACTGGAGTCTTGGCGTCAAGCAACTTCTTTATGCAGAGTCTTGTAGCGCCTACAAGGAAGGAAGTTGATGCTGCGCACAAAGCGGGCCATTGGCTTGAGATTGGTGTTCAATCGCTCAAGAACGTTCGCTTCATTGGCTGGAAGAAGGTTTTGTTCTGGTCTCTGTTCTCGCTTAGCTCGGTCCCGTTGCATCTCGTCTTTAACGGTTGTGTCCTTGAGTCGAAGGGCACGAATGGGTTTACTGTGCTGTTGGGCGCCGAGAGCCTTGCTTCTGCGAGTTGGCAGGGTCGCCCGTCTATCACGGGAGCCCTTCTCGGGCAGTCTGGTGACGGGCGCTGGTTGCAGAGCGAAAGTGAGGATCCGTCCAGGTTGAAGCCCATTAATGTGTCTATTGCGACGAATGATACGCATGGGAGCTGGCAAAAGATCAGTTTCCAGGAGTGTATGAAGCGATACAACGACCCGGAAAAGTCTTTGGTATGTCGCTTCCCTCAATGGTAGTATTGTACTAACTAGAAAGACACATTCGCGACACTTGATCATGGTCATGTACAACTTCGAAGATGAATGGCGCAACTCAACAAAAGGATGGAAACTGAGCCAAGTCTACAAGAACACAACGGGCATGAACGACACAGACATCGTGAACCCTCTCTGGACAGTAGACGGATTCATGCGCAGCGGTCGGAGTTATGGAGAGCTTAACGGTCCTATCTCTGGAAGGTACCACGCCACCTACTCCTATGTAGGTAAGATGCGTCTGTGGAAAGCGGGCGAATGGCCTATGCTCCAAGCCTCCAACACCCTAGACCCAACGTCTGGTCTACTTGTTATGGACTACAAGCTGTACAAGCCCGAGTACAGAGTCATGCAGGTTGATCACTGCTGGTCTGAGAAGTACGAGGCGCCATGTCGGTTGAGTATTGCGAACAGTCTCTTGCTCATCGTATGTATCATGTGTGGCCTCAAATGCACTCTATGCTTCCTGGTTCTTAAACTGAGGGTATGGGGTGATGAAAACCCTCTCATGACGCCTGGTGATGCGATTGCTTCGTTCATTAGCAGACCCGACGAAGAGACCAGGGGCATGTGTACATTGAGCTTGGAAGACTTGAGAAAGCTACCTGCCAAGACACAGCTTGGACTTGGTGACTCAACACAGGCATATAAATGGCTAAACGGTCCTCGACAATGGTACACATCCTCGCGCAAGTTCGGGAAGGCGGTGCCTCGAAATATCTGGATTTTGTCTTCTCTCCTCATTGGAAGTTCTCTTACTGTCGGAGGAGTCATGATGGGTATCTCCCTGCAAGAACAAAGCTTGTACGTCAAACCCAATAACAAACTATCGGAGAATATACTGACCTTGTGAACAGAAGCCAGGCACGCTTCGGCCATTCCCCTGCTAACCAGGACGTCAACAACGAAAACTTGAACGACCTTACTCTGCTTCCACTCACAATGGTAGCTAACACACCGCAACTCATCTTGTCGATATGCTATCTCGCGTACAATGGACTCTTCACACGTATGTTAGCCGAGTTCGAGTGGTCCAAGTACAGCGTCGAGTTTCGAGCACTGCGAGTTACGGAGCCGAGGGGCAGCCAGAACTCTACCTATCGACTGCAGTTGCCGTATAGATTCTCGATACCGTTGATGATAGTCAGTATTGCTCTACACTGGCTTTACTCTAATTGTATCTATGTGAGCAACTACGAATGTAAGTAACGACTCTGAGCCCTGTGTGAAAATCGGTTTTGACGGATACAGCTTATTCGCCGAATTATCCCTACTTAAAAAGTGTAACAGTCGGTCTCCAATTCTCTTCAAAGGCCGTCTTAATCGCCTTCGTAATGTCTTTCTGCGTCGCCATAACACCCATCTTCCTAGCAAACGTCAAACTGCCCGGCATAACCGTTATATCAGGAGGCAACTCAGTCATTATCTCAGCCGCTTGCCACTACCCCTCTCAGAAACTCAAAACAGTGAGCCGCGCCACTTCGAAACTCAGCCTTGTTCCCAGCGAGTATGACAGCATGAGCACTAGGCTGATTGGGGATGCTGAGGTGGAGGAGCTGCAGGATGTGGCGAGGGGGAAGGTCAAGTGGGGGAGGTTGTCTACTGGCAAGAGTGATGACAGTCAGGTTGGGCATCTTGGGTTTGGGACGGAGGAGATGGAAGTTGATAGGCCGATTGAAGGGGAGCACTATAGTTGAGGGACTTTTGTATGGATTGGGGGGGATTGAGATCAGAGATAAGGAATGTTGAAGATCTCTGTATCACTTTGTAACATCACTGTATCCGAGTGCAAGACAGGACGACTCTATTGACAATAGACGACTTAATGAATACATAAGAATGTTCCTTTTCAGTGGTTGTTCTACACCCAAGATCTCGTGCAACTATCGAGCTAGACCTTATCGACGATGTTCCCTGACGATGAATCCGTGGATCTGAGACTTGGAGCTGATCATCATCCGTCAGGAAAGTTTCCCAAGTCGGCCGCCGCAAGATGAAAGGTTCAACGTCCCCTGCCAGGATAAACGCAATGGGGAATTGATTGCGTGACATTCAACGTAGCATCGATGTTGGTCGAAGTCGGAACACCGGCAGTTATGTTCAAACAGAAGTTCCAACAGAATGGGTCCACCGAGATTGCAACAGCTTCGTGGCGGTTTAAGCAACGTGTGATCCAAAGCGTATTTCCATCTCATCACCGCCACAATCTGGGGTTGGACAAACCATCTCGTCTAGAAGTGGTGGCGTATCATCATATCAGGAACAGCCAGACCTTTGTCAGTCGTTAGCAATCAATTAAACACAAAAGTGCAACCCCCATCGAAATCCCATATCGAACCAACACTTCTATCCGGTTAAGTCGGCGACGCAATGAATGAGGTGGAATCGATCTCTTATCTGAATCTCCTCGGAGCATCCTAACCTCTCTTGGCAGGTCTCACTGCCCAAGTGCCGATGTCCCGAGATTGTATCTCCAAATAGACGCGTTGACGCTGTGGGGAAACCTTTAGTTCCCGGCGGAGCATGTCACTCCCTTTCAATTGAAGGTCATCCATTACCCCAATTCGAAAATGTCACTGGAATTGGAAGGAGAGCTAGTGCTGGTTAGGCAAGCAAGTCAGCATCTTAAGCCGTGATCCGAGGAGGAATACGAAATTACGTAGTCTTTTATCGCGCGCCACTCTTGGGGTCGTGTGTTGCATTGGAGAAGTCGATATCTGAACCTCGGGATATTGCTATCCCTCCTCGCGAATAGCGCCGGAAACAAAGTCAAGGTTTAGGGACTTTTGGGATATTGGTCCTTTTGTAGATCGTTCGACTGTCAGTTTATTGCCGTTCTATCCAGATTGACAGCGTGCCGAAACTCCGGGGTATCCTCAATTGGCCACTTCTCGTTATTTCAGAAGCATCTCGTGAAGTACAAAACATCTGTGTTCTTCGACCATGAAGAATCCGATCAAGCAACATCCTTCCATTTGTTGTTCCAATTGCATTAATCATGGAGAAGACAGATATAGCACCCCAAAACTCTGCGGAGGCAGATACTATCTCTGCCGACAAGAAGATCCATCCTCACGATGAGAAGGACTACGCAGACGTCGAGATCCTCAAGTCAGAGCCTACCCGGCCTCTTGAGACTGCGGAGGATATCGTTACGAATGTCATTCATGTCGATGATGACCCTGACATGAACCCATGGACAGTTCGCATGTTCATCGTTGGTAAGTCACTTCCCCAGTGCCATGTAGAGATTGTTCTGACTTGTGTAGGCATCGGACTGTCAGCCTTCGGAGGTGTCCTACAAGAGATCATGTACTTCAAGCCCCAAGTCGTCTACGTCTCAGTCATGTTCCTCACCGTCCTCGCCGAAACACTCGGTACTGGTCTATCACACATCATCCCTCGAAAAGGATACATCGGTCGTCTTCTGAACCCTCACCCATGGAACAGAAAAGAGCATACGGCAGCTGTCCTCATGGCATCAGCTGCATCAGTCTCAGCATTGTCAACTGAAGCTCTGTCTGTTCAGAAGCTTTGGTACGGTGGTTATCCTAACCAAGCTGCTGGTATCTTCATCACACTCTCGTCTCAGCTTATTGGATATGGTATCGCTGGTATGATGAGGAATGTTCTGTTATATCCTACAAAGATGCTTTACCCTGCGAACTTGCCTATCACGACTGTGATGGAGACTTTGCATAAGCCCAAGTCGGAGACACGAAAGAGATTCCAGGTTTTCTGGATTGTGTTTGTTGGGATCTTCTTCTGGGAGTGGTTCCCTGAGGTATGTCCACATCTCCAACTCGACGAACCATACTAACAGTCACAGTACATCTTCCCTCTCCTCTCCGCCGTTTCCGTCTTCTGCCTCGTCGACCGCCACAACCCTGTCTTCACAAACCTCTTCGGTGGCTCACAAGGTAACGAGGGAATGGGTTTCTTGAGCATCTGCTTCGACTGGAACTACATCGCCGGCTTCGGCTCACCTCTGTGGATGCCCCTACAGACTCTTGTCAACAGCTTCATCGGTTACCTGGGTGGTATCATTCTCTCCATGGCTCTATACTACGGCAATGTTTGGAGAGCCCAGGACTTTCCTTTCATGGCGCAGCTGCTTTACGACGGAAAGTCCACCCCGACCAGTTATGTTGAGTACAACGAGACGGCCATCATGAACCCTGACTTTACAGTCAACGACAAGGCTATTGACGAAGCTGGTCTTCCTCATCTGACTGCTACTTATGTCAACTACCTCATCACATCCAACGCTGGTCTGACAGCAACTCTCGTGCATATGCTCCTCTGGAATTATGCCGAAGTTAGTCTTGGATGGTCCTGGATCACCCTGTCCACTCTCAAAAAGGCTTTCCGTCCATCAACATACTTTTTCTGGCGCCAAACCGGCTCTCGCACAGAGGAAGAGAAGACCAAGCTCCGCGATGACCCCACCATCGATCCTCACTACAAGCTTATGCTCGACTATGATGAGGTTCCCAACAGTTGGTACTTTCTCGTCTTTGCAGCTAGCTTCATCATTGGAATGACTTGCCTCTATGTTATGAAGTCGACGCTTCCATGGTGGGGTTTCGTCATGGCTGTCATTTTCTTGGTCATCTTTTTGATCTTTTTCGGTGCCCAGTATGCTATTACTGGATTTGGGTTCAACTTGCAGCCAATTTTCCAAATGTTGGCTGGATATATGTTTCCCGGGCGTCCACTTGGTAAGGCACTTTACCACAGCTTTATAACTGATACTAACTGTGTGCAGCAAACATGTACTTTACATCATATACCTACAATGCTCTCAGCCAAGGTTTCCTGCTTCTCCGAGACCTGAAGCTTGCGCAGCAGAACAAGCTATCGCCCAAAGCCACGTTCACTACGCAAGTCATCGGTTGCATTCTGGGTGCTCTTCTCAATTACGTGATGATGATTAGTATCATCGACAACCAAGCACCGATCCTCAAGTCCGCTGAAGGAACCAATATTTGGTCAGGCGCTCAAATCCAGCAATTCAACACCCTCGCCATCGCCTGGTCCATCGCCCCCAAGATGTTCTCCATTGGTGCACGCTACCAATGGGTGACCATCGCGTTCTTCATTGGCTTCCTAGCTCCTCTCCCCTTCTACATCGCCCACCGTTTCTTCCCCCGCATGCGAATCTGGTCTTACCTCAACACATCCATCATTCTTTGGTACCTTGGTGAGCTTTTCGTTGGACTCAACGCTTCGCTTACCAGCTACTACATTCTTGGTGCCTTTGGACAGTTCTATCTTCGACGGTACAGACCTCACTGGTTTGTCAAGTGGAACTATCTTATTTCTGCGGCGCTGGATGGTGGTACCCAAGTCATGGTCTTCATTGCCACGTTTGCTGTCTTTGGAGGGTCTGGAAAGGCCGTTTCGTTCCCGGAATGGGCGGGTAATAAGATTAACAACTACGACTACTGTAAATACAATGCGCAGGGCTAGATGCTACCGATGGGGGCTATGCCACAACAAGAACTGGAGATTGGCATGGAGTAGAGTTAGATTACTTTGAGTAACAAAGGAACAGACTTATTATTGATATCCTTTAGAATACTGGTCCTCATGTAATGTGAATATGTTGACTACTCAACTCACACGGAAGATCAGCTTGCGGGCCGACTTCTCACTAACAAGCCGAGTGATGAGTCGATAAAATAAGCGCATCACAACACCATCACAGCTTCTCATCGTGACAAACAAATTGAGACGGAGGCTATGATAATTCATCAACACCTTAAAACTCATTATATAATTGTCAGTCATCGCAATGTGGTGATACGCGGGGTTGAATGACGTAAGTCGACGATGTTGCAGTGCGGGGAGGTCAAACCCGAGCTAACCCCGACTTGATATGACGATCCCCATAAATCCGTCCGTTATTTATATCGTTGAGTGATGTTCCTGAGTTCACTTTCAGAACGACCAACACAAGTTAAAATGACATCTTCACCATTTTCAGGCCTCGAGGGCTACACCTCCAAGATCATTCCCTATAAGTCAGGACCCGATGGCGATATCCTCCTCGATGTGGTCTATCCCGAGGAGACAGGTGGTCTTCCGAACACGGTTCTCATGCACATCCATGGTGGATTCCTGGTAAGCTCACTTGTTCTAAGAATGAAAGACTACTGCTGATAGTGTTCAGATTGTCGGAGACAGATACAGCTTTATGCCACACTGGCTCGTCAACGCAGCAGTCGCTCGCAAATGGATCTTTGTCACGCCAGACTACCGCCTCGTCCCCGAGTCCACAGCTCATGCATCGCTAGATGACACTGTAGATGCCTACAATTGGGTGCGCTCTTCACTGGGTGACGTGATCGGTCGCCGTATCGATTCAGTGTTGGTAGCGGGTTCCAGTGCTGGTGGATATCTCGCTTTGTCCACCGCGAATGCTGTGAAGGCGAAGCCTGAGGGTCTTCTTCTCATTTATGGAATGCTCGATGCTGCAGGCTCGCGATATACTACGCCTGGAACTAATATTTGGAATCAAGAGCCTTTCGATACGTCGTCTGTGTTGGGCAAGTTTCCCAAGAGGAAGGAGAATGAAGATCGAAAGGCGATTTCTGGGTATCCCCCACCCGAGAAAATGGAGGAAGATCCCCGGTTCTCAGTCGCTTCAGCTCTGCATATCGATGCACTGTTTCCAGACTACATGACCGGCGTCGATGGTCTCAGCCGCGAAATCGCCAATAAGGGCACAGACGCCATTCCAGAAGAACATCGTCGCCTGTACCCTCTTTCGTTCGGCAAGCTCGCCGAACTACCTCGCACTTACCTTCTACACGGCAAGAATGACTCTGCTGTCACTGTGGAATGCAGTGTTGTCGCTGAGAAGAAGCTTCGGGATGCGGGCGTTGAAGTGGTGCAGGATTTCCCTGAAGACGCGGAGCATGGGTTTGACAGTAGGGTTGGAAACATTGATGTTGAGAAGAAGGATGCGGATGGGGTTGCTAATGTTGAGAGTTTAAGGAATGCTATCCGGTTCCTTGAGGCTTCGGTCAAGAGCTGATGAGCAGATGCACTCGACGAAAGACGGACTTGGTCACGATCCACACCATTACGAAACAAATAGATAGACCATAGTTTGAATGACGAAACCATTGACCATGAAAACAAAATGACAGTCAGAATTTCCTGTGTACATCCATCAACTTCTTCTTAGTTAAAATCCAGCTAAGACACCCTTAACAACCTCCTCCAAATTCTCCTCCTCAAGTCCAAGCAAACCAATAGCATTCTCATCACCCTTAAGCCCATTCCCCGCCCCATCAGCAAACAAAAACTGCTCAAGATAATTACCAAAAGCGCTATAGTCTCCCTTGGCAAGCTTCTCGTCTCCAATCTTTTCTGACTCTGGGCTGCTAATGTGCGTCACCTCGAACTTGTCTCCGGTCAATTTCTCCACGATTTTTAGAACCTCGTTCTGGGTTGTGGTTACGCCGGCAATATTGAGATACTTGTTTGCTGTCTTTTCAGGTTTCTGGAGGATAGCGGCTACGGCTTTGCCGATGTAGGGGAGCGAGCTTGTTGAGTAGGGTTCGTTGCCGGAGTCTATGAGGCGGAATCTGCGGTTTTTGATATCGATGAAACTGAGGGGGTTCTTTAGGCCCTAGAAATAATTAGCCGTCGTCAAAAGGCGGTAAATAATGAGTGACATACAGCATCGAGGAACAGCCCAGGTGAGAGGCCCGTCCATGAGAACCAATCATACTTCTCAGCAAGTTCAATCAAATAATCAGTATTCTCGATCTTTGCACCAAGAAGCTTTCCAATCTTGGTATCTCTATTCTGGCGAGAAGGAATTCCAAACTCAGAGGGGATGAAGCGAGAGACTCTGGCAGCGATGACCGCGTCGATGACAGTCTTTTGACCTCCGGCTGCCATGGTGGTTACCGTTGAGACGACAGCGTCTTGGCCAGTGACTGCGTCCTTGATTGAGTCGACGGACGTAATATCCACGCGCTTGACGGTTACAATCTCAGGGAATGTCGCTGTAGATTCGTTCCTGGAGATGGCTGTTACTTGGAAGCCGGCGTTGATGAGACTGTCGACGACCTTTGAGCCGAGAAGGCCGGAGCCCTGAGATCGTCAGTCCTGTGTGGGTAGACTCGTTCTGTGATATTGACTTACTCCGATAACTGCAACTTTCTCAATCGCCATAGTTAAATATGCAGGATATTGTTATAAGACGCGATATACGAAGCAGATACGATGGCGAAAATGGAAAGCGAAAATACTCCGCATCATTTAAAGCGGGTATACGGATATATCAATCCTTGGCCTTTGAGATAAGATATCTGATTGCGATACCCATGTCCACAACGACGAGAAGCCTTCAAAATAGAATGTTCTCATTCGCATCACTACAAATATTCCTCAATTAAGACGGTCGATCGGTTTGATAATCTCATCCCATGGCTTCACCGTAAATTTTCAATCCTAAGTGCTAGACTTGGAATTGACTCGAAACATTCACCTGCCCATACGCCTCATAGTTTGTAGCAGTTCGATACTTGAAGTTTTACAGATCCCGGGTATAGCAAGGCATCAAATGCTCGGAAATAAGTTCACATCGATGCGGGGTCGCCGATGTTAGTTTTCAGAATCGTTACCGAAACTCTATTTGCCCTTCGTTCAGCTGCTGTCGAAATGTCAATCAGCTGGCATAAAACCTTAGCCAATTTCCCATATCACAAGAACAAGTTGTCAAAATCTATGATGTTCGATCAAGAGCTGAACAGATCTCTTGACCGCGGCCAGGAATGACCGAAACACCAGAAAGGCTCGGCTCAGACGCCATTGCCAGCATGCATAAACCGTGCCGTTCAACTTCCAAACGGGGTAACTCACACGCCTCAACTTCCCATCTGGACAGTCTATTTACTTCCCGTCTTTCCAAACGGTAAAGACTGCCGTAGAAGGTGTGAAGCCACGTACTGTAATGACAACCCAGCCATGGGCACTAGTCATTGGTAGAGGAAGGCAGAGTTCATCTGACAGTTGATCGACTTGACTCGACCAATTACGTCCACAGGAGTCCCGACCTCTTGTACAGAAACCTTGGAAGAAGCCTTCCACTAGGCCGTTGTAGCCGGGTAACCGACGCCACAGGTGGCTATTTACGTCTGGACTATTCTCGAAGGGTACTTCTTACATCGCAGATCTTGGAATCTGGGGTCAAAAAGGAAAGGTCCGAGTTTGCTATCACTTGAATGACGTACTGAAGATACGACGATGGTTGGTTCTTCGTTGCTAGGCGTGGCAGGTTGGTTTGGCAACTATCTAACAAATCGTTTGCTTTTCAAATGCCACGTCAAATCCTTTCCTTTTTCGAATGTTCTTTTCCCTTTTGGCGATCCATGCATCGTCTGTCAATTCATGCATAATCCAAGCCATGATTAAATTCAGATCGTGCAAGAATTCCAGTGCGCCAAGCCTAGTTGAGGAATAATGGATGTTCCGAACAGCCAAATCAGGTCTAGTTTAGCTTGGAAGTGAAATGTCAGATCGGTGGGGCAAAAGAGAGGCCTGGAACCACTCTCGGCTACAGCGGCTCAATCCTACTTCTCGTATGGCTAATTTTGTCTTGTCTTACCCTACTGTGCCTGCCAAGTTTTGTTCATGCAGTAGATCTCGTAATGACAGGATTTCTGCATGTACATTACAGTACTTGTCATGCCAATTATTCTTACAATGGTCAGAGATGTTGTTTGTGGCGCTGTGAGCGTTAAACTTTACTGGTAACTATGGATACTGGCCGCTGTAGAGTTTACGGCTGCAGCGTCTGGAATAACTGTCCATGGCTGGCCAGCAATAACAGAGTCCATTGCCGGCGAATTTCTTGATGATCTGGGTCTTGAGATCCAAGCGAAAATAGGACTCGGTCATGACAGCGCGATCCCTGCCTGTCAGCAGTAAGCAAACGACAAATATCGCCCCGAGAGTCCACCCAAAGCAAAGCGCCTCAATGCTGTCGCATGCTTTGCCCAAACAATAAATTGACAGATCCCGTGCTTACAAGACAAGAAAAACAAGGCGCCTCCTTGCATCACCATTAATTCACTGTTGTTATTAGTTAGCGGACAAACCCCCCGCTTGCCAAGAGATCGATCGACCGCTATTCTCAGGGGTAATGCGAAGCAGCAGAAAAAGCAGTGCAAGCTGGGAACTTGTGCTGCCTACAGACTCTTGATTACAGCGTAGACCAAAGAGAGAAATGCCTCGTCTGTCCCCTTTCCTAGTTCTAGCGTAAGATTAGGAGCGAGGTCCAGTTGAATTGAATGGGTTGGGCCCCATTTAGACCAGGGGCCGCTGAAGAGTCCGGCTAAGCGGCTTCTTTGACAGCCCAGTCTGACAACCCCCTGTTCACAAAAGGGGGCCAGCAGGGTCTGTCTCATTTTCTTTTCTGGGGAAGAGAAAGAAAGAAGAAGGAGCTGAAAGATTTGCATGCCTGCCTGGAAAGTTGGTTGGAAGGATTGTTAACATGGGCAATGCTTATGCTGATCTCTCTGAGTCTCTGATTGCTGTCTTGTGTTGGATCTTGACGCAGGGTGATGCAGGTAGACTGACACTATTGAACGCCTCAAAAACGCCATCTTTTTCGGACCCTTCTGTTCCACATCCCCAAGTCGAGAACAGTACGGATACACAAGAGTAGAATACAGTAAATGAATGAACGATGGATTGCTTCATTTCAACGGTCGCGTGACTCTTTTTCTTCCTCGTTACATCGTACCACGACAGCAAACCTGGCTTCTGATCCTTTGGGTAGGGTAAGGCTCTGCTGTGCCGCTCCACGTAATTTTACATCAATCCGCAAGACCAACCAATCAGACAATTTCAATGACCAAGGCAGTTCGGTTAGTCGGAAGAGAGAGAAAATACGAGCCTTGAAACAGCCACTTGAATCTAGCCCTACAAATGTAGAAGGCGCCGGGAGAGAGAGAGGAGGGGTGAAGAGTTAATAACAGTGTCCGTCATTACCTACAGGGTGTACAGTCATTACCTAGCAATCTAGGCTGAGCCACGCGAGCAGTTACTGTTTTTAAAATCACATTCTAGCGCAAAAGCAAGCTGTTTAGGGGCATCCATAATAATAATTATACGGAGTCCTACTCCGTTGGATCAAGACAAGAGAGATCAGATCCTTTTTTAATAACTTCAATCCTCCTCCCTGGTCCCACGACCCTTTTTTTTTTCTTCTCTCTTCCTTCGCCTCTTGCTCTGTCTTTTTTCTTTTCTGGAGACATTGGAAAGTATTCTTATGGCCGCTCTCTCGTTTTTGTAGGGCACTTCCAATTTGACTCTGTCTCTTAGCTCTCTCGTGAGAGTAGCAGTAGCCTTCACCATGTTTGCGACACTCGTTCCCTTTTGTTTCTCCACCATCTTCGTTTCTCTCGTCTTCACCAAAATCGTCCATCTTTCCATTCACGCCAAAACAATCTCACCAGGCGCATTCATCCTTTTCCTCCCGTCGCTACTCATCCCCGACCTCATCATTATCTACGTATCGCGTCTGGCTCTGCGACAACAAAAGGGCCTCTTCTCTGTCGGCGCTTGTGTGCTGGGATGTATCTTCTCATTTGTACTGCTCGGCGCGTCGGCGTCGCAATTAGGCTTCTTTTACTCCACGGGTAATGAGGTCAAGTGGTCTGAGGCGAGGAGTTATGCTGGCGATGCCAAGGGTATGAAGATTCTGTTGAGCGGGATCAATTCAGTGCTCGCGGCTGGTGCCATCATTGTTGTTGTGGCTTGGTTTGCCAAGTGGTTTGTTTACAGAGCTGTTGGATCGCTCATCACAACGGTTGGAACACCTGTTGTGCATGGTATGTCATCGCTGCAACGATCTTCAATTGACTCTTGGTTACTAACATTTGTTTTAGCGTGGCAGTCGATCCGAAACAGAACCCCACGATCTCCTCGCTCCACCTCACCTTACGAATCCGACAGTGAATACGACGATGTCGAAAATGCCAAAGAAGGTGCTCAACTCCTCAAAAGTGAGGCTCACGAAGAGTCCCGAACAAGGCCTCGAACAGTGGTCATTCTCGCTGTTGTGGGCGCCTTCCTCTTCCTCACCACGGCTCTCCGACCCGCTGCGCCTTACACCATGATGTCCATGTCGCTTCCATTGGCCATGCTCGACATGTTCAAGTCGCCTTCCAACGTCTGCAATGCTGCCAGCGGTAACTGGCCTTTGACTGCGCTCATCACCGAGGACAAGTGGGAGGAACCCAAGGGACACTTCCCAGGCTGGACACCCGGTGAGGTCGGCGATGCGGCGCGCAAGTACCGCGAGACAACACCCGAATGGCTTCCCTCCGACATCCCCTCCGGCTTCCACAAATGGACCCAGAAGGAGTCCAAGCCCAACACCACAGAACAAGACCAACCAAAGACCAGCAACGGCTGTGTCGTCCCCTCCGCGGATGACACCTTCTACAACCCTGTTCTGGATCCAATGAAGATCTCCAATCTCGACAACGACATCCTCGATGTGCTGCGCGACACCCTATCAGGCGGCGACGTCAAGATCAAGCACGTGGCACTAATCATGATGGAGAGTTACCGTGAGGAGCTGTTCCCTCTGCAGCAGGGCTCCGAGTACCACAAGCTCATCATGAAGTCGCACAAGGGTGAGGACGTGGACGCTGTCAACGCCAAGCTGTCACACTTGAGCCCCGTCGCCGAGAAGCTGACTGGCAAGTCGGGTAACTGGAAGAAGAAGGACGGCTCGGATTTCGAACACGTGGCTATCCCGCAGTGGAACGATACTGCCGCGGAGGGATACGGAGGTATTAACGTCGTCGGTGGTTTCACGACGTCTTCGCTTTCGTTCAAGAGCATGGCTGCCATTCACTGTGGTTCTTGGTCGATGCCTGTTGATGGCTTTGAGGAGTCTGAGACAGACAGCTACCAGCCTTGCATCCCCCAGGTTCTCAATCTCTTTAACAAGATCAAGGACAACAAGACCTCCAAGGACTTCCTTGAGCAGCAATGGTACCCCGCTTTCTTCCAGTCCATCACCGACGGCTATGACCGTCAGGACAAATTCGACAAGAAGATCGGCTTCGAGCACCAGGTCACCCGAGAACGTCTCGATGACGAGAAGAAGGACGGTGACGATCTCGAGGAGATCAACTACTTTGGCTACGCCGAGACAACACTGAAGCGTCATATCAAGGATTACCTCAAGCAGGTCAACGATGAGGGCAAGCGCATGTTCTTCTCTCACTTCACCAGCACGACTCACCACCCATGGGGCGTTCCTCAATCATTCAAAACACAAGACTACCTCAACACCGACGGCAAGATGAAGTGGCACGAGGAGTTCAACAGCTATCTCAACGCCGTTCGATTTACAGACGCTTGGCTCGGTGAGCTTCTCCAGACCTTCGACGAGTACGGCATGACCAACGAGACCCTCGTCGTCTTCGTTGGCGACCACGGACAAGCTTTCAAGGAAGATCAAAAGTCCAAGATCGGAACGTACGAGAACGGCCATGTTAGCAACTTCCGCGTCCCGATTACATTCCGCCACCCGCACATTCCCCGAGTCCAATACAACGCCAACGCAACATCCCTCTCCATCCTCCCTACCATCCTCGACCTTCTCATCAACACCAACTCCCTCAACGAAAAGGACACAAACGCCGCCTCAGACATCATCCAAGACTACGAAGGCCAATCTCTCATCCGACCCTACAAGACCATTCACAACGGCCGTCGCGCATGGAATTTCGGTATCATCAACGGCGGAGCAAGCATGTTGTCTATGACCTCTGCCGACTCGCCCTGGCGGATAGTTATTCCGCTTGATGACTCTACACAGTACCGCTTTACGGATCTTAAGACTGATCCGTTGGAGCGTAAAGCTGTGGAGGGTTGGACGCTTCAGCAACTTGAGATTGCTGTTGAGAATAAGTTTGGCGAGGAGGCCTCTACTTGGGCAGCCGAGGCGGATGCTGTGGCTAAGTGGTGGGGACCTGAGAGGAAGAGATTATGGGGATATGATCCTTCACATAAGGAGGAATAAATATAGAATGATGAATAGTTTAATGTAATGCGAATGTTTAATGTTTCAATTCAATACCCTGCGCCTTTGCAATTTGTGACGAGACTTGTCTAAAATAAGGCTGACTGGGTGTCTGGCGCTCACTCACTCATTTCAAGTCATGAGAATCTACGGGATGTTTATTCCAAGCATTCATCCCAAATCCAGCGACGACTCATCGTGTTTGAGCGATGACATCTCTTTTCGATCCATTGTCGAATTCTTACTCGTGAAAAATCACTTCATTTCAGCATGATAAAGTTCAAGGTAGAATTGTCATTTTCAATATTTCATCTCAGCTGATTCCATAACCTCCGGTATCAAACAAAAGAAAACTCATTGCGCCGTCTCTATAATGCCAACCTGATATACCGCCCAATGCAATTTTGTACATAATTAACGACCCGTCATTAGATTCTCATTTAATGTCCAGAAGCCTGTTTCTTGGCTGCAAGTCTGCGCTCCTCAGCAGCGACCATGTCTATTAGGTATGTTAGCAATGCTTCACTTTTCTTCATTGAAATTGATGACTTACCCTTCCAAAGATCTTGACCTTCATACTCCTCCTTGTGAACCTTCTGCTCAATGACCTTGGTAGGATCATTAGGATCCACCATGCGGACAGTCTGGAATCGACTGTCACCGTTCTTGAGATCTCTCATCTCAAAAATAGCAGACACCAACAAGACCGCCAGCGTCAAGCCCTGTGCATAAACACGAGCTTGAACAACCTTGTTGGCAGTGTTCATGGGCTGTCTGCTAACAATAGCAAACGCAATGCCCATGGACGCTAACCAGGATGCGAAAACAATCTGGTAGCGGTTTTCCTTGGCATAGTTGGTGAAGCGCTCATACGCGGATTCATTTTCGCGGATGAGATCTGCCGTGCGCGCTGCTTGGTCCCTGTAGGTGCGCTTGGGATCTTGGGCGATTTGGTAGGCGATACTCCATCGCTCTGCGTTGACAATGGCGCCGAATGTACCGGTTGATGAGACCAGGAAGGCGCGGAATGGGAGGGTTAGGCCACGGAAGGTGGCATAGCGTCTGGAGGCGACGGCGACGCCTGCAAGACCGAGGCCGGTGAAAAGGGTACCTCCAATGATACCGCCCTTGAGGACTTCGGCGTAGTGGGCTTCTTCTTCTTCTTTGGTGAGGATCTTCATGATTGCGATAAAGAGGAAGCGATAAGTGATAAGAGCCGGATAAGGATAAGAGATAAGTAATTGATGGATGTGTGGATGGATGGTAATGTCAAATATGCGTCCCACTACCTGGCAAGCCAAGGTTATATATAAAAGGAAATGGTCGTTGCAAATTTTATTTTTATTTACTGATCGGAGACCCCGGGCAAAGCCGTGTGTGAACGGATTCGTCATGTCATCTCATGGCATGATTTTCCTCTAGAGTCGGGTCTGCTTATGCCGCAGCGAATTCCGCACTCTAAATGCCGCAGGCGCCGCAACTCTGCCCCACACGGTTCCGCCCGATGGCCGCTAGGGCCTCATTCTGCGGCGCCGCATGTGCCGCTCTCAAGCCTCACTGATTGATTTCTCATTGCCTGTGAGAATTTTCTTACGACTTTGGGGATGTTTTTCAAGGCGATGGAATCTTTGAATCAAGGCTTCTTGTCTTGAAAGATCATCGGCGGCGCCGCGATCTATATTGAAACAAGGAAATTGAGTTTGTATGTTGCTGTATAGGGTTGGTTGATGATGGCATCAGCCACCACGGGATAGAATCAACAGTGCCTGGGATCAACGCGAAGGGTTGCAAGAAACAAGTTCACGGGGGGGTGATGACATCTTATATATCTTATTATTGAACCCTAGCTCGGAAGAAACACATTTTCAAGCCCCTCTCTCGGGGATCAGCCGGCAGTTGAGCTAGAAGTACTGTTTGATACCACAATGAAAAGCCTGACACTTGATTCATACAAATACTCAAAATCACAACTCCAGCTCAAAAAGGAGAATCAAGCTGAATCCTTATAGACAACAACCTTCCTGGCTGTAGGACGGGAAATCTGGGTGTCTTGTGCTGATCTACTTTGACGGAACAGGATTCTCCGATCTCCATGACGGAATCTTTCGTCCTCCGAACCTTACAGCTCGTTACCCCATCAAATCCACAATCATGAATGGGGCTTCATACATGTGCCGAAGGGCAATCGGCAGTTGCGATTTGACTGATGTCAACGTCTTACAACGGAAACAGCGATAGAGTGCGTAATTACGTCATACCTCGGAAGCTTATCTCATGCAAAGCGCCGGAGCTCAGTAAGCGGAGCCGAGCTTGTCAGCCCAACACGCCCAAGGCTCAGGTCTCTTCGGGACGTTGCTAGAGGAGGTCAAGTCATTTTAGGATGAGCACGTAGTTATTTTAGTGTATCACGATGTAATATTAATTGACCTGGTAGATTGCGTGATGACAAAGTACTTTTGCAGCTAACATACATGCATTATATGATTGACACAACTTGAGGTATATATCCTACGGTCTACGAATCAACAAAAACTGATCAAGTCCTTGAATTGTATCTAGGAAGCAATAGGAGTGGAGAGACAGAGAATGGGTGGGGTAGGAATTGGAAGTCAGTCAGAAAACATTGAGAAGTCAGTTAAGGGAAGTCCAGTGATTATGCATAGTAACATAGGATGGGTCGGAACAAGAGCAAAAGTATGGCAAAAGAAAAGCAGAATTAGGCTAGCTATAAGCTAGAAGGAAAGCAGAAACCAGCCAGAAGCAGAACAAAGATAGAACCGAAGTTAGACAGACAGGTAAGAGGTTCAGAGGCAGGTTAGAAGTTAACTAGATAAACAGCTTTCCGGATCAAAACTTCCGACTCAACATGCAAATATAGCCGGCTGAAAGATGCAGATTGGTTGCATGCATTTACAATAAGGTTGAAGATCAGCAAAAACGTTAATTCTGACGACAACTTGCTGACATAATTCTACCGAACAATTTAAGCGGTCGCCAACGGTCATGTAAAACGTCACAACAACCAACAGCGTGAATCTTCCCCGCACACTTACTGATGCAACAGATTGTGAAAGATGGCAACTACTCAGACAGTTCTCGAAGCGCCTCTAGAGGCCATTGCCCTCGAGGAAAGAAATCAAAGTCAACATGTGTCTGAGCATCAGAGCAGTCAAAATGGAAGACGCGTCTTTGAGGCCGATCCAGCATTCACGACGAGTCCAGCCTCGCGACGAATGATCATTGCTTTGTTGGTCTGCGCCAACATGGTTCAGGTCAGTCAAAATTTAACTGAGGAGCATGATCAGTGTCAATCATATACTGACAAATAACCCAGTTTGTTTCGAATGCAGTTACTATTGCGGGCGGCCTCGCATTGAGCAAAGACCTTGGCCGTGAATCTGGTCCTGGAAAAGCCAACTGGATGGTAGCATCATACCCGTAAGCCAAACCCATTGAACACCACGATCACGATACTAATCTTTCCAGACTCACACAAGGTGCTTTCGTTCTCGTCACAGGACGTCTCGGTGCCATATTTGGCCACAAGCAGCTAAGTCTTCTTGGCTGTGGAATATTCACACTATTCTCATTCATCAACGCTTTTACAAAGACATACGACTCATTCATTGCTATGCGCGCCCTTACCGGTGTCGGTGGTGGTGTCTTCATGCCTAATGCTGTGTCCATAATCACGACCATGGTTCCGCCTGGACGGTCGCGGAATGTTGTGCTTGGATTCTTTGCTGCGTCGCCGCCTTTGGGTGGCATGATTGGGGCGTTAATTACGGGGGTTTTCATGGATCGGGTTAATTGGATGTGGCTTTTCATCCTCATGTGAGTTCTTCGTTCTGGAAATATTGGGTGAGGGCTGATAAATTCTAGTGCTGGTGTTTCTGCAGTGAATCTTGCTTGGCTGGCTTGGCTCATGCCGAAAGAGACTCCTGTTGACAAAGGCGGACACATCGATGTTCCTGGCATCTTTATGGGACTGGGCAGTCTTCTGCTTTTCAACGTTGTGTGCAACCAAGCGCCCTCTGTCGGATGGAACACCCCTTACGAAATCGCCTTGATCATCCTCTCAGTCCTTTTGTTCGCCGCGTTCCTTGTCTGGGAGAAGCGCTATGCCAAAGAACCCATCATGCCGCTGTCAATCTTCCAAGCCCCGACGTTCCTTGCGCTGATCTTTGTTGTGTTACTAAGTTACATGGCTTTTGGGATTGGCCTGTGGTATTCTGTTGCGTGGCAGCAGCTTCTTCGTGGGGTTTCTCTTACGCAGACAGGCGTCCACTTCATCCCATTTGGATTAAGCTCTCTTCTTGCTGTGTTTGTCGCAGCGTGGCTTATTCCGCGTGTCGCTGCGCAATGGATAATGGCGATCGGGGTAAGTCACCAAGCTCTTTGTGGGACAGCAATGCTAACAAGTATTCAGGTCTTGGTCACATTTGGCGGAAACATTCTGCTGGCGACAATGCCAGTTCAGCAGACGTTCTGGGCCCAACTGTTCCCAGCTATGGTGCTCTACGGTTTCTGTCCAGACCTTGTCTATGTCGCCGCACAGGTCATCGCCAGCAACAGCGTTAGTCGTCGCCAACAAGGTATAGCAAGCAGTCTGATCGGAACACTAAATCTCTACGGAAACAGTTTGGGTCAAGGCTTCGCGGGCACGATTGAGACGGAGGTTGGTACTAATAATGACGATGAAGTCAGAGGTATCAGAGCAGCTTTGTACTTTGCAGCTGGTTTAGCGCTACTAGGCTTGGCACTTGACATTGCATTTGTGAGGCTGCCCAAAGATGAGCGCGAGGGCTGGGAGGATCCGTCTGATGTAGATGGGCAAGAGATGGACGGTATGACCACAGCTATCGAAGTCCGCTCAGCATAGCGCCCGGTCGAAACAAGTGTTGAGTCAGGATGATCAATCTGGTGCATTAATGAGATGCTCATAAATGACCAGGACAGGGACTGGGGACACGTGCAAACAATGATCAGCTCGTTGCATCCGATCTCTGGTCCGATAAGCGATGACTCGGACATGACGAAGAAGCCCTATTTATATCGCACTCCCGATTCGGTGAACAACGGCTTCTAGCTGTTTCAAATTCTTCTTTTGTTGAAATTAAAGTGCTTGCAGGCGCTGAGATCATGCCCTAATAGCGCTAGAAGACGTCAAACTTCAAAGCTCTGGTGGATAAAGGTCCAAGCTTTCACTATTTACGGCGGCTCCGTCGAGCATATTATGTTCTCTTCAGGCTTCCTTTTCGAAGGATTTTTGTATTGAGAGAAATAATGTCAATAGTGTGATGGTAATGCTGGAGGAATATCACCCATATTATATGAGTAAAAAGTAATAATTGCGAGGTGTTGTTTATGGCATGACCCAAAACCATGGAGCTGAACTGATCCAGGGTCCATGCGCTAATTGGTGATTGGGCGCCTTGACGCAGAATGTTAGTTGAAACATCATCTTATTTCACTAAAAAGCATCGACATTTAATGCCCCGAGCATGGCTTTTTATAAAACATCACGTCCTCGTTTTTCTCATGCCCTCCATTTGTTCTCTTATGCTGCTTATTTTTCTTTCACTTTCCTTAATTGCTTATTCCTGCAAACATGCGTTTTCCTTTAGACTTTACCTTGGAACGACTCGCTGAGCGACAAGTGCATGATGATGAGCAAACGCCCGCCGAGTGGTGCAAATCCACTTCGTTGACGAAGAATGGAGATGAGATTATGTTTCCTAATCAAGGAGATGTCTGGTCTGTCGGAGAAACGAAGGGGTTTGGTTGGACTGGTGGTGTCAATGTCGTTGATGGGCAGAGTCAGACCTTCAGCTTAGAGATAGGCTCAGAAGATGACACCGACGGTTCAAAACCAGTCAAGGTCTTTGGTAAGTTGCTGTCTAAGATTGGAAAGTTGATTGGTTCACTAACATGAAATAGCGGACAAAACCTTTCAGTACCCCTCTGATGACTGGCAAGTCTGGGACGACGACTGCCTGGACACTTATCTCTCATACTACTGGACAATACCAAAGGATTTCGATGTCGGCGATACGAGATTTGTCGCCAGACTAATCAACACAACTGACCCCGACAACAAAACCATTTTGACGAGTAGCTTCTTCTACATCGACTCAAACCCAGCAGAGTTGGCCCTCCAAGCCTTTTCACCGACCGAGTCGGTGGAGCCAGAAGCGATAACCTCGTCAACAGCTTCTGCAACTTCAGCATCAACACTCATCTCCGAGACGTCTACTTCAGCGCCAACTGCAACACTTAATGCGGTGGCAGACGCAGACGTCACGGCAGTACCAGCATCAAGCGGACTATCCGCCCAAGCAAAGGCAGGTATCGGCGCAGGCGTCGGTATCTTGGGTCTTATGCTCATTCTTATTGGAATCTTCTTTTGGTGGTATAAAAAGCGCCAAAACAGAGGCATCCAAGAGAAGGGTTTTGTGCAGCCGGCTTTGACTCTCAACACGCCGGAACCAGCTATTTCTGATGGTGGACAAAGTCTCAAACCTCGTATGTCCACCGGTGGACTTAGCGCCAGACCTCGATTGTCTGAAGTTGGAAGTATCGGATCGCGATTGTCTGAAGGACGCCTCAGTCCCAGGCCAATTCTAGCTGAAGGTCGAAGCAGTCCCAAACCACGTCTGTCGGAAAGTGGCAGCGCCAGACCTCGATTATCTGAAGGCCGAAGTAGCCCCAGATCACCACTGTCTGAGGGTCGAATTAGCCCCAGACCACGAGTGTCCGATGGTAGTACTGCCAGGCCGCGACTTTCCAGAGATATGGAAGATGTACCAGGGAGTCCTTTATACAGGACCCCTTCGGCGCGGGACAGTCATCGAAAGAGTATACGTTTGGTATACGAACCTAATCAGGATCCTCTTGGGTTGCCGGCCGATGTTTCCATGTGGTCGCCTAAGAATTCACAGGAGGGGTTGAATAGATCTTAATAATGTTTGGATGATATAGATAATGAGTAATTAGTTTAATGATATATACCCTGGGTTTCTTACATTTTCTCTTACACTGTGGTTCATGTTTATGTGGCGCCTCTTCCAAACCACCAGTGGTTGACACTTAAATCTGTTCTGCTAGACCCCTGTCAACATTAATAAGCCGTCATCGTATAGGGGTCAGTACATCAGTTTGTGGCTTAATGAAGCACTGAAAACGCAAGTTCGAGTCTTGCTGACGGCAAAACAACAATTCTTTTGTATTTTTTGTCAACATCATGAATGAATTGACTGATTCAATCACGCCTTCTGCAATCTAATCAGAGTTGATGGAGGCAAATCTGGGTAGCATATATCTATTATAGATCGCGCGACAAGACGAATAGTATACAGTCGCAATTGGCACCAAGGAGGGTTGCATTCATGTTGACATAGAACTGTCAACCTATGAGGAGGTCTTTGACCTCTGTTCCTGACGCGTAGCTCAGGTCAAGCTGGTACGAATGCACAAGTCATTGGTCTCGGAAGTCTCCCCTAGCGTAAAGTCAATCCATTCCAAAAACAACCTCGAGATCGTCGCAAGCGAATCTTGGCACTTGACACGAAGCGGTCAGGACAAAAACATAGTACGACCTTGGTTCGATGTGAATCAGTCTCACTTGTACAGCATCACAATGATGTCGTGTTACTAGCCCTCATCTCTACGAATCATTCAAGCTGTATTTGTGGCACTATGTATTTTATGCAGTGATTAGCGTCCAATATGTCTCAGTCCAGAGCTAGCTTGGCTCTCAAGTCCCAGCCAAACAACCATAGCACGCGTCGTATGCATAACTTACTATTCAAGCCACGAATCGCTTCCGTAGATCCACCCGTTTGCGCTGATCGATGACGATGTCATCAGCCACTAACAGTGCCGTGATTATTAGCTCATACTCATTGAACCCTCCCTTCCCTTGTACAACACAACACCATTCGTTTTCTCCCCTCCTTTGCAGACGCGTCCTTGTTTTTGCTTCCTCACGATCTACGCGTATTCAATTAAATATGGCACCAAGCACCGAAAGTCCTACGACTACCATTGTTAGGCCGAGGAAACAGAGGCCTATTGAAGCTACTGAACTCGCTACAAAAGATCAAACGTTTACTGATGCGGATGTCTGGGGCCGTGCTGGACTGGGACGCTCGTGGTTGAGGTCTCTTGTTGGGGCATCGCCGCTTTTTCTCGCGCCAATTGGATCGATATCCATATTCATCACGCTGGTTCAATACGAAGGATCATTCTCACTCTTTACAGCCGCGGTGAAAGAACATGGCTTCTGGAATATCTGCGCTCAGTACGGGCCTCAAATTACTCTCAAGGGCATCGCAGCTGTCATCTGCTGGCTCGCCGTGCAAGCAGTCCTATACATCTATCTCCCCGGCGAAAACCACAAAGGACAACTCACGCCAGCTGGATATCTTCTCGACTACAAAATCAACGGGCTTTCAGCATGGATCGTGACGCATTTGCTGTATGGAGGACTCAGCTATCTGGGGATTCTGGACCCTGGCTTCATACCCCGCAACTGGAGCAGTTTGATTGGGGCTATGAATTTGGCTGGGTTCGTTATCTCGGCACTTGCCTTTGTCAAAGCGTATGTCGTGCCGTGTCATCCAGAGGACAGAAAGTTTAGCGGTAAGTTGCGTTGAATGCTCTCGTAAGCAAACTCTAATGAGAAGGCCAGGATCTTTGCTATACGACTTTTTCATGGGAATTGAGTTGAATCCGAGATTGGGCGATAAGTTTGACCTCAAACTGTTTAGCAATGGTCGAGCTGGAATGATGGTGTGGACTTTGATGTAGGTTATTTGATATCCCTGTACGGATATTTGCTTACATGACGCAGCGACTTTTCCAATATGGCTTACCAGTACCAGAACCAGGGGTACGTTGAGCCATCACTAATTCTCGTAACGGCACTTCAAACACTTTACGTGCTGGACTTCTTCATAAACGAATCCTGGTATCTTCGCACAATCGATATCGCCCACGATCATTTCGGCATGTATCTAATCTGGGGCTGCTTCTGCTTCCTCCCGACAACATACACCATCCAAGGCCAATATCTGGGTCTCTACCCATCATCAGCATCAACGCCCTACCTCGCCTTTTTCTTCACCCTCGGAGTAGCAGGCTACGTAATGTTCCGCGTGGTAAACCATCAAAAAGATACCGTCCGACGAACAGGCGGCAACTGCATGATCTGGGGCAAGCCCGCCGAGTGCATTGCAGCACGCTTCCGAACCTCGGACGGCAGACAGCACACTAGCTTGTTGCTGTGCAGCGGCTTCTGGGGTTGGTCTCGGCACGCAAACTACGTAGGGGACTTGTTGCTCAGTTTTAGTACTTGTGCGCTGGTCGGTAGCACGAAGGCTGTGGTGTGGTGGTACGCGGTCTGGATGCTCATGTTGCTTGTTCATCGGTGCATTCGGGACGAGAAGAGGTGTTCGGTTAAGTATGGGGATGCGTGGACTGAGTACTGCAAGCGTGTACCTTGGCGATTTATTCCTGGCGTTTGGTAGATGGGAGTCTGGGACATTTGCTACAATCGAGGATCATTGCTATGAGATGTGAATGAAAGGCGTTGCTGAAGAACGGAAGCGAGATTAAGATCTAGACCAAATAGACTCGGAATGTTGTTACAGGTAGTACTTATAGAGCAATGTACCACTTGAATCGGGTCCTATCGCGGAACATGCATGAGCTGTTACACTGCCCGCCAAGCAAATGCGTGAATACGCGAGATCGAGTTGCACAGAAGCTCACCGCATTTCCGTTCTCTTCCGTTGTCTCAGGCGATCAGCTATATGCCGATTTGACAAGGCAGTTCAACCAAGCAAACGTGTGCATCTTTCCGATGATGCACCCGATGGTGTCTTGTGCGAGTATAGTCAATCTGTGCAAGGGCTTCGAGATGATCTCTTCAGAGTACATGAGCACTTGATTGCCGGCCGAATTCGTTAGCAACAGTGATGCTTCTTCGTAAGTGAATTGCTAATCATGGAGCGTCACGATCAAATCGTGGAAGATATCGCTGACAAAATACGCACCTTCTACAAACTCGGACAGCCATACCGAATATCACACGGCTCCTCCAGCAGTACTCGACCTCGCCATGCACCAGACACCAACATTATCGACATTGGTGTATTATCTCGAGTCATTTCTGTCGATACCGATAAGAAGACATGTCTAGTGGAACCCAATGTTCCAATGGATCGGCTCGTCGAAGCAACAATGCCGCATGGGCTCGTACCTCCAGTCGTGATGGAGTTCCCCGGGATCACAGTCGGAGGTGGGTTTTCTGGAACGTCCGGTGAAAGCAGCTCTTTTCGCCAAGGCTTCTTCAACGAGACAGTTAATTTTGTGGAGATGATACTCGGCAATGGAGACGTGGTGAGGGCGTCAGACGGAGAACGGGAAGATCTATTCCATGGAGCTGCTGGTGCCGCCGGGACATTGGGTGTAACGACGCTGCTCGAGGTCCGACTTGTAGAGGCACAGAGATTCGTGAAAACAACATACCACCGGGTCAAAAGTGTTGCAACTGCCATTTTGGAGACGAAGAAGCTTTGCGGCCGATCAAATGCTGACTATATCGACGGAATAATCTATTCCAAAGACCATGCAGTTATCATAACCGGGCAACTTACAAACTCCAAACCTCCAGACTCGTCTATCATGACCTTCAGTAACGCCGCAGACCCCTGGTTCTATCTTCACGTACAAGATAAGACAAAGGGTCTTTCAACCTCTTCATCTGTCACTGAGTACATCCCGCTCGGCGAATATCTTTTTCGCTACGACAGAGCAGCGTTTTGGGTTGGTCGTCAAGGCTATACGTACTTCAAAATCGTCCCATTCACCAGATTCTTTCGATGGCTCTTGGACGACTACTCGCATACCCGAACGCTATACCACGCCCTTCACGCAAGTCGCATCTCTGATCAATTTGTTGTCCAAGATCTGGCTTTGCCTTATCATACAGCCGAGGAGTTTATCAACTGGGTGGATTCTGAACTTGGTATATGGCCACTGTGGGTATGTCCTCTAAAGGAAACGAGGATGCCGACATTTCATCCCGTCAATGCAAAGCGTTCTGAAGGATCTGATATATCACAACCTATGCTTAATATTGGTGTTTGGGGTTGGGGACCTTCGAATCCCAAAGAGTTCAAAACCAAGAATCGCTCCCTGGAGGAGAAGTTGGCAGAGCTTGGCGGCCGAAAGTGGCTATACGCCCACACGAACTACACAGAAGAACAATTTTGGGAACTTTACGATCGGTCTTGGTATGAAAGCCTGAGGGAGCGTTACTTTGCAACGACTCTTCCAACGGTGTATGACAAAGTAAAGCATATGGACACGGAGCCGGAGGAGAGGTCGATGAAGGGATGGAGTTTGAAGGCGCTGTTACATAAGTGGCCGATTGGAGGACTTTATGGAATGGTTCTTGCGTTTTATTCGGGGGACATCAGTTTGCATCGGAGGGCGACCTGGAAGTATAAGAAGGAGTAGACAGTCGCGGCTGGCCTGGGTTCTGCATTCAGTCAATTACATTCAATCTGCTTCATACTAATATCTGAACTGCCGTACCAGCACTATATCAACTGATTGTGGTTGGATAAGATACATGTTGTCCCGTGGTTCGGACCTGATACGTCGTGGCGTCCCGGTGCTGTGCTTTCGGAACCCAAGCTCCGAGAGGTGCTCCAAGCCTCGATTATAAAGACTCGACAGCATATTGATGATACTGTCTTAAGCCACGCTGGACTAGTCCAAAACCCGAGCACCATGCGGCTCGCGTCATTTGCTTTGTTAGGGATCCCTGACCAGAGATCGAGTTGACACCGGCTATCATGGATGAAGCGTTTAGTCACCACACGACGTCGTCTTGTCGTATGGGGCCTACAGGTGATGTGAATTACTGTGTCGATTCCAAGTTCAGAGTGAATGGGGTTGATGGACTTTGGGTTGTTGATGCATCAGTGTTTCCTCGTACACCGGGAGGTTCCTGCTGCGCCGACTTTCATGATTAGTCAGAGGGTTTTTGGTGAGATCTTGTGCAGTATCAAAATCTAAAATGGATTTGCGTAGTCTATCGTAGCTCTCAATCACACAGTGACTCCCCCGATGTATTTCCAGAGAGCATCAAGGGTAGCCTCTTGAGGAAGACCCTTGACCTTTTGGTTTCCTCAACAGATTTGTGATTTTCCCCACGAGAGAAGGTTTTTTCTTCCTTACTAGAACACTCTTATTCGTTCCGTTCTCCTCCTGCTTCCCATCAATCGCTTGCACCGGTTCTTCTGGCGGTTCATCTTCCGGCATGTACAAATGCTCCATGACCCAAGAAACAGCCTCCCGTACAGCATCCGGCCTCGCTTGAATAACACCGTGCCCGCAATCCGGCAAGTGAACATACCGATTGTTCCTCGAGAGGTGTAACTGCACCTTCTTCAATCTCTCGTCCTCTTCATCCATCGCGTCGAGCATTTGTTTCTGGATTAACAAGGTTGGGGTGACCATGTTCTGTTCTGCGGCGAGGGCTCGCTCGTACTGCATCTGTTTCCATTTGAGAGTGTTCCCACGAATGACGACGAGTGGTTTGTTCTCAAGGATTTGATCCTGGTACTGTCGCTGTTCGATCTCGGGATCTATACCGGTCTCTTGGCCTGTTTCCACAAGGACCATTCCTGCGACTTGGTGAGGTCTCGCTTCAAGGAAGAGTCTGGCGAAGGTGCCACCGTATGAATGCGCGATAAGAACACATTCTGAAGGTAAATCGGACCCATCAAGATATTCTAATAGTTCTGAGATGGCGTATTCAGGTTTTATGTTTGGGTCAAGTCGATCCCAGATGAGAAGCTGATAAGCGTTGAGGAGGTCCGCCAGGAGCTCCCACGAAGCGCAGGAGTCACCTGAGCCATGGAAGAAGATGATCAAAGGAAAGGCACTATTTGGGTCGCCTCTTGTTCGGAAGCGAGTTTTCTTGCCTGGCTGTGGCATATTTTGTGGTGTTGAAAAAACAAAGTGATGACGTCAAGACTCGAATAAGCAAACCACGTGGGGTTATCAAGTCTTATCTTGCAGGTGGGCTGCATATCTGACACCACCAGGAACACGATAAGTGATTCCTGAAGTCCAACAATGAGGGTTCCTGTCATAACATTCCGATTTTCAATTCATTATTTTCTTTGAAGCCTTTTCACTGCTATATCTTATAGTCGTAGAGCTGAGTCATATCAAAAGTTTTACTAGAGGACAAAGCTAACAGCATGTATAGGTTAAGCTCATGCTTTTGTTGTCTTTCATGTGTAAGTCGACCTACAAAACTCGGTAGATAGAAGCCTCTGCGTTTATAACTAATATCAAGATTCTTCTGCAGCGAGGCATTGGCAAAACTGCAAAACTTTTCTCAGCTTTGCCTTCGTGGTGGCTATTTTGGGCGGAACGACGTTTTGACGTAAGAGCAAAGTCTGGGCTTCTCACAAGATGACATGAGCAGCAAAGGAACACTTCTGGTGTCTCCGACGGGGAAAGAACAAGACTCATCTGGTCGAGAACAACAAGCGTCGTTGAGTTGAGGGAAGGAGACTTCTGATCCGACTCCCGGGCTTTTTTGCTGCGATGGAATGTGATCACCAATTGATCTTCCAAGTCACAACTATCTATTGGTCAATTCTTCAGATGCATGACTAGCTGGTAAAAAATGATAACACGAAGAGATGATCACAATTGGAGTTCCTGTAGCTAACCGTATACTGCGACACTACAAAGGTCTAGATTCCCAGGAACCACCACGTGCGATCAATTAAGTCTAACCGCATGACGTTGCTGAAGCTATTCTAACTCGAAAATGAAGACTATCGACTGACCGGCTGTGCTATACGACGTTACTCTCATTAATTCACAGCGCATTGAAAATGCAGGGTCAAGGCTCAAGATTCTTTCTCGTATTGATAGATACGCTTAACTTCTTTAAGCATCACAGCCGCAGGGGTCAAGCCAAGTCCAAGAATAACTGACTCCCTAATTGGTGGACTTTTGTCACTAACCCTGTATTGGTTAGTCATGCTTCGGCTTCCCCAGAGGCTGGAACTTTCGACGAAGAAAAAAGTCAGAAATGGAATGGTGGTGACCCTTAGAAACTGTGCTAGTAAATTTGTCATGTCGAAAAAGAGCATTCTGGACTGGAGACTAGCAAGTGACCGACACTGCTACGTAGCAACAGCTCAACATCGTACCTTGGTGCGCCTCGGCCACTTCGACTTCAATGCTCCATACTATGGAGCCGACGTGCCGAGTTGATGAAGTCATTTCTATTTTTATGCGTTGTCTTGAAGATCTAAAGATCTATAAAGACTTGGAGATCAACCCACGATAATCTACATTCTCATCATCAATCATCTCATCTCATCCTCTCAAGCAACTCACTACCAAACACTCTTCAACTCCACAAAACAACTCTCTTCCACTTCTCTTCTCCACAAACAACAAACACCACCAAAATGAAGTTCACCACCTCTCTCTTCGCTCTCGCCGCCGCTACCGGTGCCATCGCTGCTCCCGCCGATGCTCCCACCGTTAACATGATGGCTGCTTCTCCCCAGTGGACCATCCAGTCCATGCAGCGAACTTGCGACAAGCCCGACACCACCTGCACCTGGAACTTCAAGATCAACACCGGCAGCGGCGCCGCCACTCCTTGCAAGTACGTCGTCAAGGCTTCCAAGAACGCCTCCAAGGCCAACGGCGGCCCTGCCAAGTGCGGCACCTTCACCATCACCTCCGGCTGGAGCGGTCAGTTCGGCCCTGACAACGGCTTCACCACTCTCTCTGTTGTCAGCAGCAAGAAGCAGATCGTCTACCCCAGCTACACTGACAAGCAGCTTGCTGGCGGCAAGGTTGTCAAGCCTGACCAGAAGTACGCCCCTGCTTCTCTTCCCTAAGCGGTTGATGGTTTTATGATTGACGGATGGACGGGTTGGGATGAGCGATAATACTTAATACACGAATGGTATCTAGACGGATGGGATAGATGTATATACACTTCTCGGAACATAAACTACACATTATTACACCACAACTTGACCCTCCCAATCAGTGATGTCTTCAAGAAAACAAAAGCGAATTCCATGTCAACAGCTAGCAAAATAGTCAGCAAGCTTCTTGTTTCGATTTTGCTTGTAGTTGTCATATACGGCTAGCGGATGAAGGTCAAAATCTCAAAGATGGCAGGCTAAGAGTTTATCACAACATCTTTCTACTATTGTTTACTTAGCTAACGCCTTAACTCATCCGTACATACCATAACCCAAACGAAGGACATACCGATCATAAATCTTCCATACATCATAACCATGAGCTCCCAGCTATCTTCAATACTCCAAACCTTATGACGGGTCATTATAGTTTGTCATTTATAGGTCACTAGGCTCGTCCTCGACCTCAACGGCTTCCTCAACAACCTGCTTAACCTTCTTCTCCATCTTCTTTTCAGGGCCTTCGTTGACAAGCTTTCGAGCATTGACTTGAATCGCGATCGAGTTACCAACCTGCATCCTACCACCAAAGTTGAAAGAGAACTTGGTATCGTCAGATGGACCAGGCCCGGGGTACCAGTTGTTAAAGTTGACAATTTCATCTTTGTCCAGTTAGCTTTCTGTAACCTTCATATCATGTCGGGGGGAGAACTTACCCTCGCAAGCATTCTTGCCAGGCTTGACATCAGCTCCCGCAAACAGTGGCGCCAACCACGTAACAACACCAGGAGCAAAGAATGCAACACCGTCCTTCTCGGCAATAAATTTGCGTTCCATCTTCGTACCCTGTGCGAGAAGCTCTTCACGATACTTGCGCACAGCCCAAGGTAAATCCTTATAATCGACACGGATAACCCGAAAGCCATCAGGATGCATGAACTGGTCGAAGTCACCGGGGTAAGGAAGGTCACCACCCGCATCGGTCCTCCAGTACATGTCGAGGTAATCCATTGCCCAGGCGATTTCTTTGGGGGCGTCGGATGGACTGGGAACGGCATAGATCTCTGCTTCGAAGTTGGAGCTGACGCTACATTCGGTCTTCCATTCAACTCGCTCTTTAGGAGGGGAGGCCATGTTCATGAGAGTTCGGAGCTCGGCGGCGCGTTCATGCTCGCCGTTCTTTTCGGCCTCGGAGATCTGACGGGTGATACTCAGGGCAGCTGAGTCGCCGATTTGGATTTCGACATGCTGCGCCGCTGCCCATGAGGCGAGGAGAGGGACGATGGCGTTGGTGAACTTCATTTTTGAGACAAAGATATAATACGACGAAGGGGGAGACCCGACGAGGTTAAGGGTGAGCGTGAATATTTATCGCATCTCCCTCTCGGTCATTTCCTCATGAAGGAAGAAGCGGTTTGTTATCGCAGCCAATTGAGAAGCAAGAGATTGACGCTACCAATGGTCCAGTTCAGGCACCAGAGCAAAAAGACTGGGGTTATTCCCGGCCGTGACGGTGAAGGGTGCCGTCATCCGAGAGATGTCATTGGTAGTAGGCTTGGCGGAGTTGTTGTTCAACAATGCAAAAAACATACAACAGCGGG